AATGCGTGTTTCAGCCGATTTGCACGTACGGGACCGCATCCACAGGTGTATAACTGACAGCCTTATGTATGTTACCGCATATCAATTAAACAAATCTACCTCTTTTTTTCTAGGTTTTTGGGGGGGCAACCGCCCCTCAAATTTGAAATGTTTCAGTGCTTTCACCCGTTCCCTCTACCCCCCTAAATAAATATATATGTTTTTTTTGATTTAGTTTCATTTAATTCCATATGGATCCCGCGAGTTTATATATAGCTCCAACCCTCTGACAGAGATAGGGGGTTGAGGGGTCGTCTGTGCACGTCAAAAGTGGGTCGTCTGTGCACGTCAGACGGTTGGTCGTCTGTGCACGTTTTTGTTGTGTGATTTTGTCATTGTAGCTCTGTAACATGATTCTTCTTCTAGTTTTTTTTAACATCATCACACAACTCATCAAGTTATTGTTTTTTTCCTCACATCTCTGTGTGGGTCTTTTGTTTTTATGTTTGTATTCCTTGCTTTCTCCTCCTTCTCCTCCTGAGTTGCTTCTTTCTCTCTCAACTTCACTCAAGTTGTCTCACACAATGCACACATTTCATCTCACACAACTCCTCTCATCTCACAAGTCACACAACTCATCTCACACAACTCATCTCACTCAACTCATCTCACACAACTCAACTCTCTCAAGAGCTGCTTTCGTGTGGCATTTGGTGGAGCTGCTTCGTGTTCTCTCACTGAACTTCACCCAAGTTCTTTCACACAACTCATCTCACAACTCACACAACTCATCTCACAACTCACACAACTCATCTCACACAACTCCACTCATCTCACAACTCACACAACTCATCTCACACAACTCCGCTCATCTCACAACTCACAGAACTCGTCTCACACAACTCCGCTCATGTCACGTTATCATCCCACCCCACCAACTCATAGGAACATGAACGTTATCATCCCACCCCACCCCACCCCACCCCACCCCCCCCAAGGGTAACTGATCATGAAAGAGCAGTGCGTGTAAGTGCTCTACAGCAAGAAAGATGATGAGGTTGCTGTGCGTGTGCAGGCATAGGAACATGAACCTTATTAACTCACCCCACCCCACCGGTAACTGATCATGAAAGAGCTGTGCCTGTCTCTTCTCAACAGCAAGAAAGATGATGAGGTTGCTGTGCCTGTGTGTGCATAGGAACATGAACGTTATCATCCCACCCCACCCCACCCCACCCCACCCCACTGGAACATGAAAGAGAGAGGATTATCTTGCTCTGAGGATCGTTTTTTTGCATTTCGTGGAAGCGCAATTTCGTGGTTCCCAGCATCAATGTGCGCGGATGACCGCTCTTTGTGCGCGGATGACGCGGTTTCTCTGTGCGCGGATGACTCGGTTGCAATGTGCGCAGATGACTCGCTTTCAATGTGCGCAGATGACGCGTTGACCGAGATAGGGGGTGAAACAGCCCATATAGCCTGTCCATCGCCCAACTCACATTCATGTTTCCAGGCTAGCTTTAACACCAAATTCGTTAGCAATTTTTTGAACATGACATTTTTTTTTCGGTTTGGTTGGTGTGTAATTCCAGCAGTGTGTAAATCGTATCATCAAGACATATTATATTCTTTCAATCCACGCGAAACCTGTGGCTACATGGCAAACACTTTCGACAAATCTAGGGTAACAATCCCAATTACCAGGTTTGCAGCGATTAAATGTGTTTCGCTTCGTTTACCCAGGCAACAACTGCATTTGTTCATCAGGTTGAGCGTTCTCCAGCGTTTGGGTGTCTATTGGGTTGAATTCAGTCGGATCCTGTGCCCCAGAATGTTTTGTCAACATGTTGAACCAGGAGTTGTGCCATGACGTCGGATTTCGCCAACATCAAAAGTATCGATCATCAATGTGAGCAAGTGCGGCGTGACAACGGTGAAGAACCGGTTCGGCCACCAAACTGAGTCCAGCACCCTTGTTTAGTTTCATACGCCCAATGCCGTTGGACAGGGGGCTTAGCTTTAGCCAGCTGACCACGCCCCCACACATATATCACATATGTCCCGAAATGTTCGCAAAATCCGATGGTGGTTATTTTTTAATATTCTTCGGCCCTAGTGTGTTCGCAGTCCTCGCATCCAAATAGTCGACATCGTTTTATACGGGGACATACTTACGTAAAAATCGAAATGCATAATATCACGGCGGGTAATGGCGGGTATGATGGTTTCATTGCGATCGGAAATCAAGATCGCATGGCACACTGATCTTTACAACAAACCTAACAATATGACTCTGACTTTTGAAGACTGGAGGTTTCTGTAGCCCTTTTTGGCGTTCACGACTTGTGTTGTCCAAGACAACCCCCCTGGGCGAGGGCCCGTGGGATTGTGGAGTCAGCTGTGGCCAATTTTTCTCTGTCCTCACAGCAATAGCTGTTTGGTCGTGGATCAACAATGAAATTGGTAGAAAACCTTTGTGCCTTGCCGTCTTGTGCTTGGTTTCTTGCGTGCTGGTTTGCTGGTTTGCTGGTTTGCTGCATTTTTTGAGTCACCATGTGCCAGCAGGAAGGTGTGACATGCCATGCCCAAAGCGTTCGCTTGATTTTTCGTCTACTCATTTCAAGCAGCAGGCACGCCTTCTCGAAAGACGTCATGGATGTCATTGCATGGTGGCTGCACCGGTTGGGATTTGCTGGCTAGGATCCTTCTGACTTGTACGGGGCGTGTTGACACCTGGGCAAGCTAGCTTCCAATGAAATGGGAGCTTCGTAGGAGCATCTGACATGGGATTCAGGGGGCCCAGATCTTGTTCGAATCTCGTTTGGACCTGGCCCCTATGAAGGGTTGCACGAAAGGCATTGGTCTTGACAGCGTTGCAGCGGTGTTCCGATGCTTTGTAAAGGAAACTGCAATTTTGTGACGGGATCGCTGCCGTTGATGTGTGATGGGGATTCTGGTGCATGTGTGATGCCGCAGTGAAAATTTTGTTGGCAAACCTTGAGCACCTAACAGCGGGGTGCCAATACAGCTACAAATTTGATGTTGCAGATTTCCGGGATCGAAGTTTTCACTTTTCCCAAAAAGGAATGAACATGTTGCACCCTGAGCACTTAATAGCAGTGCGCCAACACAACTTCAAGTCTGAAATCAAAAATTTTGAAGATTCGACTGCTCCATTGCGAAAACGGTAGCGACATTGCTCCATTGCCATGGCCAGCCGGGTTATATAAACAGAACTGGACGAAACCATCCGTGAGGTGCATCCTGACACCCAAATCAGGCTACAATCGCGTCAAAGTAGTTAAAGGCATTTGGCATGTGAATATTTTGGAAAGGCCAGTGTCCGCATGAAAAACGGCGGGTGCAAATCGAAGATGGTAACTCATTTTTGGAACTTTGCATGGTGACAGCACACCTAAACATTGATGATTAGACGACATACCTACGCTTACACCACCATGGTCCTCATTGTTCGCAAACACTTTGGGCACTGAATTTCCGTGGTCACAAATTGCTGGCTCTTTTCTCTGCGCCGTGCGTGTGTGTTCCGCGCATGTCCACCAAATGCCTAGCCGACACTGCGGCAGGAACACTGGTGACACTCCTGGACCTGGCGCTTATTCAGGCGAAATCCCGCCTGGGAAAATGTCGCCAAATGAGGAGGATACTGGGCCCGACGTGGGCGCTTCAACATTGTAGCCCAGTGGCACTGCAAATGTAGACATGATAAACGTTTGACAGGCGCGAACGGTTTGTGTTTGCACAAACGGATGGATGGAGGATGAGTTGAGGAAACTTAATTTTGGGTTCGGTGCCATTGGTGTCTACAACCTATGAGGTGGCACGTTCATTTGGGCATTGCCAAATTTGCAGCGGGCTACTATCCAGATATGGATGTAGGTCAAAATTCGGCACTAGCCAAGTTGGTGTTGATATAGGGTCCATGTGACTTTTCAAACACATGGTTGTGAATCCCGGACATTCCCGGACACGTTGGGACTTTCCATTGCCAAGGTGGCCTTCCCATGCTGCCAGGCATGTTGACCCAATTCGGCTATTGAGAACGGCAATCCGCACTGAGGTAGGCTGAGTCACTCAGAGTTTCACGCGCCTCCCCCCGGGCGCCTGGTGGGATGACATTGGCAAACCATGTGATGATCAAAATGTTGCAAAATATTGAAAACAATAGCAATCATAATTTAGGGAAGGCAACATTCAAAACCAGGTTTGGCATCTGGACATTTTGAACCACACAACTAAATTCAGCAAAACAAATTTTAAGGCAGGCACAATTTCCAACGATCCTGTGGATCTTTCTCCGGGCCCCCGTGGTCGAGCATTCTATGGGCACCGCCTCTTTTGGGGGTGCAGGATGTTCCACAGCGGGTGGCTAGGCAGCCATGCCCCACCAGCAACTGAACAGTCGTGGCAGGTGTGAACTACAAGAGTTGCACCTGGTAAGGCAATAATTTTAAATGTATATTTTTGACATTGTATTTTTATATATTTTCAAGTAGCTTGTTACTAAGTTGTCAGTCTGATGCCTGATCCTTTGATTTCACAAGCGGTATTGATTTCTGGCGCCGTGCCGTCCCTGGCCGGCACCATATTAGACTAATGCGCGTAGCTTCTGCCATTGAGGAAAACTCGGATGGTCATTGCAGGGGGTGAGTCACTATAGGTTATAAACTTGGTGCGATTGGGGATCGGGAAAATACGAACCTGGGTTCTTGGCCTATGTTCGTTATTTATGTTTTAGAACATTATATTCTGCACCTTGATGTGGTGCTCTGGATGCATGGGCAGGAGGATTCGTGGGTGGGTAGATGCGTGGGAACCCTTCGAAATGCATCATGTCTTGTGTTGTAGGCCCGCGATCGATTCGCAGATTTGGATGTCATGGTGAGTCAACGATGGTCGCTGAAGTGAACATCAACATTTGATCCAACTTTGCCGCCGTTTCGCCCAAGTTGCGCGGCTGACTTTCGGCCGCGCTTCGCAAGCCCTGTGCGAAGTGGGAGATGACGGAGCCGCCGGGGAAAAAACCCAAAGTTGGTACCCGGGAGCTGACGACGTTGCGCTTGAGGGATGCCGCCCTGTCCATTGATGCTGCAGGTGGATCTCTGGCCTCCTTTCAGCTGGGCCAAAGACCCAATCCGCTCTGCTGGGATTCCGCCGTCCATGACAACTTGGATCCAACGGTGACGGCGCCTAGGCCCTTGGGGCATTTTTTATGCTTGGATCGATGGGGGCCGCCATCTGAAGAGGAAGAACGCGCCTTGGAACCCAGAACTTCCGGGGTGGGGGCGCTTCAGTCCTGACTTGCTTGGGTTGCTTCCTTCTGAGGTAGAAAAAGCGGATGGAACTCCGAAATTCTTTTGTAGTGGAAGGATTCTTTCAACCACGTGCAAGCGAAGACAACAGTGTTGGATAATCCAGATGTGGACACCATACCATCCGCTTGAACTTGTATGATCTTTCAGATCGACTAATTTGCCAAGTTTCTCGCTCCTTCGCTCCAGGACAGTTCCAAAGTGGCCGGCCCACCAAATCATTTATTTTTTTTTCCCAAGCTACCCCTCTTCAAATGAATGGGGTTTTCCAATTTTTCATTCTTCTGTTTCCACCTTTTTCTGTCCAACATGTTCCAAATTTTTACCACCAGAAACTCCATACCGTCCATACCCCTCCCCGCCCAGGCCAAGGGATGCCATACCACGGCGAGGCCACCAGCCGCCACTGGCATTGGAGCAGCAGCGCCACCAGCGCTGCGCGGCTTAGGGCGCAGCTCCCCATGGCGGGGCTGGAAGTGGAACGGAGCGTGGAACTGCTCACGTGCTCGGCGATGCTTGGCCTTTGGAACTCCCATTTCGTGGATGATCCTCCAAGTTGGGATTGGGTTGATGGGGTACATGGTGAAACACAGAAGTGAGGGTGACATCAGCTCAATTTTTTTGGGAAGTCATGGGGGTACAAATGATAATTAGATAATATAACAATACAGAGTAGAAATCGGGCAATTCTATTGGGTATGTAGAGCGGGGATATCATTGGGATAAACATAGGCAACACCTGCAGGTATATATAAGCAAATAGACTGGTTGGGCTATCGGGCTATCATGACCTGCGGCAAAACCTGCAGAAAATGGTCGGTTTAAGCATTAAATGTGCGATTTTTGGGTTTATCTGGACACGTTTGATGGATTCTTGATGGATTCTTGCTATGAGAATCAGCGGGTTGTGAGCGACTTGCTAGGTGGCGAAGGTTGGCGGAAACAATAGACATCCACTGGTAGTGAGAATGGATCTAACTTGGATGACGTGGGGAACACGGGGACCGATCTTGGCGCCATTGAAACTATCAGGTATGGAGGGTTGACGTTTTAACTTCCACTCCAAGTTGAAAGTTGGACAAAAGAGGTTAGCTGGACAAGTTGATTGCATGCCGTCCACTTGCCTGATGATGTTCTTTTTCAATTTGGGTGTCTAATCATTTACCCTTGAACTCCGATTTCCTAATCCCAACATGTTCTTTTCCTTTCCCCTTGTCCTGTGGGGCCATGATGTTGGACAAGACTAAACCTTCCTCAAAGTGTTCAAGTGCCACATCGTTGGGTTCAACACAGGAGAGCCAGTTGGTCCTTCGAAACCAGGGCGGCACTTGCGAGAATCCGAGATGAGGTGAAGAACATCAATAAACTCGGCAGAAACTGCGTCATGTTCACAGCAGAGTTTTTCTCTTCCCTGCCCGGTATATCCAGACATTTAAGGGGTTGTAGAGTGCAAAACTATATGGCCAGAAGTGGGGCAAATAGACTTAGCAGTCAAATTCTAACTAGCAAGGATGGGTCGTAAACGGGCGATGCCCGTTGGGCAGGCTCAAATGAAGGGATTCAACTATGTTTTGAGCCTTTTGAAATTTTGTTTCTCTGAATTCTCATGCCGGGTGCATATCTTACGCGCATTGGTGAGGAATTCTCAACATGGTTCAACATCCCAGCATTGCACCTCCGTTTCTGACAGCGGAAACGCGAGTGGACTGCAACGGAAAGCGTGGATTCACTCAGGTGGACATGTTGTACAGGGAGCACATCGACCCCCAATCTTTGCAAAGTTACAGTAGGGGAAGTACAGAACCCCTAGTGGGGGGTAACAACCCAGGATGAACAAGAAGCCAGTTACTGCAATCCAGTTTACCCATAGGAGGTTCCCAAATAGTGAGGACCCCAACGCTCCAAGTGTGAATGACGCGCCTTCGTTCCCTCAAGCACTGCGGTAGGCTTCCCGCGGCTGTTCCGACGTCTTGTGGGATGCGCAGCGGGAGTTTCCCGTGGCCGTGACCGCAAACGGGGCGCAGGATGCGCGCTGCATGACTGGAGGAAACGACGATGTCTTTAGCTACGAGGTGAATCAGAGTGATCCACATGGCTGGGTCGTTTGGTGGAATTGGCTGTTGGCAAACGTTTTGAAGGTTATTTTGTGGGGGGGCTTGAGAGGGCGGAGCCCAAACTAAAACAATTCCGAAGCGGTTCAGATTTATAATCCATACCGCCCCACTTTTTTGGGCCCTTCAAAGTGAATGATATATTATTTAATTTCAGAACAGATCAAATAAATACTAAACTGGGGATTTTTATCGGCCTATTCAGTACTGGGAGAGAAGGAACCACCGTGAAAACACTGCAGTACCCCGAGGTCACTGCCTTTACTCCGAGTCAAGGCTTGCTCCTGGGCTACCTGTGGCCCCGGTGCCACTATCCTTGGGTGTCCCTGTGGTGCAGCAGCACGGATGGAGAACCCCGTGCGCGTGGCTTGGAGTTTGGCACCACGGGATTACATCAACCTTTTCCCATTCTCACGCGACATCCTCGCATCTTTGGGCTGCCGACCTTTGAACACCTGGAGCCTAGATTTGATAGGCTAAAATCGATTCAAAGGTCCTTGAATTCCTTTGAAGCCGTGTTGGTTGTTGGTTGGCAGATGATCTAGGATAATTAAGGGCTTATGGCATTTAGGGAAGAAATCTGACTCGAAGCAAGTCAGAAGGGAAGTAAACGACGTACACAAATCTTGCGCTATCTTGAGATCGGCTTGTCACGCTGTGTTTGAGTCCAGGCTGCACCAGGATGAACGACCTCAGAGGTCTGTTCAGGGTTCTTGGGCTGGGGTTACAGCTGCAGCCAAGGATGCCATGGAGACTTTCCAGAAGTCCTTTTGCTGTTTCTTGTTGGAAATCCCCACGGACTTCTGCGGTGTGCAAGCCATCACTGTGGCTACGGCAGGAACGGCAACGACCCTGCGGCTCTCAGAGAAAGGCTCCGAGCGGACGTTCGAGGTGCAACAAGCAGTGATGAAACATGTGCCAGTCCACATGATTTTTGAATGTTGCACGTTATTTCGGGATGACCTAGAGTCCCCCCTCTAAATAATTATATGGACGGCATAGGAATGCCATGAAAACTATAGACTCTATAGACTATAGATTTTAATCATTTGAACCTGCTACCGAATTTTTCAGCCATACGATTAACGATGCTGTGTTCAACGACTTTCTCCAGATGCCGTTTGCTCTGTAAATCGAAGCCCTTGAAGGTCACAGTGTCTGGTGAGCTCATCTGATGCCTGTGCTGAGAATATTGTTTTGGACGTAGGACATCGAAGAAAGCGAGGAATGCTGCGGCCGTTTCGTTGGTTGATGAGAAGATCCAATGGCCATTGCATGTGCTGGCAGAACGAGAGATAGGCCTTGGATATCTGTCTACATGTGGACATACAGATATAGGATTAGATTGGATTTGGTCGAATTGGATTGGTAGGATAGATAGATGGAGGGATAGATCCATCGTTCGATATGTACATTCGCAGCTAATCATGTGCATTGCCCACCGCACACCCAGATATGTGCTGATTTAGTGGTTTGAAACCTAAACGACATTCGGTCATTGGTTGGGACCAATGGTTTTTGCCGCTGTAGACCGAGGGATGCCACCGATGCAGCCGTGATGGCTCTGTGGCTCAGTCATTGCCCGTTGGGGAGGGCCCATTGCCTTGGATGCCTTGCCCAAGGCCCGAGCGAAGGAGGAAACGGGTGATTTCACTCCTCACAGTTTCGAGATCGTTTCGGAGCTTAATGGATAGTGCAGTGTTTATTTCAAAAACTTCGTTGAAACCGGGCAACATCTGAAAACTGTGAAAACCGTGGGCAAAGACTTTGAAATTCCGCACCGATTGAGGCTGATGGACATGAGCTCAGGCCGATTGGTGTGGCAGATTTTAAACAAAAATGGGGATAAACAATGATAAACATCTAACATGAGGGTTTTCTATGATTTTCTTGGCTGGTTTGAAATATGTTGAAAGTTTCATCAGGTTTGAGATGATTGGATCCAAGCTGACTAGATTCTTCAAGGGGGTTGAAACCGAAAAACAAGAGGAACTTACCAATCAAGTCAGCAGTTCTGCAGCAGGCTTGATGGATTAAAGTGCCTTTGAATCTCGCAACAAAACGTTCAGGGGACTGCCAATGCAGCGGAAACTGGGAGGTCTGGCCCCCTCACAACTTGACCAGGACTAGTCCGTTGGGGCGGGTTTGGTGGAATTCCTGGCAGGGGAGGAAGAGTTCCTACCCTACATTTCCAGAAAATGGCACCTCCCAAATGTCCAAAAACTTTTTTTTGGGGGTCCGGGGTTGGCAAATTCGAATTTGAGACGAGGTCATTTTGTCATATGTCTTCTAGTTTCATGGTGTTTCATGCTGTCAGAGCTTTGCATGCGTACTTTCCACTCATGCTGGGCAACAGGTCAAAAGCAGCGACCTTCAAATTGGGGGGAAGTGAGGTTGTTTGTTGTTTTGTTGCTCACCTGCATACCATGCATCTGGTTTGACCATGCACACCTTCGTACCCATATTACAAAATCTTTGTGAAACATCTCCAGTGAATTAAGTACTGGAACCTAAACATGCGATTTTGTTCCCGGAGGAAAACCATCCAAAGGAATTTTAGGGTGGGTATTTGCTGGTTTAATCGCCATTCTGAATCCAAACTGGTTTGTTAAAACATTTTTTTTTGCTAAATCATGTTGAATCCAGATTTTTTTGCTGGTCAAATCACAGTTGACCTATGAACACTCCCGTGGCCCACGGGCTCAGAGGGAGGAAGCTCCGGGGGGCCTGCCGTGGGGCGACCGAGGAGGTGCTGTTCTTTTGGGTATGGGCCATGGTCAGTATATTTTTATAATTAATTAGTAAACTGGTTGGTATGCTTACCCTGGGTATGGTCCATGGTTAGCAAAGTTTCTTTTGGATACTTTTGGGACTTAACAAAAAAGCATCAGAAATAATAGGGAGAGGTTAGTAGAGTTAGTGAACTGGTGATCGTAAGTGGGTTGCCTATGTGACCCACATCTACTGCTTGGCAGGTGGCAAGATGGCGCCCTCACAAGTGGAGAAGGACTTGAAGCCGGGGTGCTCAGTGGCTGGGGTTATGCTCCCAACAAACTCCGCTCGGCAAACCCCGAACTCTGAGTGTAACCGGGGAGTTAAAACCAATCAACATATGAGGTAGCTCACCATTTTAGCGGGTTGAGCTTGTTTGCAGTATGTTTTGCTTACATCCCCGTTCATTGTGGGTGATTAAATTGTCATGGTTTTGGTGATTAAATCCCAAAGTTGGGTTCGTCATTTTTCACAATTCCAAGCTTGGTGAATTTCTCAATTTTTCATATTTGAACCACTATTTAAGTTTTTTTTCTCCTGGTAAAACTGATGTTTGAAGCATCTCCTGGTTCATCTCCCATGAGAATCTCTGCCAGGTCGGCCCTGATGTCCAAGGAGACCGAACGATGGCTGGATGCCGTGGCGAAGGCGGTGAAGGAAGGCGCCGGCAGGGGCGCCCTCCGCGTGATTGGCTTTGCGAAGCAAAATTTCTGATGTCCCGTGGATCTCGCTGAAAATCGACATTCCTTTAAAAATCCTTGGGTTTGCGATAACGAGAAAGAACAACCACTGATTGTTTCGCAGCCTTGCAGTTTGCCATGCCAGCATCCATTCTCAAGGTGAAACTATCCCCTCTGACGATGAAGAATTACAAAGCCATCCACATGTCTGCGCATATTTAGTCTTAGCAAATAAAGGGTAAGTAAGCATGTGGTGGCACATTAAGTGAATGGGATAACTCCAGCTCGACAACTTACTTGCCCAAGTGTCTTATATGTCCCCAGTTGCTGTAGAGGACTTAACTATCAACTGCCCAAACTGTCCAAGTTTTGGCAGTCCTTTTTTTGGTTGCCTAACCAACGGAAAATGAACAGTTGGGAGTCAAAAAATGTGTAACTTGGAATGTCTCCTCCAGGTTCAATTCCAAGCAATCCCCAAAAAGATAGAACAGTTATTGCCAGTATAAAATCCTGGAGGAGATATTCCAAGTAATCAAACACTATTTCACTATAAAATCCCACTGAAATAGTGATACGTCCGGTGTCATCAGTCATGGCTGGCTGCAAAATCCCCCCATTTGAACCGATTTTCCCCCAGCGAAACATCCATATATAACCATGACTCGTTCGGGGATTTCCCGACGAGTCATGTTTGATTGTCCTATGATATTCCCATTCCCATTCAAAGTCCCCTTAAACCCCTTATGCAACTCCATTTTTCCCATCCCTTCCTGATGGTTAAATCATGGTTAAACCATGGTTAAACCAATGGTTCAACCAATGGTTCGACCGTTCCGCCGGTCAAGTCGTTTCCAACTGGTCCGCATTTTGCAGGCTGGGATGGCTTTCAAATTCAGCAGGCCGTCGCAGAGGTGGTGACGGAAGATCCCGTGGGCACGGCACGCTTCATGGAGACGACCCACCGGCCGACGCAGGAGGGGATGGTATTTGAGATGTGCGAGATGTAAATGTGGAAGTGCGAAAAATAGAAATACATATAAATACATGAAATAAATACAGACATAATCTACAATAAATAAATGAATATATTAATAAATACGTCAATGAATAAGTAAATAGATAAATAGATTGAATAGATAAACAATAAATAGATAAATAAATAAACAAAATACGCACACACACACACATATATATATGCATATACACATATACAGTATAATATGGCGATGGATATATATATATATTATTTGTAATTATATGCACACACATATATATATATATACACACTGTATATATAAAAGGTGCAATACGTATATGCACACACACACACTCACACATATTTACATGTAAAATTTGACAAATTATATACTGTACACATACATGGGCATACTTGCAGGCCCACTTGCAGAGTGATTGTTGGTTGGTTCCACTCATGTGCGGATTTTTTCAGATGAAGTGGCTGTCTCAAGGGTTCTGCCGGAAATTTGATTGGAAGACATTGGAAGCGCTTACAGTAAACTTTGTTGGTAATGTAATCCCACCAAATTGATAGAATCAGGTATAGCGACATGTTGGGGATGGCAGCCATGAAATTGGGTTTTCACATGAGGCTGATTGTTTGGTTGAGCTGAAGGCAGTTTATTTGGCCGAATTCTGCTTGAAAACCAACCCTCAGCGAAACCTGGGGCGACTTCCTATATTTGCACATGACGTAGGGGTTTCAGTCCCGAAATTTGGGAATTTCACCGCATAACTGACGCACTGGGCTGTTGGCTCAGTCGTGCAGGCCATGGCGGTGATTGGGATGGACGATGAAGCCGAGGAACAGTTTTGTTGTGGGATATGGTTGGAGTATACTGAGTATACGATGTCCAAAAAGAGTCTGCACAGCCGAAGTCAACCAACCAGCCAATCTTTTTGATGTGCCCCTGGCGCCACCCTCGAAACTGAAAAGCGCTGTTGGACAGTAGTGTCGTGTTGACGGTGTTGACTGGTATGTGACCCACCAGGAGTGGGAACATGCTGCCCAGCACTCAGTCCACCCCATGCCGGACACACCCAAAATCGCGATTTAATGGGAAAGGCGAAATGGATTTAGATTCACTTGCAAGCAGGCCTCCTTTTCTTGGTGGATTGCAGTAATTCAAAGATGCATTGCCATAGCCATACCCTGCATCACCCCACATTCGGTACTTCTCGAGTATTTCAAGGTTCACTACCACGACAAGATGATAACCGGTGCATTCAGTGCGATGTGGAGTATCTACCCGTGGCTTGGAGAGTTTCTTCAGGTGCTCGGGGACGACCATGCCGAAACTGAAGGATCTGAGTAAGAGCCAAGTGGGGGATTCAAAGATTCTTTTCCGTGAGGATTTCCAGATATTTCTGGTATCATTTTTCTTTTTGAGGTTTTACATGCTGAGTTGGACAGGTTCATCAGTTGGTGTGCATATTGCATGGTCTTATATTCACATGTCTGTTCCTTTTTTCCCACAGGTAGAACGTTGGTTCTACCCCCGGGGTTCGCCCAACCCAGGCGGATCCCACAGGAAGATCCTTGGGCGGACAACGTGCCCAAAGTGGACTGTGAAATCGTTTGCCCCGGTCGCGTGGCAACGAACTGGATGTGCTTGGCTGCTTGGGTGGATAGCCAACATGGGAGGGATACGACATGATACAACCATCAAAACTGGATGGTTCAAAGTTCAAACCATAAGAATGGGGATATAATGTGAGAATATGTGAGATAATCATCTAAAAAGGAGGATCTAAGATGATATAGCCACCTAAAACGCAGCTTTTTGTTGTCCATCCTACCCGGGATTGTTGGGATGATTCATACTCATTCCACCAACTGTTGGGTGGCTCTGTAGTGATTTTTGGGGACATCATCTCTGCGGCAACTCTTCTATGCTTGGGAAACCTTGGACGGGTAGGGTACGCTACTACCAGGTAGAAGATAAGATATTCCAATTAAATAGAAGAAAGAAGATGCAAATTTGGGGGTGCGGCCGGAGCCATTTCAAATAGAAGATCTTGCAATTACAAAACGAAGAAAATGGGAGAAACCCTCAACAGTGGGAACTTCTATGTGAACATTCTTTGTGCCACTGCCTTTTTTTGCGTGTTTTTTTGGCAGGGAAATGTGCCAAAATGAATACGAAGTAGCTCCCAAGTTCGACCCGGCAAAATGTTGGATTCCTATCACTTTGCACATTCTCTTGCTACAAATGGTGGCGATGGAGAGGGAGAGGGAGAGAGAGAGAGAGATAATATATGTAATTATATGTATATATATATATATCTCTCTCTCTCTCTCTCGGTGTGTGTACACATATATGTAGATGATTGTAGATGCATATATCCTAGCCAGCTAATTTTCCTGTGCAGGGCATCTAACATTGCCAATGTTGTGCAGGCCGATCTGCTGCCATCTTCTCAGGTCAGGGGATTGTGATGACCTCCACTGGGTTGGCCTTGCGGGGTGAACCTGTGGGCATGTGATGCAGAAATCTCGACGACAGCTGGGGGGAATCCACACCCAGGTCGAATCTTCCCGATGGAAAGAAAAATCCCGCGGTGCATCAGGGTCTGCGCAATTGCCGTGCTTGAAATGGTGAAACAGCAAAAAAAGGCGCATCCAACCTCGTTGCTGTTCAAGTCCCCGTTGAACATATTGCTTTATTTCCCCTTGCATCTGGTTCTTGTTCAAGAATAGCGAGTCCCCATTCCATCGCACAAACCCACATGAAAATACATGAAAATACCATAAATGGATGGTAAAAATACCATAAATGGATGGTAAAAATACCATAAATGGATGGTAAATCCATGTAAATCCATGTAAATCCATGGGATTCCCGTATTTTCCAGGTGATTTTCCGAGATTTTTGGATGACCAATGTCAGCTCCCGCAGCTTCAGGGGCCCAGGCTCCCGGCCGCCAAAAAGGACCCATGGTCCGGCGCGTGGACGCGGTGAAGACCAGGAAACTCGGTGAATCCACGGGACTGCGGATGGTAGATCTACATCGGTGAAGTCACAGAATCAGAGATTTTTGTAATACCATATAGAATACCACACACACCGATATATATATATATATATATAATATACACGTTTATTTATTTATTTGTTTGTTTGTTTATTTATTCATTTGTTTATTTATTTATTTATTTATTCATTTGTTTATTTATTTATTTATTCATTTATTTATTTATTCATTTATGTATATATAATCATGATCGACTACATAGAATATGCCCGATTTCAACCCTTCGGGTGTGGACAGAAAAAAATACCCAGAATATCCGGGGTAAAAATATTTGGGGTATAATTTTGGAGTGCATAAGCAGTGCCAAGGCAAATGCCAACACCACCCAATTCCATTGGTTTTCATTGCAAACTACAAGTAGTTTTTGTTTCATAGTTCTACGACACCGGTCGTGGGGGGTTCCCTTCGGTGAGCTCGAAAAACTCATTCTTTTTATACAATATAAAAAGAAATTGATCATTTCGGGGGACTTGTTTTTTTTGTTGAAACGTTCCAGTTTAGGAACTTCAGACATCCAGGGTTGCTACTCCCAAAAGGAAATTACGTATATGATATATACCCTTATACATGGAAGAGACCCAATTCCTTGCAGAACTACATACATAGAATATAGGTCTCCAGTGAAAAAAATCATCATTTTTTTGAGGAACACCACCCAATTCCATTGGTTTTCATGGCAAAATAGCTTTTTTCATAGTTCCACGACACCGGTCGTGGGGGGTACCCTACGGTGAGCCTGAAAAACTCATTTTTAAAATCCAATATAAAAAAATATTGATCATTTCGGGGGACCGGTTTTTGGTTGAAACGTTCTAGTTTAGGAACATGTCTACTCCCCAAAGGGAAGTACGTATATGATATATACCCTTATATACACATGAAAGAGACCCAATTCCTTGCAGAACTACATACATAGAATATAGGTCCCCAGTGAAAAAAAATCATCAATTTTTTGAGGAACACCACCCAATTCCATTGGTTTTCATTGCAAAATAGCTTTTCTTCATAGTTCTACGACACCGGTCGTGGGGGGTACCTTCGGTGAGCCTGAAAAACTCATGTTTTTTAATACAATATAAAAAGAAATTTATCATTTCGGGGGACCTGACTTGAATCACAGGCGGCTGCAGCAATCCATGCTTCTGTCAAAAACCTGAGAAAACTATTTTCCCGGATCAAAATGGATAGCTGGAAATATTCTATGTATAGGTTTGTTTTTTCGATTCCGGAAGATGCTTTTATTCTATGTATAGGTTTTTTCTACCGATTCCGGAAGATGCTTTTTGAGGCCGAAATTATCGATTCTGTATTCTATGTATCCCATCTTGATTATATATATATATACACATGCATGTGTATACATACACACACATATATATATATATACACATATATATACACACATATACATATATATATATACACATATATATAGATACATGTAAAGATACGTGTGATATAACCTTGCGTATTTAATCTTGTCTAAAGTACATGGGATGTGTCTTGAAGCACCGACCCACCCAAATCCAAGAATTGCCCCGAATTGGACACAAAGACAATGAAATGGGTATGCGACATGCCCACCTTCTTAGCGACAGATTCTCCAGTGAGCCACTGCTATCCCAGCCGTTTTAGATCAAGGCCACGGGTGAAATATCATCCATGCAATCCATCTTCAGGATCCAGCTGGGGACCCGAGTGCCGCGATTCAAACCGATCCAAATCAAAACGGCGCGGGAGAAGTTGAGGAAGGGCCGCGGGCTGCTCGAAAAACATCAATGTCATGTTGTACAGGTGCCTGACTCTGGCCTTTTAGTGATTCTGCTGGGAGTGAATCACTTTGAGATTGAGAGCGTCAAGGCCGTTGAAAGAATCATTCAGGGTGTGTGTCCAGATGCAGTTTGCGTTGAGCTCTGCGAGCCCCGGGTGAGATCGGCCGGCTTGCGGGAAGAAGGGCGAAGAATCAGAGGGAGCTCCAAAGCTTCCTTGCGCAAAGACTTGGCAGATGAACTACGGAAACAAAGCTCTGATGGCGTGCGTGCGTCCGAATCAGGTGCTGAAATGAAGATGGCCTTCCTTGAAGCGTATCGGCTTTTGAAGCCGATCCACTTGGTGGATCGTGACATCCTCGACACAGTGCAACGTTTCCGCGCCGCACGAGCTGCAGGTCTGTGGCCGCTGCTCCATCGCCGTTTGCCGCGGCTCGCGGAGGTGCTTTCTCGGAAGCACCTTGGGTGGACAGTCAGAACGGCTGGTCGTGGCCGAGCGGTGCCGGAAAGCTGCATGCTTCGCATGTTTCACCGAGGCCAGATACAGCTTCCCTGGGCCATGCGACGTGAGGTCTTGGAAGCAGCGCAAGAGATGAGGGACATCAACGGTGGTGAGAAGATGGTACCCCTGGAATCGCTCGAGCGCCTGTTTGATCGGCAACGGATCGAGGAACACATGTTGGGGGGACACGTGCCTATGCCGCATGAGCTGCGACATTGGCTGGGCCCTGAGTCGGATCTTGATGTGGTGACTCGAGTGATTGGTTTTGAAAGGGATGCGATCATTGCCCGCAACATCCGAGAAATCGACAACGAATCCGTAGAATATGCGCCTCACGGGTTGAATGGTCCCTTGGTCCTGGCAGCTGTGGGGAAAGCCCACGTCCAGGGAGTGGCCCATCATTTAAAGCTGCCGCTCTCAGAGCTGCATGAAATCATTGCAGACTTTAGTGATGACGGCGAAGCATTCATGAACATATATGATGACATATGAATGAATGACGGCAAAAAAACATGCAAAACTGAGGTGATCGTCTAAATCACAAGCACGGCTATCCTATCCCTTCAGCCCGGGGGAAAATAATCTGATTTCGTAGCCGCCATGAACCACAATTGCCTTTGCTGATGGTTTTGGGCACGGAGTTTGGGCCGATGTCATGTCACGCCGCTTACTCAGTGCAACGACCAACCTCACACCGCAGCAAGGAACGATGAATCTGGAAAGTGGGTGAATCAGTGACTCGGCAACCAGGGTGAGCAGCTGAATGAAATTATAAATTTCCTGCCTTCAAGTGTGTCACGGAAAATTCAAGCTGAACATCTGTTGAGTTCAATATTTTGGATGGTAAATAGGTAATCAGGTAGAACCCATGGTTTCCAGATGTTTTCAGAATTTTCCCTCCAATTCCAGCAGTGAGTCATGGATCCAGGTACCACTTGTTGCAGAAAGTCGGAGCCGGCACCTTTTGCAAGGTGCGACTTGTAAAAGTGATCAAGCTAAGCCTCATGAGATACAGAGGCAAAGATCCCAATATTCTCCATGGATTTTTGGTTTTGCCTTGCATTCTTCATGAATTATCTGTTAGTATCCGTTAGCGTGCAATTTTCCATCGCAAACCGTGAACATACCGCAGGGCATCTGGTTATGTATAAGTTTCATCATTTTGCCCCAATCAACTCCGTGTTTCTCACCATCCAACCGCCATCGCTAGGTGCTGCTGGCCAAGAGCGACACGGGGATCCATGCAGTGAAACGCTTCGGGCGGACGGTGCCTTGCCCCTAAAAGGGATTGATCCCTTCGCCAGAATATCAAACACCCCTAGAAACAATGGTTAGTAGGGGATGTCCACACAAGTGGGACTATTTTTAGGGGTGTTCAACTTTAGAGGGGTGGGGTTCAGATGGGGGACTTAACATGATTTAACCAGCAGAACAGCTTTTTGTTTTTGAAATAACAGGGCTTTAGAAGCCTGAAATGGTGATATATATATACATAACTATAGACTAGCAAACTTAATTATTCAGAAAATAGTGAATCATCAAACATGGGGGATTATCTAACATGGTGGTTTCGCCAGCAAACATGGAGGCTTAATATGGTTTTAGCCATAGCCCATCCTGATATGATTGATATGGGCCCCCAAAATGAACAGATCCAAGACTAAACACGTGTTTATAGGGGTGACTTCGGTATTTGGGGGAAGGGATTATCATAATGTAATGAATACCCACAGCAACCCCTTGTTGTTAGGATTGGATGGAATTTTCTTGTGGGGCCCATAGTTTGTTAGGAGGATGGGATGGGGTTAGAGTTGCCTCATGAATGTGTAGAATTTAGAATTTAGATGGATCTATTGCAGGAATATTTACATGAATGGTCGATTCAGGTCCGTTTGCTTACGTGGATTGGTCTATAAGCGATTATTTTTGAGGGTGAATCTGGGTAAACGTGCCAGCAGCCTGGATGATCTCGATGGTCCGCAGGAGCATCAAAGTTGCAAGGATGAATGTGTTTCTCCTGTTTGTGGCACCTAATGCCAACAGATCCAATATTACAATATAGTGTGTTGAATGGTGCTTTGATTATTGTTGCCATGACTGCTATCATTATCATTATTACTGTCCTTTCCATTTTCGGACATATATGTATTATGTATAGCATCTTTTACATCAAAAAAACGTCAAAGGTTGGAGGCCTGGAAACTATGGGGAAAACATCATTGAGACCGATCAACGCCTTATTCTTCTTGCTTCACCATGACGTTTCCTACAAACACCGCAGGTGCTGAAGAAGCGCATGGTGGCCAAGTTCGATGCCAGCGGCGCCAGCACCGTGCCCTTTCAGCAGTGCATTGATGAAGAGATCCGGATTCTGGGGAGGCGAGTCGTGAGGGGTGCAATCAAAAAACCATTCTCAAGCACCGGTAGGGGCTGATCAACCATCTATTATTGGGGTAGGGTCGTCCTATTTTTGGGAACATGTAGCACCCACTTGTTTCCATAGATGGTAATTTACTATCACTTGGAGGATTTCGGGGTGCAATTCCCTCTGCCTCCTGGAGGATGTCGCATCCGCATGTGGTGCAACTACAGGAGGTGCTTCCTCTGCGCATGGGGCCCTCCAGGTCAAGCGTGGTTTGCTAGCTTTGTGGGTTAGTTTTTAGTCAGGAATGTGGTGAACTGTATACCCCCAATATTCAATAATATTCAATACAACCCATAAGTGGCCCCAAAATGAACCAATACTCAACCAGGGATGTAGGGGGGCACTAGTGGAAGGGGGTTCTGTAGCATGTTACTGTAGCCATGCCCTCCGGTGATCAAACATGGCTCGGCAATCCGTCGAATTTGCCGGCTTATTTGCACCTGCATCTCAAAAAATCGCACCCTTGAATTCATCAGCAGCTCCAAAACCAGCCAGGTGCTTGACGACCCCCTGGATGAGAACTTGTATTTGATCTTTGAAGGTTTGCCTGGAGGACAGTTGATGAACTGGAATGAGCAGAGCTGCAGCTATTCAGCTGGGCCGGCAGTTGAAAGGTCCCTTGATTCGTGTCAGAATGTCCATTGGGACGGTGCCAGTTCCAATCCAAGGCTGCAGAGAAAATCTGAACCTCCCGAAGCAAACCAGCTGGGCAGTTATATATATATATATGAGAGAGAGAGAGAGATAGATAGATAGATAGATAGATAGATAGATAGATATATTATATGATATATATGTAAAATGGGGAAACGGGTGTTTTCAGGGGGCTTAAAAGCCACCAGGTTGGGGAGTGCTGTCACTGACAGCCGGCCTTTTGCTGACGGCCCTGGCGAAGAGCGCAACATTTTCGTCTTCAGCGAAGTGCTGGCGAAGCACTTCGCGCACCAACTGGCCGATGGCATTGCCTACATTCACTCTCTAGGTGCGCAGTTTGGTGCGAGGTTTGCGGGGGAGTGGGTCGGTTGCCGTTGGGTGGGATGGGCTTGTTCAAGAAAAAGCTACTTTAATGAAGCCTAAATGTACCTTAAAATCAAATGGTCTAGGATGTTTAGGTTGTAATTCGGCGGGCCCCTAAAATAGTGATGAGATGATTGCAAAATAATTTCAAATTCAACTGGCACACATCCATGTCACACCCCAATATAGTGATGATTCCAATTATGTTCATTCATGAACGGCACCTGTTCACAAACTGCTTGGGGGTGCATCCCAGTTGGCAAGTGGATAATGACAATTTTATACCAGGCTTAAGTTAGATGAACAGATATACATACACATGGAATCTTGCCAGTTATAAATTACCTACTCAGCGGGATTTCTTACCCAAGTGGGGCTTGATATGGCTTGATTCCTCCGGGGCGCCGGAGGTGTGATTCACAAAGACCTGAAGCCCGACAACCTGGTGCCTCGACAATCCAAAGTGACCCCGGGGAATCCACACACTGTTGGAGAAGTCATGGTAGTTACATAGTTGTAGATATGTAGGTCCTATAGGTAGTTGGTAGTTACATATCTAATATCTAATATCTATATCTATAGGTAGTTGGTAGTTACATAGTTGCAAAGGTCATGGTAGATCCCAAACTCATTTTTTTTAAGCATGCAATGTAGATCATTGATGAGAATTGTCATGCACCATGCGCAGGCACCACTGAAAAACTGCCGTCCGCACTTGGAGGATCATCCCACGGAACAAAAGTGGTTAGCAATCCTAGTTAGGAATGTTCGTAGGTCCCCATTCAGTGGGGTTATTCTATATCCATATCTATATCCATATCTAATATCTAATATCTACTATATCTATATCCATATCTATGTCTATATCTATATCTAATATTTAATATCTAATATCTAATGTCTAATATCTATATCTATATCTTATATATATATATATGTATATGTATATGTATACATATGTATCCCATATATTGAACATATGCTAGGACGATTTAAACACCTGCCACCCGCAGGTCCTGTCCCGGGAAGTGCCTGAAGAATGGCTCTGCCAGTTGGACGTCTCCAGATGGCCCAAGCTGCCAGTGCTGGAGAGGAGCAAAGATCTGCCCAAGGCGGAGCGGGCGCAGGAAGCTGCCGTTGAGTTTTTCTTTGCATCGTTTCTTGGGAATCAATTCTCCATGTGTTATGGAGAAATATGGAGAACTGATCTAGTCCAGAAAAAAATTGATGGACTGACTTTCCATCGCCACGTGAGATTCTTGGAGGGTAAGCACTCGGCTTTTCCGAACATGAAACATCCAGCCATCGCCCGAGATCCGTGCCAGGTGGACTATGGGGAGCTGGTGGCAAACTCCCATTTGCAGATGACCTTCCCATCGGTCATCAAACATGGCTAGCTGGGAAATCGTCTATAGATGGGGGTTTTAATAGGAAGTCATCTGGAGAATCACCCTTTGATATTATATAAATTATATAATATAATAGAAAAGGGTGATTCTCCATTGCCATGTTTGATTGCCGGAGTTTTTTTCCTTATCTTTTCCCCTTTACCAGTGGTGAGAAGGGCGAGACAGCGTAGGGCCGGCAGCAACCAAACCAACACTGTCCGAACATGAACCATTAGAACATTGCGTAACAGACACACACGCACATGCACATTTGATTATTACTTATACGTAACCAGTGTGTGTATACTTATACAAATATAAATATGAATAAATAAATATACACACACACATATATATATACATACATACAAGCACATACACATACACGTGCACATTTGCATGCGCATGCACATGCGCATACACATACATAACTACGCAAACAAATATGTTGCACATATACACATCTAATCACATACATCTAATATATATATATATGCATATAGACTGGTTGGTCGCTTGTCTCAGCGTCCAGCCTGGTTCTGCCGCCTTTTTTTATTTCCAAGGTGAAGATTGCGGATTTCAATTGCGCGGAAGAGTGTCCAGGGCCCAACTTTGAGATTTTCGACGCTCAAGGCTGCGAGCGCGGTGTTTCTTTGGGCAAGATCCATGGTTTTTAGGTGATTTCAAGACCACCCTCGAAAGTGTGGGGGGAAGAGCCGAAGTAGAGCAAACCCCATGGAAAAGTGACTAAGAAAAATCCGTCTGAAATAATGATAAATTAGATATTGATAATTTACATGTCTATTTTCTATTTTTTTGGGGGTTGCTGTAATTCATTCACACCTGAAGGTACCAAGGTCCCAGGAGGTTCGGAATGGGAAGGCACTCAGAACTTTACCCCTCCCGAGTGCTTCAGAAAAGAAGATGATGCTTGGTCTGAAAGTTGTGTGTCATTGGGGTTTCTTGGTCAAAGTTGGGCATGATTTAAGCATGTTCAATCCGAAGGGGTTAAACAAATTGGGAAATTGAGATGCCCCAAGCCATACCCATTCGGGTGCAAAACGGGAACGATTGACAACGGCACACATTTCTCTATGTATATATATATATATATCAGAATTGACGATGGCAATGGCAACCTCCCCATTTTCAAGAAGTACACCAGTAAATCATCTACCTCTTCTTGAAAATTGGATAAAATTGGCCATGCCAGAGGTTCGATCAACTACCATGTATCAGTCGATCATCTACCTTAGAAGTGAGGGATTTTAGATTTCCATCAGGTTCCCATGATGATTTTCAGGCTGTTGGACTCCTGGCACGTTGTGGCCACCCTATAGCTGCTCTAAGGATGGCGTCATCAAGGGCAAACCGCGGGACATGTGCTTTGGCTGGAAGAAGTGGTATCAACTAGCAGCCAACCAGTTCAAAGTAGGTCCTCAACCGTTTGCAGTTTTTTTTTTGATTTTGCGTTTGTGAGACTGTGGAGGGCGGTTTTGAGTCCATTCTGAAAGCAACTGGCCATGGATGAAGGTGGTCGCTGGGCTGCGTCCTCTTCGTGCTGGTATATGGGCGTTGCCCCTTCTGGGCAGAAGACAATCTCCTGTTGCAGCTGCAAATCATGCAATGTACGTGGCTTGGAGCTACAGCTGGGCCCCCCATTCTCATATAGAGCTTAAAAAACATCCACGCAGTCAGGGTGATACTTGAGCTTTTTTGCGCACGCCTAGCCATGAAACTCATGCGCAGCCGTTGAGAGCAGAGCTTTGCTGTTTGATGCCCCTTCTTCAACCAATCTCTCTGAAAGTGAAAGGCAGAGTTTACAAGGCAAGGATTCTACATGGCTGTCGACAGCATGGGACAGACTTATTTCCATTGATTTTCAAGCAACGGCCAGCTGATTCCAAACCGCTGGGCCCAAAATCACCAACTCACCATTGGCAAATTTCTTCACATTTTCTTGGGATAAATCTTTAAGTACAGGTAAATTACATTTATCCATTTTTTGGATTTTTTTGGGTGGTGCTACTGCTACACGTTATATATTTTTCTCACATTCCATTCCATTTTATTAGGGATCGTCCTCTACCCCTTCCAGATCCTTACAGGGCGATATTAAAGCTTGGCCAACTAGGTTGGGTGTGTGTATATATATATAATCATGTTATATAATTAATGATATATAGTTATATATACAGTATATATAGAATCAACATACAGTTGGAGATGTGTTTTTTTTTTGCAACCTTCAGAACTTGGGGCTCCCGTGAGACCGAGGCTGGAGATGCCAACTGGTGGACCTGTGCTGTCCAAAGAATGGACTGCGCTTCTGCAGTCCTTGCTTAGCAGCTCGGTGATGGGGATTTCACCATGACAAATGGTGGTAAAATGGGGGCTTTTCGAAAATCTGGATATCCTTGAAGTACATGGAGCTTCAATGGGAGAATCATCTGGTGATTTTCTGGGAAACCATGGTTGATTCCCGGAGGGTATAGATGGAATAGGCCAGGGATGACTTATCACAGGGGGTACAGTAGCAACCAGTTGCTGGCAAGTAGAAAGTGGGGTTATAAGTTATAAGTTATAACCAAGCTATACATAAATACACACACGTACATACGTACATACGTACATACGTACATACGTACATACGTACATACGTACATACGTACATACGTTCATACGTTCATATACATACATGCATGCATGCATACATGCATGCATACATACATACATGCAGACAGACAGACAGACAGACAGACAGACATACATATAACCCCAATTCAGAGACCTACTGGCCAGGGCTACCCAAGGATATTACATTCAAGGTGATTCATCAGGATGATCCTCCCGGTACCCAATGACCCAACAGAAAGTTGACATTTCAGCCAGCCCCAAATTGATGACTTATAGGCACCACAATAATTTTCAAGATTTTTCAAGGCCATACCAATCAAGTCTATAAATTGTTGACTTTTGGAATGTTTGTCACGGTAAGAGGGGCTTAACATGGTTTAACCCATTCCCAAACTATTATACTCGGCTGGGCAACACATCAGCAGTAATTAAATGGTGGAGCTGAATCAGAGAGATCCACGCGACGAAAGAGAAGGATGGGTTTCCCACAATGCAATGGACCAATTCTCCGTGTTTTTCAAGGGCCATGGCAGTAGCTAACTGCTGGCTGCAGTGAATTGGACCATTGCACATCCCTGCAGGAAGGAGGAGTGGTGGAAAATTCCCACCACAGTGACCCCCAGCGTTTTTTCTACGGCAGTTAACACCACATGTCGGAGCTCCGGTAGTCATTCAAGTAACGGGATTCATCATCACTGGTGATGTAGCCAGTTTTATGATTGAAACACCATATGAAGGTTTCCGCAAATGGGGGTACCCCTAAATCATCCATTTATAGATGGATTTTCCCTTATAAACCATATATTTAGGGGTACCCCCATTTATGGAACCCCCCATATTTTGTTGTTGGGTCGGATGGATGGTTCAGGTCGCGCCGAGCCCCCAGATCTCTCCAGGTAGGGACCCATCAGCTCGACCGACAGCCGAAGCGCTGGTGCAGAGTGACTGGCTGAAGTGAGGCCACGGAGTCCGGCGTTGGCTCCAAATATTTACCACATCCCACGAGGAAAATCCGGAGCACGGGGCAATATCTTAGGCACTTGGATTTATCGGCCCTTTTCACTCCAAATTGACGCAATATTATTTTTGAGAGTTCTTTCGACTAAAGACAGAGAGTAATTGCACACACTTGCTCAGAACAACTGGGGAGAATTCCCATTGAACGCGGGACATGTCATAACTTGTTGGCCTCAGGGAGCAAACGTGAGTGGCCTTGTTTTTTTGGTAAAGCATAGTAGTTCTTAATGTCAATCTCTCTAATTCGGATGACCCCCAAGCAAACTGGAGGCAAGGACCTTCCATGAAACTAATTTGGCGATGGAAAATCACTAATGGATCGTTTCCAAATGGTTTTGCAACAAAAACATGGATTTCCCATTGCCATGTTTTATCGCCCCATTTCAAACATCGTATTTCTATATGTCTATATCATTTATCAGTTGGGCTTGGGCCAACTCTTGATCTTCCACGACCTTCACCAGAGGACCCGGCCCAGTGGTAGGGCGGCAGGTTCAGCCTGGGAGAAACCTGCAGTCCAAGGCTCCAAAAGTGCCAGGGCCAGGAAACAGTTTCCCCAACTTTGGATTTTTGAAACATGTTTGGAACTGTTTTTCCCCAATCATGTTCCAAAACCGACCCGAAATTCGATGATTTCAGAAGCTTCCAGCACTTTGGTCAGGTGGTTCCAGCAGAGTCTCCTTCGTTTCACCATAGCATCCGTAGTTCTTAGGTGTAGCTAGGCTTGGCGAAACGATGTGGCGCGCAAACCTGGGCGACATGTCCAAGAAAAGGGGACATCCCAGAAGCATCCTCTCGAACTTGGCTTGTAATTGATCAGTGAGTGATAGTAAAGAACAGAAACATGATCACAACAATAGGAATAACACCACTGCTGATAATGACAACAACACGCATAATATCATTGTAAATGCTCAATCCAGATGGCATGATCCCTATGAGCCCTATGACTGTGACAAAACATCCATATTTGTTGGATATCGGTGGATCTCGTGGTGATGATCTTTGGGTCTCGCCGCAGCTTATCGCTTTGTTCGTGGCCGATCAGCGTCGGCCCGTTGGCCCCGAGCCATGGAGGTGGCTCACTCCGTGGCGGAAGCGCTGAAGCGCTGGGGATGAGCAGGTTGGCTCTGGATGACCGAAGCGGCCGAGGAGACTTGAACTGGGTGAAACAAGATGTTTCAACATGTTTCAAGCTCTTGTAGCTGGGATACTTTGAAGATTTTGCTTGGGGGTTTCCTAAACCCAATCAGTAGCTACCATAGGACCTATTAAACTGTCCGCTACTGATTTCTTGCATCCCCAGCCTGTTTTTGGTTGGACCCCTGGTCACCTGCAAATCCCAGCTTCGCCGAGGAAGGACCTGCCGTGGCTGAAGTAGTAGATCAGGTTGATGCAGTGGATGCACCCGTTGCGACTGTCTCTTGGTGGTAAAACAAGTTTGGCCGAACCATTTTCCCTCGGGTTGTTCGTGTGAAATGCGTGAAATGAGGTGCCTGGGAACTGAAACCCAGACTCAACTTACCCATTGAAGTCAAGGTATACATATCCCATGTTGTTTGGCCCAGGATGGACCCCAAGACGGCGGCCTGGAGGCGGCCGTGACTGTAGTGATGGAGGGACGTGGGACATAGCCTGTTCGAATGGACCAAACAACGAGTTGTGGAGGCTCCAAAGGAAGCTCCAAATCTAACAAACTGTTTGGTATCTCACCATGGTCTGGTCGGTGCCAGATAGTCATAGGCCATCCTTTCCAGAACATGAATTGCAGCGGCGAGAACTAGGACACTCCCATGCAATCCCATGCACATGAATCTAAATAAATACCTGAATAGAACCCTACAGATGCTTAGCAGTATTGATAATCTGATTAAAGGATTTCCTGTCAAAAAAAGTCATTTCAGCCAACCGAAACAAATCCTTCTCGGCTCCTTCCAGGGTGGTGCGGAAGCTCCCGGGCCTCCCGGGTCTCCCGAAGCTCGGCCGCGCGCCCTCACGGCGCCCGACACTGAGCCCAGCGCGGCGGAGCCGACGTTGAGGAAGTCCAAGACGGTGGACGTGGAGGACGGGCCATGTTAGCCATGGGTAAAACATCTAAGAAACTACGTTTTAAGACTTAGACTCCTTGATTTTCGATAGGGGTATTACAAAATGTCTATTCATATGGGAAGGTGTTATTTTTACTTAGCGAATCATCATATCTTTTAGGGTGTTTCCCCAATCAATGGATGACATTTTTTCTCCAAGCTCAGGGGGATGGGCAGAAAGATGGCAAGGCCAAGAAGAAGGTGGGTCACTGGTGTTTGGCCCCAAAAAAAACAAGGTCGAAAAAGCCGGATGAAACAACAAGGATTGAAAAAAGGCATGGGTCACAATCTTGGCCCAAGATGGTACAAGGAAAAAAACATGATCATCAACTTCTCATCGGGGTGGATGACTTGATAGTTGAGTGTCTTTTCTGTATGCTGCTGTCGAGTTCTGGCGCACAAGGGGTACCACAAGATTTGATGAATCATGGAGTCTGATACCTGATTCTAGGTCGCTCTACTGATTAGATCACTAGGTCGCTGGTGAATGTCCCTCATGGGGAACTTTGTTCGCTGTTGGCGAATGTATCACCAGTGCTGCTGGGAGTTGGTTGAATCCCGCTCTGAAAATTGCTCACTTTTTGTCACAAAATTTCCGTCTGTAAATATCCGAGTTTTGTGCTTGTCACCTGGTTGTCCTTGGCCAATTTTACAAAATCGTGGGTTTTCATTGGATTTTCCTTAGTTAACCCCTCTCGCCGCTCAACCAGGTGGTGGTGAAGAAAAAAAAGAAGGTGGTGACCATCCCTGCCGCCGACAGCGCCGTGGATAGCGTCAGCGCCGTCGTAACGGAATTGGCGGAGGTAGAGGTGGAGGGCATCGTGCCGGAAGCAGCTGGGCGACCATCTGGAAATTCTCCCACTGAATATATGATGTAAATTCATGTCCTTTGTATATGGGAATCATATCCCACAAACATATTATATATATATTATAAATGTATATATATATATAAGTGTATATATATAAATATACATACGTACGTACGTACATACATACATCCATCCATCCATCCATCCATGCATGCATGCATGCATGCATGCATATATATATATATACACACATATATATAATTACACACACACACATATATATATGTTCACACATAAATTTACATTTGGAGTCATGAATGTGAACATTTAGAGTCATAAATATGAACATGTATAAATCAATCGACCAGTTGACTCACTAGTAAACAAACACGCACCCATATGTAGATATTCAAATGCATTTGAAGGGGGTGATTCAAATATAGGATTTTTGAGGATTCCCTGGCCCTCAAGGATCAGTTCAAATGGTGGTTTCCCCAAATCGCATCTTTCGAAGCGAATCCTAAAGTTCAAGTGTTGCGGAGATTCCAGTTTTAATTTTTCCCCAACAGCGTAAGCTAATGGGGTCTTCAGCCCACAATAGCTCCGGTGTGCACTGGTGCAGGTGCCGGGTCAGGTTCAACGAGGTTCGGGAGATGGTTCCGAAGGTTCCGGAGAAGGTCTGGCAGGCTTTGGTGCAGAGCGGGTCCAGGAAGCCTTGGTGCAAAGCCAAGCCAGGTTCAACAGGGTTCCGGAGAAGGTTCCGGAGAAGGCTTGGTGCAGAGCCAGGTCAACGGAGAAGGTTCCGGAGAAGGTCTGGGAGGCTTCGGCGCAGAGCCAGGTCAAATTCAACAGGGTCCGGAGAAGGTTCCGGTGAAGGTCTGGGAGGCTTTCGTGCAGAGCCAGGTCAGGTTCAACCGGGTTCCGGGAAGGTCTGAGAGGATTTGGTGCAGAGCCAGGTCAAGTTCAACAGGGTTCCGAAGAAGGTTCCGGAGAAGGTTCCGGGAGGCTTTGGTGCAGAGCCAGGTCAGGCTCAACAGGGTTCCGAACCTTGTTTGGTGCAGAGCCAGCTCAGATTCAGCAGGGTTCCGGAGAAGGTTCCGGAGAAGGTCTGGGAGGTTTTGGTGCAGAGCCAGGCCAAGTTCAACAGAGTTCAGGAGAAGGTCTGGGAGGCTTTGGTGCAGAGCCAGGTCAGGTTCAACAGGGTTCCAGAGAAGGTTCCGGAGAAGGTGTGGGAGGCTTTGGTGCAGAGCCAGGATACGTTCAATATAGGGTTCCGGAGAAGTTCCGGAGAAGGTTCCGGAAAAGGTTCTGGGAGGCTTTGGTGCAGAGCCAGGGGAGGTGCAACAGGGTTCGGGAGAAGGTTCCGGAGAAGGTCTGGGAGGCTTTGGTGCAGAGCCAGGTCAAGTTCAACAGGATTTGCGGCCATTTAATAGACAGAAACCCAGCTGAGGTGTTTCCAGCGCGTGGCGTCGCAGCACGTTTCAGAAAGATTTGTAAAATATAAAACGTTGCGTCTGTTGGGGATACCACCGAAGCTTATTTTAGATAAATAAATAAAGATGTATATATATAATATATATAATTTATATATATATATATATGTTTTAAGGTCGTACAAGTCAGTCAGTCTTCGGCTTTAGTGCTATGCCTGATTTTATGCTGGTCCACTTTGTACCGTCAGTTGCGGCGGTGGAATCGATTGGAGCTGTTCATGCCAGGCTTCTTGCGATCGGGATCATCACAAATCCCCATTCCCCGGTTCTGCCCAATATCCCAATCGAACTTTTATTTTGTTGAAAGTTCCATCCTTGTGTTGGTCAAAACACAATTTTTGGATGGTCAAACCATAGTTTTTTTTGTATGTTTTTTTTGTATGTTTTGTATGTTTTTGTTGCTTCAAACTCCACACCAACTGGTTTTGGTTTGTGCCAACTTTCGAGATCTTCATCACGGGGATTCATGTGCCAAATGTTTCTTGGTCATCGCCAAGTCCTCAATGAAAATCGCGGATCCAATCCCACATTTTGTTGGCTAAATCCTGCAAAATCAAATTCAATGTTAAATCCGCCAGGTTTGATGCTCAAATGACATTTTTTCAACAATTTGCTTATCTAAACCACAATTTTTAAACAACCTGAAACCCCAAATCCCAAGATTTTGATGGCTAAATCATTTAAACATCACCTAAACTCATCATGGTTAACACTCCATTGATATCCCCTTCATCTTTCATTTATAGATGATTTTCCCAATCCAATCCCCATTTTTCATGTTTCACCTCCATTTTTTTCGGTTCAACATGGTTCAACCCCCCGTGGTTCCTGTCGTTTCGCCCCCAGGTCATCGGCCGACGCCTCTCCGGCACGGCCTCAACCGTGGCCGTGGAGGTGCCCGAGCTGCCCGAGCTGCCCGAGCTGCCCGAGCTGCCGCCGCGGATGCCGCCGCAGCTGCCGTTCCACTTTCGCCTGGACGTGGGGGCCACAGGGATACCATGGCTCTTTAGCCATGAATTTTGATGGGAACTGATCATAATTTACTGTAGCTGATGTAACTGATGTAACCATGAAACATGAAGAATGATGCTAGGTGGATCTACCTGAGTTTCTGAACCACATGATTTTGGGGCACCATTCCAGGTGAGTACGTAACTTACGGGGTTGACTCCGCAAAAAAACACGTGAAAATGCTCATAAAGCACAGTTAGCGTGCCCCAGATTGAGCCAAAAGACAGGAGATTTGTGCCGCGGATCCTGATGCTCATCTTGTGTGGATGATCTTGGTTCCAATTCTAGATCTTTCCGGAAGTCTACCCTTGAAAAAATATCGGATTGCCACCACTGGCCATGGTATCCATGAAAGGCCCCAGCAGAAATCATTTTTCAGGTCTCTGGCGTGAAGATTGGAAACCACTTCCCTGATGATCCAATTAAGAACATCTCGTTGAGTCTGGAGAAGGAATGGAGATATTGCAGACGCCTGGGCTGAACTGTTGGCAGTTTCCTAGCAAAACCACGGGCGCGACGGGTCAATTTGATATGGCTTCAAATGGAATGGCTGGAGGCCCATTGATGGTTCCCAACTCTTTGCGATTTTGCGATTGTTCTTCAACAGCAAAACGTTGCTATGGGGTCTTTAGCCCAGATTAGCTCCTGTGCGATCCGGTGCAGCTGGTTCCGGCAAGGTTCCGGCGGAGGGTTCTGGTGAAGATACCTGCTGACTCCGGAGGGTTCCGGTGCAGATACCTTGTGAGGTTCCGGAGGGTTCCGGTGCAGATACCTTGTGAGGTTCCGGAAGTTTCCGGTGCAGCTACCTGATGAGGTTCCGGAGGGTCTAGGTGAAGATGCGTGGTGAGGTTCCGGAGGGTTCCGGTGCACAGACCTTGTGAGGTTCCGGAGGGTTTTGGCGGAGAAGATGCTTGGTGGAGTTCCGGAGGGTTCCGGTGCAGATACCTTGTGAATCCTTGTGAGGTTCCGGAGGGTTCTGGTGCAGATGCTTTGTGGAATTCCAAAGGGTTCCGATGTCTTTATGGCATACGTAAGCACTTATTTTTTATGGCATAAGCGCTTAATTTGTATGGCACAAGCACTTTTAATGGCAAAAACGCAGAAGCATTCAAGCTGTTGGGGATAGCACCTGAGTTGATTTTTTTCTCCTCCTGAATTGCAATCCAATTTCTGAAGTCATCCCTGTCTGAAATCTGCTGCATGGTGGTTGCATCCACATGTCTTGCGTCGCAATTATTGTTGGTGAATTTCCCATATTTGTCCGTAAAATTCCAACATTTGCTGGTCAAATCCCCATGTTTGGTTGGCGGAATTCCAAGTTTTATGGCTTGAATCCCCAGTTTTGTTGCTTAGTTTCCCATGTTGGCAAAGTCTTCCCTTTCTGGATCGAGGAAAAGATCAGGAACGCGCTTGGATCAACGACAAAGACCTGCCCTGCGAGATCCGTGATGTGGCGCTGCAACACGACAAGTGCCTCAAAAAAGAGGTCTGGCCAAACATCAAGCAGAGACGCTTGGGCGGTGCCATGGGGTGCTTGGGCCATGGTGCCATCAGTTATAGCTGGTTAGCAATCATGGGTTCCAAAACATGTATATAGCCATTTATGCTATTTGTATAGTTGCTTATGACAAAATATTGTAAATGGGAATGTGACCGTGGGTGATGACCAATGGGTATGCGATGGGTTATAACATGTTATAACCGTGTTACTAACCCGTGAGCCAACTTCATGATCCAACTGGTGCATGGCCTGTTCACAACATAAAACACATGGTGATAAAGGACATGCCAGATACCGACCCTTCGATTTTTTTCAAAAGGAAACCATTGGTTGATGTTGGCATTAAGCAGTAGCGCAACGAAACGCCTCAGTGGATGCTTGTGAGTTCATTCTGCCATTTCTGACATCTCTAGGCGAATTTGTTCACTCATTCCGTTTAATTTGGGTATAATAGTGCAATTTGTATATCAAGGGTTCATAACTATGGACTATGGATGATTGACAATCCGCTTGACCAGCCAGCATCAGCAGTTAATAGAGTGCCTCGTGGGGATGTGGGCCATACTTTTTGTAACAGGGGTTCCTAAAATGGCACACCTCCAAAACTATTCAGCAATTAATTGTTTTTTAGGTGTGGAACCACATGGTTTTTGTGGGTACCCAGATACCGGATACCCCATTTTGGGAGACAGTCGTTGCCTTTGACATTCCCACAGATTTTTTTAGACCACGGCTGGCGGTTCCGTCATTGACGCCCATGATTTTTGATGCCTGTGTTGCCCGGGGTCCAGAGCGCCATTCAGTGAAAGGAAAGGACGAGAGCTGGCAAAAGATGTCCTATGCTGGCAGAACCGTGCGAACCTATCCCATGAGCCCTGGATGCCATAGATGGCTATGGAATGGTATGGATTGATGAAGGATGGTCTTGGGGTAAGGGTTTGTCCCGAAGTTGCGCATAACAAAAATTACAAGTTTAAGCAGAAAATGATGAAGCACTGAGCACTGGTTGCACTGGCTGTTGAGGTGAGCTACGCGGATGCAACTACAGTAACAATGGGGATATTATTGGCGGGAAACATGATGGGGCATAATGGCGCATTATTAGTGCATTATGATTGTATCCATACTGATTGCATCTATAGAAATGGAGATACAATCGTTGATCAACGCATGGGACTTAGCAATGAGGAGAAAGCAGCAACAGTGAAGGCTGTGAAGGGCACAGACGGGATATCTCAGGGTATGGGTATCCATATTCCTGGTGAATGGGGAGCCAGTTGGAGCTAGGAATTGAGGAAAAACCACAGGCGATCCAACTTTTTTCAAGAGAAATTGTTACCCTCTGGCAATCATGACTGGTTGGTGGTTTGGAACATTTTAAAAATTTTCCCCAATAGGATGATGATCCAATCCGACTTTCATATTTTTCAGGGGGGTTGAAACCACCAATTAGATGAGAATATTCCCCATTTATCCATTTTTCGTTCGGGGATTTCCACGGGTTTCCCCTAAGTTTCGTGGCTCCCCGGGCCGAAGGAAGGTGGAGAAATTCTACACGGCACCAGGGCAAGAGCTGACACGAGAAGATCTGAAAGGGGCCACAGACCCTTGGAAATTCAACCCTGGGCACCCGGGAAGGTACTGTGAGGACCAAGAGTCGATATGCATGTTACCCTCTGGTAATTTAACGTAGCTATGGAAAATCCCCATTTTTAATGGGAAAATCCACTATTAATGGTCATTTTCAATAGCTACGTTAAATTACCAGAGGGTACATATAGAATCGTATGCATTTATGTATGCTGTATACATCTGTATACTGTGCATGCGTGTCTGTCGATATAGTCTACTCTTGTCTACTCATGTATGATGCAGGTCAATGTAGATCATGGACGCCGGCAGTTATATGGGTGAACTCCAGCTAAAAAATGGACGTAAGCCCAAAACGCAGCTCAGTGGCTAACATCACATCCCCATTCTCATAGAATTGGATGATGGGAAAATTTACAGGAAAACCTTATATTTGATGGTAAAAACCCATGGGTTTCCGGTTAAGATTTTCCCTTAAACCAACCCAATGACATTCCAGGAAGACCTTTGGTGCTACATGATCTATGACCTCTCGGGCGATCCACTACTGAAAGACATCGGACATGACGGTCCAACCACCTTCTCAGCGCTGGTTCTGTTGTATATCTCCTACCTGGACGGTGATGCCAAGTGCCCTTGGCCCAATGTGTTTGGAGATGCTTCAAATCATTTTATATAGATCTTTTGGGGGGAATCCACCACAAAGATAGGGATATATAATGGCGTTATGACGTTTTTAGCTAAAAAAAATGCATTTTCCGCCTCAATTTTTTTGGGAGCTTGGTCGGGGATCCACCCCAGAATCTTCGGTCTACCTGGCTCCCCGCCTCCCAAAGGGTGTCAATATGATGTCACTTCGCGGCTTCCGGCGCGGCTTTCCGGCGCAGGCATTCAACGGAGATCCGCGCCAGTCACATCGACCACTTCGAGTTCGCCTTGTGCTTCCCGCCCTCGCCGTATCCCAGCTGCCAGCTAGATGCGCCGGACTATGGCATGGCAAGGCAGGGAGATGAGGTGAAGAACATGGGAAATGGGTCATTTTTATCCCTTTAAGGATGTTCAAACATAGGTTCAACCCCAAAACTTGGTGACTTGGGGTTGATTGTTGGGGGCTTACCACATTCTATCCCAGGATGCCAAAAAGGGATGTGGGTGATGGAGCCTCCCTCGCCAGGTGCTTCCAGCTGGATCTGACTGGTGAGAAGCAATCCTTGGAGAGCCTGATGTCGCCTGGCCCATGGCTCCACTAGAGGCAACGGTTTTTTCTGAGCGAGGAACGATGTTGGACATATCTTCAACCAGAGGTAGGCAACCAGAATCAACTATCTGTAGGTGTTTTGTTAAGCACGCCCCATTTGAAAAGGGCTACACCCAAACAGTACTTGATTGTTGCTTTATCTAGGCACCCATATTTGGGTACTTGATATTTCGGGATATTTTGTGGATGTAGGTAAACCCCATCCCATTGAGGTTCCAAGTGCGGCCAGCCTTGACCTGGCTCTTCTGGGACTGCTTTGAAGAGCTCTTCCAGGTTAGCCCTGCGGGTGCAGGGCTGGGACACAGTTGGTGTATAACCCAATCATCTGGGTAATGTGATTAAAACAATAAACACACCAACCCATGTGGGAATGGTTTATACCACCTATAAAAATGGGGATGACTGGTGGATTGGTTTATTATTTTTGTTTTACCCATACGAGTCGGTCGACTGTCCACCAGGTGAAACGGAACATGACCTTCAAAGCAGTGGGGAGTCTCGACCCTTGGACCTGAGACGCTGCGGATGTGTAGCCGCGGGGTTTATTCCCCACCTGCCAGGTGAGGGTTGTTAGATTTTATGTCAGTTGCCTGCTCCTCTCCTCCTCTCCTCTCCTCCTCCTCCTGCTCAACCGCGACCCTCGACGCACAGTGTTCTCTGTCGGACCTCAACCACGACCATCCACGCCCAGTGTTCCCTGCCGGACCTCAACCACGACCATCCCCGCCCAGTGTTCCCTGCCGGACCTCAACCACGACCATCCACGCCCAGTGTTCCCTGCCGGACCTCCACCGCGAGTATCCACGCCAAATGTTCCCTGCCGGACCTCATGTAGGAAGATATGGGACAAAGAATGTGCAGAAGAAAGTTAGAAAGAATGTCAGACAAGTATGTTATATATTACTTGCAAACTCGCGCGTGTGTGGTAGAGTGACCGGGGCAATGCCACTTCTTACTTTGCAGGTGGCAAAGTTTGAAGCAATCAGTTTGAACAGATGACAGAGTCACTGGGGTGGACAGAGACATTTCCACTTCTGTACCTTTGGAGCTGTTTGCAAAGACGCTTGAGACAGGCAACATCTTACAGCAAGTTACTACAAATTACTTGAAGTGATCTCATGCTGGATTGATGCTTGAGACAGTCAACATCACACAGGGTTTCTGTTGTGTATCACAGCTATGGTGGCATGGTGGATATGTGACATCGGAACATTTGTTGGAGCATTTGAGCCCTCATCTACTCGATCGCGGGCCAGAGGCAGGATGGACATCATCATAGAAGAATTCAGCAGGAGGAGGTTGTGTGATCAGTAGTGTCTTCTTGCGTGTTTTTGTTTGCTTGGCAGGTGATGGCAGAGGGTGACCAATCTGCGAGTGCTGCGCAGGCGAGGAGTTTGAGTGGAAGTAAGCACATTGGCCAGTGGCTGCTTTCAAAAGTGTTGGATAAGTGATTTGGAAAGCAGCTTCTGCTTTGACACCCTGCGCAACAGCCGACGCGAGCTCAAGCACAAGCAGAAACGTGAATAAGATAATAGTGCTCAAAGGATAGGGACATGAAACGCTTGAGAATATAAATGTAGTAGGTGTATCTCTTCGAAATGTTTCATTGAGAAAGATTGGAGAGGTTACATACTATATAGATATTTAGGTGTAGCTTGACACTGCAAGACGGACACTGTCTTTTTGCACTTGGGAAGTTTGAACACATTGGGACTGAACTGGTTTTGACCGGGAAGGTCTGGTGTTTCAAGAGCCATGGCAAAGAGATCATGGCCATTTGGTGTCACGAGTTGGGATGACACTGTGAAATTTGCGCAGCTTTTGTTTGGTGTAGACGTTGCCTTTGAGAACTATGCAGAGAGATTGCCGCATAGATCGAACAAATCCTTCTTGCTATTCGCCAAAGGCGCTTGTGCTGAGGGAAGGCCCTTCTTCGAGATTGGAGATTTCATTGCGCCACAGCTGGAAGAGATTCAACAGTGGGAAGAAAATGTTCGCAACAACAATGCTCGCCCAACGAAATCCCAGCAGATGCTGAAAGCTGACGGATGGACTGTGTACTACTGGAGTGCGCAGGTGACGCGTGCTCCGTGTCTGTGTCGCTCCATCTTTGGAGCTGACGCTCACCAGAAACACGTGCCAACTTCATTGGCCATGTGGAAAGCTGGAAGCAGATTTGAGAAAATATGGGACGCCACATTGATGAAGAACTACGAAGCTTTTCAGAATCGAGACCTGCGTCCCACTTGGCTTGACAAGTCGTGGCAGGAGTTGTGGAACTGGAATGATCACAACAAAAATCATGGAATCAGCCCTCATTCAGATGAGTCTGCCACCTACAGCAATGTTGATCCGATCACGTCCTTTTCCTTTGGGGATGGGGGTGTGTTGACCTTGGGCCCCAAAAAAGGTCCAGTGACAAGGATGTTGTTCCAAGAAGGCGGTGGCGCTTTGGTGATGGCAGGAGACTTCCAAGCAGAGTTTTGCCATGGTGTGCCGGCGCGCTCCACTTGGAAAGATTTGAAGTTGCTTCCTATGTTCACTACAATGCAAGAGTGGGAGAAAGTTGGGCTGCAGCAGGAAATTGCTTTGCATGAAGGTGCTGCGCCAGAAGCCAAGCATGTCCGTATGAATTGCACGCTCCGCTGGCACAGCACACATTGGGCTGGATGTCCGGTGCGGGGGCAGGAAGGTCATGGGACTCAACCGGTTTCGACTGGAGCTGTCCAGACGTCTTCAAGCCCTTTGGCACCTGGCGAAGACCCTTGGTTTGAGGAAGAGTCGCCAAGTGTGTCTGCTGGAGCCGCAGCAAGTACTGTGAGTGTTTCTGCTGGAGCTGCGGCAAGTACCCAAGGGAGTCAACCGGTTGTGACCGGGGCTGTCCGGGTGCCTGCTGCAAGCGTGGTGGATCCAAAGCAGTCGCTTCTTTTCACTGGCATTAAGAAGCGAGGTGTGGAAGAAGAGCCAACGCCCTCTGTCAGCACAGTGAAAACATCTTGTTCGGGTGAAGAGTTGCTGCTGGAGCGCTCGGATGAGACAATTAAGAGCCTACTGGATTGTATTGAAGCATGTGTGCGACAGAATGATCTTTTTACGTTGGCCATTACCGGCACTCCATTGGTCGCAGCCACACAGGTGCATGCTGAGATGTTGGCGAAGATTGATGAAAATGTGAAAAAATTGAGATTCATTTGAAGAAGTCGAAGCGGTTTCTGGATGCTCACCTGCCAGAAATCACAACAGCCATGCGCATGTGCACGCCTGCTGCTCCTTTGTCCGAGGATCACTTGGCTCAGCTGCGCACTCGCAAAATCGAAAATTGCAAGAAAGAACTAACCACGGACTTGTTCAAGCATGGTCACGTCATTGGAATGTATTGGGAGAACATTGCTCGCAGCATGGTGGAACGGGCAAATCGAGATGCGCAAGACCTGGATGTGCCGTTATTTTGTTTGCAAGCTGCTGACCAAAGGCATTCCAGAAAAAATAAAGCCATAGACAAGCAGCTGACACATCAGCTGCTCACTGTTCCAAACCCGCATCGCACTGGCAAATTGCAAGGCATGCTACTGGTGCACGAGAACATGGTTGTGCGACTGGCGGATGAAGAAAAGTTTCAGAATGTGGCCGATCACACAACTGACGCAAAGACATTGTTCTTTGTGGAATTGGTGCATGCAGAGTTCAAAATTGATTTGAAGCTAGGCGAGGAAACCGAGAAAATTGAAGTGATTCGCTGGCAGTTTCCTCTTTTGCATGGCATGCTGCGCACTGCTTACAGCGCGCAAGGCTTGACTTTGGATGGAGGTGTGCTGGTTGATTTGCGTCGTGGTGGTGGCCTAGAGGATGCCGACTGGTGGCTAGTCATCTATGTCATGCTGACGCGTGCCCGCAAACTGAAGAATCTCATCTGCTGGGGTTCACGGAGCAAGTGGAGGAGCTTTTACGCAGAGGCCCTCCTACCTACTTGCGAGAACTGACTGACAAGTTGGAAACCAAAGCTGCTTCGACGCTGGAGCGGCTGCAGTCCTGGCCTGTCTATGATGCATTGCAAGCATCCTGACACAGTGCTCTGCCAGTGGGACCTAATCGGTTTTGACTGAAGAGGTCCGGGGGAGGCATAGGCCTGACACGTTGCTCTACCTGTGGGACCTAATCGGTTTTGATTGAAGAGGTCTGGTGGAGGAATAGAGAGTTGCAGCTGCAGCGATCTGGTGAAGTAACACTGGCATGGTTTTGTCTAGTTTACACACGAGCTTGCGAGCTTTTGACTTTGGTTCAGGTGGTCCACTGGCTTGTTTCAGTCATGTTTTTACAAACATGTTTGACAGGCGGTGTGCTGACATGTTTGGGCATGTTTGTTTGTTTGGCTCAGGTGGTCCACTGGCCTGTTTGGTCATGTTTAAGCAAACCTGTTGAGAGCTCTGGAGTTTACTTCACATGGCCCACTGACATGTTTATATCCTGTTTGACAGACTGACATGCACAATGACCTGCCAGGTGAAACAAATGATTGGGATAGTTAGTTGGGCAAAAGTCCCGTGACAAAAGCTTCAGACAAAAGTGGTGTCAACAAGCTGTTTTGAAATGTCATGGTGGGGATCACTCGAAGCAAAGTAATTTTTTATTTTTTCGCTTGTTAGAGTGGATACATGCCAATGTTGTATATGTATATGTATAATAATGTGTATATATATATATATATATACATATATATTAATATATATATATATATGCATAGACTAAAAGCTGGAGAACCATGCGTTCCAATCGTGTCAAATTGCATGCTTTCAAGAAAAGACATCCTGCTGAGATCCGCAGAGACCAAACCACATGGGCATCGTGGCGGACTTGTAGCGATAAAAGTTGGGGTGCTCCGTGCAAGTCACTACCTTGGACAGGTTTTGAATAATCCAATCACATTTCCCCTGCATTTTCATTGAATTCCATTGTATTCCACCATATTCCACCATTGTATTTTTTCCACTAGATTATGCCATGATTTCCTATTAGTTCCTTTCGGCCCATGGGAAAATTCACCATTTGGCACCTGAGGCCCACAAGGTAAGATCCTTAGTCACCAGCCGCAGCAACCTGAAGGACCTCGAGATCATGGGAGGAAAAGAATTGAATTCTTCATACTATTAATTTTCCCAATTACAATATCCGGGACATCACTTTCTTCACTGATCCTCCGTTGAAATTTGGGAGGAAAAATAGCGAAATCCAATTCGTAGAATTTTCTTTTGCATTCGAAAGTTATCACCACTAATTCTAGTAAACATAGACATGACATCCGCATTTTTGAAATTATCAATCATAATCAGGAATGATATAGTAAATCCTCCGTCCTCGTCTTACGGCACCCCGTGGTAAATTAACATGTGGAAAATCGTCCGCATACATATGTATAATTATGCTTACACATGTGTGATGTATGTGTAATTCTCTAATATATATATATATGTATATATGCATGTATATATATATATCTACACACATATGTGTGCATGTATGTGTGCTGTATGCATATATATATATATATACACATACACATACACATACACATGCATCATCCATCCATCCATCCATCCATCCATCCATCCATCCATGCACAACTAAATAAATAAATAAACAAATACATATATACAAATATATATGATTATATATGTACAGATGAAAATTATACAGTATTTTCCATTAAGAGTTGAGGGTTTCCATCGATATGCCGACTTACAAGAATGTACTTGGTCGCTCAGCCCAGCTAGCAAATGTGCTATACACCCCCATTTATATGTAGGCTAAGTGGGAGCAATGTCCAGGTATAACTGGGGTGAACTAAGCCTCGGATCCTACAAGGTATCCCCCCAGTCATAAACTGGTTTATAAATCGCATCAACTATAGATATACCTAGCATGAACCATAGTTAGCCTAGTTATGTGCGTCAACTTAGCTATCATAAATCAACTATAAATCCCATGAAATCCCCATGTTTTGTTGATGAAATCACCGTTTTCCCTATGGTTTCCTATGGGAATCCCCAGCTTCTGTACCAACCAGGGAGCACCACAGGAGCTTCGGCAATGTGAGGAGCGGCCGCAGGCCCTGGCCTCGTTGTTGTCCTTGGTACGGGCGCAGGCCTTCAAGCACCGTGGCAGATCCGGATTTTGACGGCCACATCCACCATGGAAAAACTGGGTATGGGGAACACAAATTTGTATATTGGGCATGTGTTTTTGTTTCTCCGAGAAGGGGCAGTTGGAGATGTATATATAGTAGATTTTAGCAAGCTCACTGGAAATTGATGGTTGGAATAGGGGAGGTCATCCCAAGCATGGCGAATTTCTGATTCGGGGCTTACTATAATTTGATATAATTTGCCCAGAACCATTAAGAAAAGGGCTTTGTGAAACAATCTTATACAAACTCTAGATTTGACTATAAGAAAACATTACTAAGAATTCCAAACTGTTGAGAGGTGCGGCGACTTGGCGGAGTCTATGGTTGCTGTTCACTGACCATGCAGTGTAGGCATGACTCGTTTCCTCGACTCCTCACAAACAACGCTCTTCCCAGACATCCCACTTTTTGCTGGTCGAATCCCGGTTTGGTAGTTCATCCTGCAGAAGCTGGGCTGTAAGCGGTTTTTGTCACTTCTCCTCCCACATTTACCCCGCAACTCCCTTTTCTTCTGCGACCAATCATCTTTTTTCAAGGATTCTTTTCATGTTCCCAGCCTGCCTGGGATTATTATTTTGAATTGATCCACTGTGGTATCTTGGGGTCCTAGCTCAACCACCATCCAGTGTTCCATCTGAGGTTTCCCTTCAGATGTCGTATCTCGAAGCAGGAGGCCCAGAACTATCGCGCCACCATGGCTGAAGTCAACAACCAGGATGAGTCACTCGTTGGGGAGTCGGTAGCTGAAACTTTTGGGATGCTGAGAAGTTTCAATCAAGCTCAGTTGGTTGACGATTCTAAGCGACAGCAACAATGGTTCCCAGGGAACCATTACTTTAGCAACATCAACAAGCAGTTCTTGTATGTTTTTGTATGTTTTGGTCTTTTGGCAAACCAAGTTTGTAGTTCTCCTCCAGGCATGGGAAAACTAGAAACATGTCAAAACCAACCACAACCACCACCTTCAAACAATTTCGATCAAATTCAATTGGTACTAGCAAATCGTGTGAAACTCGTGATGAATCTGGGCTTCCCGCAATTCTTCGAAAATTTTCCCAAGGTTCCCCGAAAGCTCCTCGATGACCAACCAGTCTCTGTCCGACGATCAGTGCCCTTGGCAGCACTTTGGGTGGAACTTTGGCGCGCCCAACCCTGTCCCAAAGCTCTGTGTGTGTGTGTGTCTATATATACATATTATATATATACACACATATATATATAACTGGTTGGTGGTTTCAAACATTTTTATTTTCCATTTCATATATGGGATGTCATCCTTCCCATTGACGAACTCATATTTTTCAAGATGGTTAAAACCACCAACCAGATGATAATATACATATTTATACAGATATGGATCGACATTGAGGTCCTCAAGAATTGCAGGGCTTCTGCCGAACCTTGCCAACATGGAACCCTAACATCTTAATGTCCGCCACTGGTCTCTGAATGCAAATAAGACCACCAAATAAACCAACCCAAGGTTTGCCACTCCAGAGCTAGCCATCATGCTGAGCATTTGGTGTGTGTTGTCAAAGATTGATTTGGTGGCACCTTCGATTTTCCGGTGTTTCCAAGTTGTTTTCATTCCGGACTTAGGCTCCGAGGCATTCCCAAGTGACATTTATTCTATCTGGATCATTCCCACATCTCTATACATTTTGGTATATGGATACATAGCCACATAATAGTTACTTAGCATACTCAGCCGGCATTCCCCTGGCAAGGTTGCTTGGAGGTGCCTCTTCAGTTGGTAAAGCATTTTGATAACCAATTTATTACCGGGGTACAAATCCCGCATACTTAATGGGTTCATAACTTATAACTGGGTCATGTTATGGTTGCATTCACTCAGTAACTAGCTAATAACCCCAGTAAGACCCCGTTTATATCTGGACTATCCCCAGGTATGGCTAACAGCAACTCCCAAAAAAGATGGAACAGTCTAATTCTTCACCAGTTTGGTAAGAGTTTCCCAACTTTCTATACAGGTTGCTTGGTTTTTATGGCTGAATTTCACCACCCACATCCCCCGGGATACCTGGGCCCAGGTTGGACCTTTTGGCCGCTCTTGAGCTGGCCACCGACCGTGCCATCCAGGACTACACGCGCGCGCTGCGCGAGGAGGGCGGCCTGCTGCCGCGGCAGTGGTCGCAGGGGGGGCCACTGAGGCTGAGGCCTAAGCATGGTGCCATGGCTGGAAGGGTTGGGTTGCCAGGGTTTCATGCCAGCGCTGAAGCCTGGAAGAGTTGGAAGGGTTGGAAGGGTTGGAAGATTTTTGGGTGACTCTAGGGCGCACTATGGCACAGAAAACTTTCCGTGATATTCATGAGGGTAGGTTCGGAGGAAAGCAGAGGTTTGCCACGAAGAAGGTGAAGTCAAAGCAACTTCCGATGGAACGGGATGAAATATACTGGTGGTGGAATTAACGCTTCAAATCGTCTGCATCAAATCATCTTAAAGTCTTAGCAGTAGTCTCACTTGTATGACTGGTTCCCAGGAATGTAAGAACGAGAGCTGCCATGTTGGCTCCATTTGATTGCTCTTCCTGGGTGACGGTCATCCAGGCAGCATGAGCCTGTATGTCCTGGTAACTGGCGGAAACGCTGGCATCGGCCTTGCATTGTGCAAGCAGCTGACTTATGACTATGGCTGTCATGTTTACTTGTGCTCCAGGTCATTGGAGAAAGGAACGGCCGCTATGAAGAGCATCGTGGATGGTAAACCGGCATCCTGCAAGGGCCAATGTGAAGTTGTGCAGCTGGACACCTCCTCGGATGAATCGGTGGTGTCTGCAGCAGCTGATGTGAAAGCTCGTTTGGAGGCAAAGGGCGCGCAGCTCTATGCCATTGTGAACAATGCAGCAACCGGAATGTCCCATGGTGTAACCCCAGATGTGGTGCTGAACACCAACCTCTTTGGGCCCAAACGAGTTGTGGAGGGCTTCATGCCGCTGGTTAGCAAGTTTGGGCGCATTGTGAATGTCAGCTCTGGCGCTGGCCCGAATTATGTTGCCAGGTGCTCCTCAGAGGTGAAGAAGATGCTCTGCAATCCGGAGGTTTCTTGGGAGCAGATCGTAGAACATGCCAAGTCAGGACTGGGCTCTCCCGCGGACTACATGGGTGGCTACGGCTTGTCGAAAGCCTTGTTGAACTGCTACACCATGCTGCTAGCCAAGCAGCATCCTGAGCTGCTGGTGAGCTGCTTGTGTCCGGGATTCCTTGAGACAGTCATGACCAAGGGTATGGGAGCTCCGAAGCCGCCCGAAGAGGGGACGGTGTCGATCAGACATTGTCTCTTTGACAAGCTGGATGGAAGTGGATGGTTTTATGTATCCGATGGGGTGAGATCTCCTTTGCATTTCCTGAGGCATCCCGGCCAACCTGCTTACAATGGAGAACCAGTGAAATAAGATAAATAAGCGATGCAGGATGATGTACATGTAGGACCTACGTGTCGGGAATCGATTTCTTGGATCGTGAGAAAGCCACCCGAAAAGTGCCCCCGCTGCTGGAAGGTGCTGGTGGGGGCTTTGTTGGGACCAAACAACAAGAGCCAACATGGTGCCTTTAATTGAACAGAGATTTAACCATCCAAACTGATCAAACATGAAGTTTCAATGAATTGTCATCCACGGAATGGGGGGCAAAAGTCTGATGGGTTTGACCAAACACGGGGTATTTAAACCAAGAAAAACATGGGGATATGATGGAACGAACGAACACTAGATACAATTTAGTTAGATAAATGTTAACTACGAGAGAGAGAGAGAGAGGGAGACTATGGCTGAGGCTTATCCCAATTATGGCATTATTTGCTGAGACTATTTCATGGGATTAGCCCCCACCTTTGCCACTTGAACCCAGAAGCCGATCGAAGCTGAGACTCTGAGAAACTCGTGGAGAAGGTGGCCCCGTTGCAGCTGAGGAATGCGGACGGAGGCTAGGATGCGGTGTCAGCGTATGGGGTGGATGTGGACGAATATGTATGCATGTAACATGTAGGTAACGTATGGTAACGTAATGTAATAGTAAAATGCAACGCAAGGCAACGCAATGCAATGCAATGCAATGTATATAGTGTAATGCTATGTGCAAAAAATAGATAGATAGATGGATGGATGCATAGATAGATGAATAGTTGAATAAATAACAAACAAACAAATAGATAAATAAATAGACAAACAATGACAAATAAACAAATAAGTAAATAAGTCAACAAATAAATAAACAACCAACTAACTAAGTAGCAACATCAATAAACAACAACAAACAAACAAATAGACAAGCAAATAAATACATGAATAAATAAATGAACACACACACATATTATATTGTTATGCAATTCGTTTATACAATAAAGAACAAACAATGATTCAATCAGGAACGCAGCCTGGAGAGCTCGCCTTGATCCGATGCATTGGTGCGATCAAACTGGACCGCCGGCCGCCTGCTGAGATGCCGGGCCGCTCAATGGGATCCGTGGGATCCGTGGGAAGTGGATGGATTGAGGGAAGTTGGTGAGAAAATGGTCATTAAACCAATTTAAACCCCTACCCCCAGTAAGATTTTTTTAGAATCACAAGAACCTGCCCCCCAAAAAAAGAAGACAAGGAAGAACATGGCTCAGTCCATTGAAAAATAGATAAAAATAGCATGCCCCGCAACTTCTTCATCTTTTTCTCTCTTTTGGGCCTCGAAAATTCCACCAGATTTCCCAACTTCGACGTCCGAGGATGGAGTACCGTCAGGGTACTGCGGAGATCTCTGAGGCCGAGATCTGGGAAAAGGAAGTGCCCAGCCCAAGCTCCATGGAGGAGGTGGATGGGGGGTGGGTTAGACGTTTTGGGCCCGGGGGAAGACAAGGAACATGTCCAACACTTATTTTGCCAAGGGGGAGACACAAACTTGGAGGGGATTTCAAGAAGAAAAACTGGAGATCTGAACAAAAGTCGGGACTTTTGACCAACCGTTTCCATTGTTTTGGGATATTTTGGGGTGCAAATCTGAGAAGTCTACGTGAATATCACTTTGAAATCTGGCGAATGCCTGGAGAGGTCCGCTGTATGACCAACTGGCAGCCTGCCCACAATTTCGTGCCAACAGGCGGAGGAAGATGAAAAAGATGAGTATGAGGAGAAGGCCGAATGGATGAAACGGGGAGTGTTTGAGGGTAAGCACTTGGTGTTTAAATATGGCCAACACTATGTAATAATATGTAATATATACTTTATCTATGTAGTGGTTTGGAAGGAGCTAAGAAGCTATGGAAATTCCAAAATCCTTAGGAAATGGGGCATCAAGGAGCTACGAATTGAGTTTTCCAAGCACATGATAGTTATACAAGTGGAACTTTTCTAGCCCATCCATTGCAGCTGCGGGTAGGTGGTGCTGATTCGGTAGTATTTGTTGGCCAGTGACCGTTCCAAAGATATCATGACACATCATACAGTTGGGTGTTTCCAAGATTTCGGGCACCCAACACACACCAAATTGATTCTGATTACGCGCAATTCGGGCTCATCACTTTAAACCGAATTCCCTAGCATCTCAGAGCACTTGACATGCCTAAGTTTTGATCAAATCCTGCGCCAATATATAGACATATGCACACACACAGACACACACACACACATATATATATTATATAAGTATACATATTTATGTACAATTACCGCATTATATATAGAATATTATGTCAAGGGATGAGTTCGGAGTCTTAGAAGATCCCTAGCTCCAGATTTCAGATTCGGCCCGAGGACATGGTTCTCACCCTGGACCTCTCCCAGTGGGACGATGGAGATAAGGCGCAAGTCACGGTGGGAGATATCGATCTCGAAGATCACGTGGCCATCCGCTCCTTGGAGGATCACTGGTTTTCCCAAGGGTTTACCCAAGGGTTTTCCCATGGCTTTTCCAAGTCCAAATGGTTTTTGTCTTTGACACGAAATGGTGCAATGAAGAAGCTGTTTGGAATGGAATCCTGCCCGCACCGTGAAAGAATATGATGAGAGATGGGGAGAGAGAGAGGTAATATAATATGATATATATATTTATTATATATATATATATATGTATGCACATTAGATTAGATTGGACTAGATTACATAGATATTTATCCAATATTTTGCCACCCAAAAACATGAGCTTCTTTGAAGTCCCCCGTGTTTTGGAGCTGACCAACATACAGCCCCCGTGGCTTAGGAGATGTTTTGATAGCCACAGAGCACATGGAGGAGTTGATGTGGGCAGAGGAGCCACAAGCGCCAGACCTTGGTGGTTGAGATGGGGAAACCATGGGCCAATGGCCCAATGATGGGATGAAAATCTCTGCTGGTCATCCCATCGATGCCCAGCAATTTTAAACGACGATGTGTTTCCCATTCGAAAGGCGGTTTCAGCACCTGACAGGCAAGGTGACCCTAGTAACTTAGTAACCATCTGATTAGCACCTGAAGGAGCCTATCCGGCCTGCTTTGAAGGAGAAGTTGGCGCAATTGGCATCTTGGACGGGAAAATTCTGGTGAAATAAAGGGTTTCACCAGCCAGAATGTGGAGCCATCAAATATAGCGATATTTAACCAGCCCAAAAGGGATTTAACAACCAAAGAAAGGGATTCAACTTTCAACTGATGGATAAGTATTGATAGGGGCTTTGTCATGGTTTGTCCAGACAGGGGGCGTGGGCCCCCAATATATAGACAATTCCAATCGGGAAAATTATGACCAACCAGCTGCTTTGTAAGTGATGAAAGCTCAGCACATTTTTGTTGGCAAACTCCTCATTGTGTGATAGAGAAACGTCCGTTGTACCACGGTTCATAGAATTGGATGATGGGAAAATTTACAGGAAAGCCCTATATTTGATGGTAAAAACCATGGTTTCCTGTAAATTTTCCCTTAAACCAATCCAGTGAACAGTTTCTTTAGCAGCTCACTGCCGCAACTGCTGGAAAAAAACATCATCGTTGCAAGGCCTATGGCCTGCGGGCCCTGCAGCGCGCCTCCATGAAACTTCAGCTGCGCTCGGTGGGGCTCAGTGTTTTAGAGACACGGCGGAAGGCGCGGCCGCGGGGACTACATGGGTGGGGGCTTAGAACCAACTATAACCAACTTAATAATTGGGGGGCATCACCTCAAATACAATTTTATATTTCAACCCCACCTTTCCCAGACCTTGTTTTTTTCCTCCTCCCCCACCACTCCCACACCCCTCGATGGGTGGTGGATGAGGAATTGATTGAGCAATGTTTTGTTTTTTTCTGGCATTTTTTTGTGGACATGTTTGTTATGGCCAGGGAGATTGGGATGGTTTAGTAGGGCACGTGAGGCCAACTTCAAGCAAGTATCAACCTAAGTGGGTAGAGTGGGTACGGACCACGCCCATAGAAGTATGTACATATGTAGAGATATTATAGATATAGTGAACTTCAGTAACAAGTTACCACGTGCCCTAGATTCAACGTGTCAGTATTGGCCATAGCCTATAGCCTCCGGCAATGAAACATGGCACTGGAAAATCCCCACGAAAACAGATGGGTTTTCCCATACAAATCCTCCATTCATAGGTGATCTTCCCATGATTTTTCCCATATTTTTCCCATGAAAAAACATCCATTTGGTTCGGGGATGTCCCAGCCAGCCACGTCCTTTGTCAGGTCCCCAGCACCTCCGCCTCGGAACGCGTCTGGGCTCGTGCCTACGAACGGCTGGGGCGAGCGGACAAGGCTGGGGTACGGGGGTGGGATGTCACCAGAAATTGGACAATATTTGATTCACAACATCATCAACTAGGTAAGACTAGGATCAACATGAATCAACCATTCCCAAGCACATGTTGGAATTCAACAGCCTCTTTTTCAGTCTTGTTGGTCAACCCCCTGGTTCGGTGTTGGTGCTTGCTAGCTGCTAGCTCCTTGTTGATGCAACCCACGATTTTAGTTTCGCTGGTTGATTCCCAGATGGTGCTTAGCATAACTTTGCTGCTTAAATCCAAATGTTTGGCTGTTGACAGTCAAATCCACTGATCCTAATATTTTCCCGAAATACACACCTTTAACATTTACCGACAAAATCCCCAGTTTGACTCAACTTGGCTGGCAAAATCAGACATGTTCACTGGTTCAATCTCATTTTTTGATATCTTTTGTCAGTTCAATCATTGCAATCCCAACTTTCTACTCCTTCGATCCCAGCTTTTGGGGGTGAACTAACATGAACTAACCACTGCCTACCACCGAGTCTATGGCCCTTTACCGCTTATAAGTCAGTTGTAACCCCATGGAATGATCAGCCCAGTTCTGACATACCCGGGAATTCAACATAGATTGAAAACATCACAATTTATAGTTGACCGAGCCCCAAAAATGGTGATTTTCCATGGTTTTCCATGTTTTTTTGTATGTTTACCAGAGGGTAACCCACCAAGTCACTGGTTTTTTGAGGTGGAGGCGCCTCCAGCCGCGCCTCCGCAGCCGGTGCTGCTGCTGTCGGCTCCCGAGAAGGTGCTGCGGCGCCGCGCGGAGGTGCGAAAGCTGCGGCGCCGCGTGGTGCCCAACAAGGCACCCCTGGGCGTTCCTGGGGAGCTGGTGGGGGGCCGGATTTTTTTCAGGTGAATTTTCGGCATGAAACATCTGGATTTTAAGCCAAGTTGAGATTTAAGTGATAGATGATGAAGGATTTTAGATAGCGACATGTGGATTTAAAGCCCAGCACTGGTTGATGCTTTGACCACCCAAAGTGTGGATTTTAGAACAAACAACATGGCGGAAAAAGGGTATTAATAACTGGTGAATGCTGGTTGGAGGTTCAAATCTTTGTTTCTCCTATTTAGAATGAGGATCCAAAATTGACAACTCTTTTTGCTTGGGATTTAGCCACCAATTTGACGAGAGAAAACTAGGGATTCAATCTAATGATTTAACCAAGAAGAAGCGGAGGGATGTAACAAACCGAATGCTTGAGACATGTTTGAGTTGGCCAAGGAACACCACGAGATCTAGCCCCATGGAAATTTGGGGACTTGAGCTGCAAAAAACTTGGGCACCCCGAAAGGCTGAATGGTGGATACAGCAAATGACCAAACTCCGTGGACACCAGGGTGTTACTTTCTTTGCCCATACCCACATGTCACTGTGATATAATAATAATGATAATAATTATATATATATATAATATAGTATTTGCTGTTGGGCCGCTAAACGTTCAATTCGATCCCCATAGTTCTAGACCTCCTTCCACCCGAGAAACCCCAAATACTCTAGTGGCGGATCTATTCAGTTTGGGGCCAACATATCCCCGAAAAGACCCATGTGGGTTGGGTTGATGTATCGCATTAAATCCCCATGAAATCCCCATATATTACATCCCATGCTGGCACTGCATTGTTTTTTCCCCGAAGTTTCGAGGTGGACGATGAGTTTCTTGGAGGCTTCGTGCGGAAACAGTTTGACCAAGAAGGGCCACTGCAGAGGTACTGGGTGGAGACTGCTCAGATCCTTGGATCTCAGGGGAGCATAGCTGGCGACCGACCTCACCATAGCTGGCCTTCGGGGGGACTAGAAATGGCCTCTGAAAAGATGGCGACCAACATCAGGGACTCAGCAACAAGTGCAAGAAAGAGTCTTTGGATTTCTACAGATCTTTGGGATCTGTCATATTTAAAACATGTTAAAACCATATGAAGATCAGGTGACCAGATACCATCCGTGGCACTCTAGGCACTCATCCCGTTGTCCTCAGTGGTGATGATCTGATCAGCTGTCCAAGCCTCCATAGTGCCGTCAGGATGCCATATGCCTATCGACCTTTCTTTCAATCGCCTTCACCCGATATTGATCCTGCTGCCTTGCTATCTCCGGCTGAGAGGAAGTACCTAGTGATGCTTGGGTACCAACATGGGGGAAACATGCTGAGAAGAGAGGCTCCATGGATCAACTGTTTTAGTTTGGGGTGCGTGAGAGAAGGACAAACTTCCCGTCAATTTGGTACCCTCTGGTCATTGGTGCTCCATTCTTTAAAAATCACTGCTGTGCAAAGCATCATCATGCTTGGATAGGTAAAACATGAATGTAAAAGTCACGGGTTTCCAGGAAAAAAACACTTACACCCGACCTGAAAGCCCTGCTTCGGTTCATCATGTGCCATCCCCCCATGGGCCCAATGGGCCCAGCCCTGCCTATGGCATGGGCCATGCTCCCAGGAAGTCGTTCATCACGGACCCCTTCTCTGAGATCCTGGGCCCCGGCGGCACGGTGGACCCGCGCCAGGGGGGCGCCAATATGGACCCACGGCAGCTGCTGACGGATGGCACCATTGCGGAAGGTCTGCTGCATCTGCACAGCCACATGCACCTTGGATATTGTTGGGAAGGGGATAGTGACAGATATCACCAAGAATAGTATAGAATAGTAAGAAATGTGGAAATATAGAATATGGTGGGGAAAGAATGAGATACTTATGGGATAATTTTTGTGGGATGGGTAGTTTAGTGGAACTTGATCCTTTGTTTTTTTTTGTAAATGGCGATGTGTATTCACCAGCTGCGCATTTAATTGGCCATGGGCTGTGGGGTTGGGTTAAGGTATACCTAAAGTTTAAAGGGTCTCCAAAAAGATCGGAAAGAACGTCACGTATCCCCACTTGAACTGGTTTGACGTATATTCGATGGGTTTTACCTGTTTCTAATTTTGCATCATTCTGTGGACCATCCTTTCTTGATTTCAGATGAACCACAAGCCACCTATGAATGAGTCATGAGATTCTGGCTTTGTGGATCAAGGGTCCATCAGCAGCAGCTCAAACCCAGCTATTTTGAGGAGTGCGATTCATTTGACCAATGGCTTTGTATCTTGGCGAATGGGGTCCCATGCGAGATGCCTGCAGGAATGAGGTTGATGATGGTGATGGTGATAATGATGGTATGACCAGCTTGGGGAAAGGCAAGCAACCAGCAGTGTCATCAATAGTTGGTGATGATTATTATATAAGAGGAGCGGAGGGAGGTGGAGGAGACCTCCCTGACTTTTCTGCAAAGGGTCCAACTTATCAAGCCAGATGTCCTCGGAGCAGCACATGCTACTATATTTGCTACAAGCTTCATATAATTCTAGGTCCCTGAGTAGGTTTCTTCAACATCCCCCTCTGCTTAACCGTGGTCATGTTGCCAATGTTTCCCCTCATCAAACAGGCACTTGGCTTTTGAGCATCACATCAAAGGGTGGCCAACTAGTTGTGAACCTTCGAGCAAGGATGTCCCCATCTACAATGGCCGACCCTACTGGTACTCTACACACACACACATTCACATACACATACACATACATACACATATATATATATACACACATATATACTGCCATCACTCGGGGATTTCTAAGATGCATGATCCCATACCTTCATCGTTCTGAATGTTATCCCATGATGTAACAGCAAAGAATGTCATGGTCTCACCGGCCAACAAACATCTTACCCTCTGGTAAACCAATAGTTTGCTCTGGAAAATCACTATTTTTGAATAGGCAAATCGACTATAAGTGTGCCATTTTCAATAGCAAACTGTTAAATTGAGGGTAATTACATTTCTCCAATGGTGTTCCATCTCCCCTGGTTCACTAGTTTTCCCAGGTTTACCCATGGAGACACCGGGGTTGGAAGCATTACTACTTCGTCTCTTGGTGTCGCTGTGACACAGCCCTGGTGTTGCACCTCGGAGACCTCGATCGAACAATGGTGGAAAGCCGGAGAACAATGGTGGGTCCCAGAAACGAATCAAACAACTGGTGTTTGGAAGGCCAGGGTTGATATAAAGAGCTGTTTTTCTATAGAACTTGGTGGTTTTCTATTCTAGCCATATTTGATTCACGAGAGGGTAAGCTCAAAATTCAAGGCACCACAAATTTCAGGGATTGACCGGGTACCAACTTTTTAACCCATATCCACATTGTGATTCGGACACCCCCCAGTTTCAACCATGATTTCTAGATTGCCAGTGTAGGTTCCTTCCTACGACCAAGGCATCATTTTGGCCCCAAGATTGGTAGCTACTTCGATGCTTGGCTGCAGATGGAGTTGCTGAAACTTGACTTCGCACTACCCCTTTTGGTGTACGCAATAGGTCAGACCTTACCATTTCAACATCCGTTGGTATCAGTGAGAGGACACTTTTGGCACAGTACTTCCCGGCTGGATGCACCATCATAGATATTTCTTTGAGGCATCACCCTGTCAGAATTATGTGCATTAGACATACCTGTAAAATGCACGAACCTTAGTAGGGCCATGGGTTTATATAACTACCCCATCGGTAGGAACTGTCATTGGTTTTAGGATTTCCTGGAGACCTACATCACCTTCCTGTTGATCGCTGCCGTCCTGGGTTTGTTTGCAGAGATCAGCGGACCTCCAAACGCTCGCGGGGAATCTGGATTTTGGAGCCTTGGTGAAGAGCAGTTTTACTTGGGATTTAGGACGTGTTTTGTTTTGGGGGGTGGGAAATTGAGTGAACACATATTTATTGGATTTTTGGTGTTTTCTTGGATTTAATTGGACGACCATCAATGAACACAAAAGATCCTTAGATCCGTCAGCTTATTTGGCATCGCCCTTGGGCAGGTCGATCTTGGTGTGTCAGTTTTATGACATGAGGAACTTCGAAAGTTTCCGAAACCCTTGTTTATGAAGGGTTTATAGACCAAAACATATGCATTCCATTAATTAATAAAACACAGAAAACAATAGGCATTGGCTTTTGCAGCCCGTCATCGTCCATGTTCATGGATGATTTACTATCCCTCTCAACGGCATTCAAGGGCGATACAAGCTGAGCATGGTGATTTTCCATGATCCATATTTACCCATTAAAACCTGTGATATAATGTGATATATACACAGCCATGTTGATATGTTCGATTTCCAGCTCCAAACAAACTACCAAGCCAAACCAGCAAGTTTGGGCAACAAAAAACTGACATTTGCCAAGGAAGTTTGTGCAGCCTGGCTTCGGCGTGTGCATGTCCATGTGGGGCACCTTCTTCTGCATCTTCTGGCGTCGACGCTGTGCCTGGCTGAGCCACATCTGGGGCAATGGCTGGATTGAGGCGCCAGGGATGGGTTGGGGGTTGGGGAGGCCCATCTGAGATGTTTCCCATCTTTTTGCGCTCTCATTTTTCATCATTTTTCTTAGTGACACTCATTCAACTACATTCTGCATCCCAACTGTTTTTGGTGACTTTTTCTTCATCCAAAGCTCCTAAGGTGTAATTTATACACGCCCACATGGTTGGTTACTGCAAATCACGCTTATATTCCATTCAATCCCACAATCTTCCGTTCCATCTCATATCTTATCCCCTTATTGGTTGGTATTTGTATGTCTTTGTTGGTTATATCAATGGATTAGTTTAAGGATGTTTAAGGGAAATCTTAACCGGAAACCATAGATCTTCCCATCAAATATGGGGCTTTCCTGTACATTTTCCCTATTTTTCCCTTAAACCAAGCCTTTGGTCCCCAACACTTGGGACCTTCCCGGCCCTTCAACGTTTTCGACGTCTCTTAGGATGGCGAAGACCTCGGGGGTGTCGGGTCCCTGTCCAACGCCTCGGAGCGCGTGCGGCCCGAGTTCGCGCTGCAGTGGCGGCAGAACTTCGAACAGGACGGGAATCATTGGGAATCATTCCAACGGTACCGCAGTGGTTAGATCACTATCTATCTATCTATCCATCTATCTATCCATCCATCCATCCATCGATCTGTCTGTCTGCCTGTCTGTCTGTCTGTCTGTATATATATTAAATGTCAAATGTATATGGTATATATTTTTTCTCAAGGCCATAACTTCCCAAATGGGTTCTCTTGTGGCACAAGTGTTCCCAGAGCCGGCAGGCTAAGCCGGCGAGACAGGAAGAGACCTTGAAGCCACTTGGCCAAAATCTGGGTTGATACATCGGAGTCTGAAGATGGGGGTATGAATGGTGTGCTGATGTATGCTGAAAAAAGGTTATCCCATGATTCCTGATTCCATTTTTTTAAAGTTTGGACAAGATCATGGGGAAACGGATGATGAACCAGTGAGGGACACCCTGTTTTGGGACAAACCCACTTGTTGGTACTGAATAAGGGAATAGACTGAATAGACATATCATATGCTCCCATGATGCAATCAAGCATGGTTTGACAAAATAATTCGGAAATCTTCCGTCAAAAAAGCAGTATTTGATGTCCAATTGGTACGGAAACTTGACAGCTAGATGGCCCTCCGTTTCAGCCTCGCATTTTTCCCCCATGAGCTGAAAAATCTGACACCTGGTCAATCACAAGTGTGAAGGGGTGTCATCAAGGAGGAGTTTGTAGGGGGGGTTCTGGTGGTTTCTGTCCAGGATGTTGAAAACCTTGCTGCGTGCCCCCAACACTCCGCATTGGGATGAGAGGCCGGGCATGAAGGTGTTGGTTGCGTCATCGTATTGGTATGTACTGGTGACGTGATCTTTAGTGTCTGTGAAGAACAGTGAAGAAAGGGATTGAATTCAATCACTCATTGGTATATTGGATTCCTACATCGTCGGCAAGAATTCTTTCTACCTTGCCACTTGATGGTGGTAAAGATAGTTCCGCTTTAGTTGGGTTGTCTTCCTAAATGCAGTTGTGGGCACAGGAAGTAAGGCAGATAGAGTATAGTATATAACATAAAGCAACCTCCCTTTGCGGTGCAACCTCCTGCAAACTTGACAATGAGAATTCCGCCTGTCAAATCGTAAAACCACTTGCGCATTCCCAACAGCAGTGCTTGCTGCGTTTCAATCTCTTGGGTCTGGTGTGCAACGCAGATGTACGACATTCAAAACTGGAACGGAACCCTGGAACCCTTGCTGCTGTTGGGTTGCAACATCTTTATGGCGGATTTGCTGTTTACCCTCTGGTAAACAAACATAGCTATTGAAAATTGCCATTTATAGTTGATTTACCCATTAAAAATGGTGATTTTCATAGTTTTTTGTATGTTTACCAGAGGGTATCTCTTATCAATTGGAACTGTAGATGTCACCCGCATGCCACCTGCCAGGGCGCTCACAAGTGACATCATGCGCTTTGACGAAGCCTGCCCCTTCGCTGCAGTTGATGCGTCCAAAAGTGGAAGCCATATCACAATTTTGAAGCCACACCAAAATCGAGTGTCAATCACATGAAATGTGGATTTGCCTGAAATCTTAGGGGAACTCCCCATTTTCCCCGCGAAAACCATTTCGATCTTTGGGGGTCACGTGCCCCAGCGATCCCATAGGAATCCACTGCATCCCCGGCCACAGGCTACCTCAGCGATTTCGTGCAGTGCCTTGGTGGTCACCAGCAGTGAGAGCGGAGATGGCACGAAGACATGCGCATTCGCTTCGGCATCCTCAAGCAATCCCGTGTTTTTCAATATGTTCTTCCACTACCTCAATACATACACACACACACACAGACAGATGGATGGATGGATGGATGGATGGGTGGGTGGGTGGATGGATGGATAGATAGATAGATAGATAGATAGATAGATAGATAGATAGTGATAGATAGATAGTGATCGATAGATAGATAGTGATAGATAGATAGATAGTGATAGATAGATAGTGATAGATAGATAGTGATAGATAGATAGATAGATAGATTAGATTAGATTAGATTAGATTAGATAGATAGATATATATATATAATTGGTCGAAGGGAAAATCTACCAGAAAACCACATGTTTGATGAACAAATACTGATTTTCCTTAACATTGTCTCGTACTATAAGTCCCAAAAAGATGCAGAAATCCAACATCCATTTCCAAGATCTAAAATGGTTAGTCGGGTTTTGTTTATATACTACAATCTTTATCTCCCAATCCATTGCTCAAAAACCCTTCGAGGTTTTCATCAAAAATGGCAATATCATCCATATCTTGGGGGTTCTGACGAAAAATTCTCAGGTTCTATCGCTTCATGCTGTCCTACCTGGCCTCGGGTTGCTTCATCCTCTTGGCCTCGGGGGCCACCTATGGGGCCCTGGCAGCAAATCAGCTACTGGGTCTCAACGGGAAGACGGCGGGCTACGCGGTGACGGGGCTCACCACCAGCGTGCTGGTGCCGGTGTTGAACGTGATCCACTATCAGGTGGGGGACGGAAAGGTGGTAGGTTGTAGGATGTGGTAGGTGGATGTAGGTGGTAGGGGTGGGACAGATGTTGGTTGTATAATGTTATGTATGTATATAATATATAGTTTATTATAGAACATATGTGGTTATATGACGGGGCTTGATGTTTTTTTGAGGGTTACCGTCCCGACAATTTCATGGGGATGGGGATATGGCACACCGTGGTTCCCCTTACCTAGCTAAGTTGGTCGAATAACTAGCTAAAACACTTGGGTTTGTGATGGATATCTCTGTTTACGGGGTTACCGGGAATTTTTGGTGATATTTGCGAACTACTTTAAAGATTTACGAGCAATTCAATGGGGGATTTAATTGGACAGGGGTAGGGGTCGGGGGGAATGAGATGTGCTGGGAAAGGGTTGCTGGTAGATGTTGAGGATGGTTGAAGGGGTTGGCGGCCCTGGAGGTGGTGATCAAGACCAACAACTACCAGCTTTTCAGGGAAGACAGTGAAAGAGAGAAGGATCTTTTTGAAACTTGGCCGGCTGGGGATAGACAGCTGGAATGTTCTCTAAAGCTGGTAAATTGTTAGTGACTGGCTTATATATATATACATTATCAATACGCGTTGGTCCAGGTATGGCTTATCTTTAGGGAAAAACAAGAAGTGCCAAATTGTTTTGGGAAACTTGGGCGGGCGCACCTTGGTTACCCCCAGGGTTTCCCCTCCAGCCCTGCCTAGGATCGCTTGTTTGTCTTCAACCTCTTCAACACCTACAACAGTTTGATCTGGATCGCCTTTGTGGAGAAGAACATGGAACAGCTCCGAGTGCAGGTGCTATTTCTACTTCTGAGTTCCATCTTCATCAACAATCTGCGCCACGGCTCGAGATTTTCAAGCTGATTTTGATGGCTGCGGGCCAGGTATGGGCCAGGTATGGGCCAGGGATGTTGGGATTCTACCTGTCCCAGCAGATGCGCTGAAGTCATTTTCATCAGACCGGGAGGGATGTTTTTTTTTTCGCGACCTCAAATACCAAGCCCCACAAATGATGATCAGATCGGGACCCCCAGATCCCCCAGCTCCGTGGAATGCCCAGGCTGGAGTTCTACTGGTCCCACTCTGTGAAGCAGCTGAAAAAGATGGGCCACACCGATGCCATCACCAGCATCCGGCAGAATCTTGGGCAGCTGCGAGGGACTGGCCTTTGACTCTGGTAATTTGCTACACAGCTATAATATATATATATATATATATATGTATCTATATATATATATATGTATGTACATATATATATATGTATATATATATATATATGTAACACCGGATATATGAAGCACTGGACTGTCGAATTGGGGGATCATTTGGAGAGAACTACCCGAACTAATCAACCGGGGTGTATGAATCCGGGGTTGAAACAGACCATATTCGCTATTTTGCATGGGGAGCTAAGGAGCTAGGAATAGTTTCCCAAGAAAATGATGGCAACTTGGGCAACTGAAAAAGGTCGGCTCCACCAATCAAGGATCTAGCTGCGCAGCTATCTACAAGATCTTCAAGCATGATCTCTGCCTATGGCAGTGTATTCAATCTATCACTATTTATACATACCCGATGATCTTCTAGTTGGCTAGCTACCTGGGATGCATCCGTCCATCCCCAGTCCGTGTGTCAGCCATGCCCTCCCCCATTTTCGTGGTAAAACGAGACGACCCTTTGGGTGACAACGAAAGACCCAGTGAACTGCAATCAATCCAAGACCCAACCGTTGGCCCAACCGTTCTTCCCGTCATTTATGTAATCTTATGTCATTTATATACCATTTATATATCACATTATATCACCATTTGCAAATCATTTATATTGCACCATTTGCAACCAAATTAATCAAATCAATTTGACATCATTTATTTATTTATTTTTTTTTAAAATCAAAATTTATGGATATTGATTGGTTGTAACTTAGTTATAACGGTTATAAGTCACAAGTTATAGCACGATTCCCACAGGATGCTGCGCTACATCTTGGTGGGTGAGCTGGAGGATGGTCCTATCATCCCTGTGGATCCCATCAAGACGGCGCTGGAGCGCAGCGTGAATGCGATATGACCTGTGTTTGCGCAAAACACACGCACAATGACGCAGGTATCTACATATATATATATAAATAATATGATATATATATATATATCATATAGTAACACACACACACATAGTAACATATATGTACACACTCACACACACACATATCTATATATAATTATATATTATATCTTCTGTATGCTATATACATACCGTTATCACCCTGTCATGTGCATGTCATTTCTCCAGATAGGGGACAGTTCCAATTACTTCCCCGGCTCGCAGGAGCACGTGACGGACGAGATGACGAGGGACGCGGCCTTCGAACTGGTGGATGAGGCCATTGAATTGGTGATCCAGTGCCCTGCGATCCATAGGGAGTCCATGGGGAGGGCTCAGGATTCCGATGGATTTCATGGGGAATATGGGAATATAGTGGGGATGGAAATTGGAATCTCATGGGTTTGGAGGATCGATTTTTTGATGTTACATCGATTTTTGTGGCTTGGGAAGTGATCTTAAGGGGTGTTTCAATGATTTTGTTTGCTGGCAAGATGTTGAAAGTTGAGACCAGGTGGCATACAGGTTGGTGAACTCTAGTTCTTAAAGAATGCTCCTCCTGGATTGGGGGATGGAAGTGATATCTCGGATGGGCCCACCAATCAGAAAGTGATGTGGAAGTCATGCGGAAATGGAAAGCTGGGCCGCAAAAAAACCGCCCAAGAGCACGCAAGATTTTGCGGTGAAAAAAACTGTCCCCGGCACTGCAAAAACCATGAAACCATCGGATGGTTTGTCTTTTTCCCAAGGAAGACAGTGAATTTCCCAGCCGGGTACCGCAACGAGGTATGGCTTGATCATGATGTTCACCGTCGCCTTCCCACTGGCTCCACTGCTGGCTCTGGTGGCTTTGAAAGAGGATTTTGCTGAAGTTGGAAAAGATGAAATTGGATGGAAGGGTCACTTGTTGGGTTCTATCTTGAATTTTGGTGGCCTGCAGTGCTCCTTATTCTCATGATGCTTCTGTGGCATGATTTATGGGAGATGGATAAGCGCCTGCAGTCTGCAGGTTTTTGTTAATTGATCTCTGCTATGCAGTCTGGAGTGCTTTTTGCCAAGCTCCCCGCGAAGGTAAATGTACATATTGAGAAGCGTTTGGATGCGTACAAGCTCGCCACTTGGCACAACGAGGGGCGGCGCTTGGTGAGGTAGGTTGGTTCATCGTGGGTGGTGTGAAGCTTAGGAAATACCGTGACCTTGCGCCTTCCTTTGCATGACCCACAACCCCCCTACCGCCCCATTACGATTCGCGCTTTCGTTGTTGAATGCTGAGGTCAAACTGATGCAATCTCCTGAGCGTCTTGGAATAGGTTTTGGGGCTGCCTGTGACAACTTTTGTGCAGGTTACTTCCCCCTATTCATTTGAGCAATATCTGCCCCAAGCTCTTCAAAGTATCCCAATGTGAGGCGTTTGCATACACACTGTTGCCTACACATTCTGATCATTCCTGTTCTTTGTTGCCCATCCCTTTGTCACTCATTTTAAGACCATGTTCTTGATATATCCTCATTTTAGCTGGTTGAGTTTTCCAAATTTGCCATCCGAATCATCCTGTTTCAATGTTTCCCTGAAGAATCGTCCATTTTTGCCCGGGTAAGTCATCATTTTATCGCTGAAGCACCTGCACTTTTCAACAGATTCCACTTGCTTCAGGCCCAGAATGGTGGTTGGCATGGGTCGTGCCTTCAACGCGTTCGTGGTGGTCACCGGCTGGGCGCCCAGAGTTTTTTTCTGTTTTCCTTGGGGGGGTATGTAAATCAGAATCCAACAGTTCAGTTTCGCATACCAAGGAGTTGATTGTACGCCAGCTTTTTCACATCATCAGCTGTGTTCAAAAGCCTTGGTGGATGATACCCTCTGGTAAACTAACATAGCTATGGAAAATCACCATTTTTCATGGGAAAATCCACTATAAATGGTCATTTTCAATAGCTATTTTGACATAACCAGAGGGAAAAATGAAGGTTCTGCTGTCGAGATCATCCTCGGGGAATTTGGCCCGGGGCTCCAAGGCCTTGGGCTGTTGGTCAGTGGTCTGCTGCTGTACTTCACCCAGTACCCTGGGGGTGTCTGTGCCTTGGGCGCATTGGGCGCAAGACGGTGACAGACTTCGACGGCTTCACTGGGTAGATCAAAGAAACCAAGATTACCCTCTGGTTATGTCAAAATAGCTATTGAAAATGGTGATTTATAGTGGATTTTCCATGATTTTCCCATTGAAAATGGTGATTTTCCATAGCTACGTTAAATTACCAGAGGGTAGATGTGTGATCTATGTGTAAACCTCCTATTCAACCATGAGTTTCTTGGGGGTATTTAATATGAACGGAGGCGGAGGTATTTACTGGTTGGCGGTTTGGAACATTTTTTTATTTTTCCATATATTGGGAATTGTAACCGTTAGTAACCCCAACTGACTAATATTTTTCAGATGGGTTGAAACCACCAACCAGTTTATTTTAAGCTTGACCATGGCGGCTATAGATTCGCTGGGGTGACCTCTCAGGTGATAGCTGCACCATGTTTGGAAACTGCGGGACCTGTGGTGGAACCAGCGTGGCCGCTTGACGTACGAAAAAAAGGCACCGTTGTGACGCAACTTGGTGGTTAGGAATTGCAGGTGGCTCAAAAGCCCGTCCTATTTATTCAACTTATAACTTATAACTGGGATTAAAAGTTATAAACATTTATAAACCACTTCCGGTGAAACACCAAAGATTCAGTTCCGATGTATTGGAGAAATTCAAGACGTATTCCGATGTTTCCCAGCGGAAGTGGATGGCCTAAGGAACTCATCCTACCGGAATCCTCCACTGAAGAGAGGCTCTTCCTGCTGGCCGCTGGAGAGCATGCCATGCTCTTTTTCATGTACGTTGCTTTGCCTGCTTCGAGGGAGAAACACATGAAAAACACACAGGGTTTTCCTACTGCAAAACACCAACTTTCATAGGAAAACCATATGGTTTCCCTGGTTTTCCCTGGAGAATTGATGCCACTGACACACATGCATTGGAAAAGATATCAGGATACTGGCACCAGAGATGAGCCCGTTGACGCCCATTTGAGGCTTGCTTCACATCTGCATCGGTTGGCAAGGACACCACTGCGAGATTTCATGATCTTGGTGCGGTTGAACTCTGAAGTTTGCGAATTGGTCCCATAATCTCCCAGATTTGGGGATCACTCCATCATCTCCGTCATCCCAATCAACAAACATGGATTCCAAGGGAAGTTGAATGAATTTCATTGGTTTCGGCCCCATTGGCCCATTTCCCATGGCTTTTCAGGATATCATTCACGAGCAGTACCGGCAGAAGTTCTACGAGAATCGTTTGCAAAGTATGGAAAGCGCTAATGACCTGCATCGGGCGCGGCGAAGTACCCACGGTGCGGCTCAATGAAGCTGACCCAAGATCAAAATCCTAGGTACCCTCTGGCCATTTGACATATCTATGCTATTTTGATAGATGCTGTACATGATGTACCTGTTAAACATAGTGATTTCGAATCCATTGCTATCTTAAAATTAATGATATTGATCATGGACCCCAACTCATTGGCCCCATCAGCTTCTTGAGAGGCATCAGAGTGTCACATGGGTTCAAGGCTGAAGTCCCTATCCAAAATCCATGTGTGCCAGGAGGGCTTGCAGCATTTCGCTCAAAATTGCAGGGGAGTCAGCCATGAACCCCGTGGATCCGGTGCCAGCTTCGATGTCGCAGATCCGAACCCCCAACCTCAAAGGGGAACGGGGAGTCGTGCTTAAACTCTGGATTGTCAAAGGCAAGTCCTGGTTGAAAGGGTGCGGTTTTGGGATGCGCTTTCAATCCCAGTTGGGACTGTAAAGAAGGTTTCTGGGGCCTGTGACTTGATGTGCTAATCTTGCACCAAATAGCATAGGCCAATGCCTGAATCTTTCATCTGAGAAAGAGGGATGGTTTATGATGGTTTGAGGCTCTTGTTTCGCAATTCTTTCTGCTCAGAAAAGCCATTTGTCTCACCGAAATTTTGCCCAAACCTCCGTTTTCGCGCCAGCTGGATCCTTGGATATTGATTGACATTTGATTTTGTCTGTCTTGAGGCAAGTTCTGTGCAATCTATTTAGAGTAGTTAGTCTACTAGTTCTTGCTTCGACATGTAAACTCTTTTTTTGGTGATGCATACTTATTGGAAGATATATCTGAGTGCTCTAGGCCGACTTCTGGTTCCCACAACTAATGAACACTCAACAAAACCATCAACTCATCACCCACCCCTAAAAATGTATTTTAGGGGGGGGAGAGGTTGGGGAAAAAAAATACATTTACCGTTCTCCAAGAATTTGATTCCCCAGGACCCCCCCTAAATACATTATTTGACCGGTGGGTGTACGTTAAATGTAGGATCCATGGGTCGGGATATCCAACGCCCCCCAGGATCTTTTATTTTGGGGGGGTGGTTTAATACATTTTACGGGTTTGGTTTTTCCAGGATCCCCCGGAATGCTTAATTTTTTTCTGGGAATACCCTTCTTTGAAACATGTATTTTAAGGGGGTTGGGTAGCCGAAAAGCACATCATTTTTGGAAAATGGAGGGAATAGATCTGGCTAAGGTAGTCATTGGTACCCCCTGCAATGCATACATTTCAGAATATTTAAGATCAAGTATATTTCAGCATCCCCCTTGGAATTTCCTCTACAGAATCGGGAACGTTACTTCCTGGAAAATGGTGCATTTTAACCCCCTGACTTAATAAGGGGTACCTACCCAGTGTCAACGCTTAGTGTCAACGGTTTCAATTTTATAGAGGACCTTGGGGCCTCTAATTCTATAGAGATTTCATGTTGAATACAGCACTGAGGACTAGTCAGCAGAGAGTCTTAGGGACTGCGATTCTACAGTGGGATACGTTCTCTTTGGATGTATGTCATGTTCTTCAATTTTATAGAGAAGCATTGGCAGAGCCAATTTCCCACAACAATTCTTTCATCATCCTTCATCATCCTTGATCATCCTTGATCATCCTTGTATATTTTGGAATCATTTGGAATCTTGACATATTTTTGGAAACTTTTGGATACTTTTGGGATATATTGGAGATTTGTTGGAGATCTATCATCAGGGTTTCATCAGTTATCATCAGTTATATTCAGCAAATATCTTGCAAAAGCAGCTTTTTCTTGTTTACAAACTATAAAAGTGACATTTCTCATTTTGCAACTTTTTTCAGCTGTTATTCTCCCGTTGTGCCTCCCTGTTGTAACACCCCCGTTGTGTTTCCCTGTTGTGTCTCACCGTTTTTGGGGTCGAAGTCCTCGGGCCAGCCTTCCCGCCTTTCTAAAAAAGAGCAAACGGATGGAAACAAAAATGAAACAAAAAATGAAATAAGATCTTGAAACAAAATGAAATAAGTTGAAATAAGTTGCCAATGAAATAAATGAGTCATGAAACAGAGCGACTTTCAAGATCTTTGAAATTGAAGGGGACAGTGAACACTTGGAGCCTTTGAACTCTTTGAACAGTGCATAAGGCAAGCTAGGCAAGAGTAACTGGAGTATTCAGGTCAGCTGTCAATGAAGGAGACTTGGGGAACCTGATTTTATAGAAGGCCAACTAACCCCCCCAACCATCTACGAGAGTGACTTGGCGGCATCGATTCTATAGAGATTGTCAACTTGAAAATACCTTGGGGTCTCTGATTCTATAGATGCATTTTCAGAAAGAGGGTCAGGGCCTCCCGGATTATCATTATAAAATTGTCAACACTCTCACTTAATTCAAAGGGGGATATTTCAGCCATTTTATGGCCCATGGGTTCCAGTAGGTTTCCCAGGAAAAAAAGATCAATTGGATTGAGGTGCAGACCCCCCCATGCTTGCATACATTTAGAAAAGTTTATGTATCCATTGGCTCTTGTCAGTGGTGCCCCCCACAAAGCATACATTTTCAGGTTCAACACCCCTACCAATAATACATTTCCAGCATCTGGCACTCATACATGCCTCATTTTGAGGGGTTACCCCCCCCCGGTTCCCATACATTTTTGGCAAAAAGTGAGGGGGTTAACCCCCCCCTTATGTTCATACATTATCAGAAATGTAGGATCCACCCCCCCTACTCCTGAACCAGTTGGGGTCGGGGATATCAACTCCCTATCTCTGACTTTTAGAGCCTATAATTCTGTATGAACATTCATTTTCTTTGACTCGAAACGCCCATTTTGGCACATTTTGGCACCAGGAAATCCCTCGTCCATCACCTTCAGGACATGCAGCTGGCGCCCCGCCCGGGCCTCAGCCACCTGGCCGGCCGCCCAACCTCCACCGTTACCACCGTTGCGGCGTCAGCGCCTGCCTCGGGCGCAACTGGCATCCACCGCTGGGCCCCGGCGACCGTTGCGGCGCTGGCGGTGCGCCGCGCCGCGCGGGGACGTTGCTCGCGAAGCTGCAGGAGGGCGGAAGGAGAACAGGTGGTGACGCCATGGGAAGTGGAAGCTGGGGATGATGGAGTCGATTATGTGCCTTGGAAGATGCAAGATCGAAGATTCTGGGGAAGATCTGAAAACCGTTGGATGGAAAATTGACGATTTTGGAAGACCCGAAGCAAAGGGAAACGTGTGGAAACTGGATGAAACCGGAAAGTTCGCAGGCCATGAGCGGGGATGGATGTTGTGGGTCAAGTCAAGGATTGGATGGCGAAATGTTACGCCCCAAGGGCCAACTGTCAAAACAAATCAGTACTTGGATGGTGCCCTCAGTGTGACAGTTTTCGGCTGGGTAGTACAGTGCATAGTGCACATATGGAAATAAGCCTGCTATATAAATAGTTCTTAGCCTGAATTAACTAACCATTCACCATTTACCGTTATTTAAGGCATCATGCCAGTGGTTTTTCCCCTTCCCAATTGAAACAGCCCCTGCTTAGGACAAGCTCATCGAGACCTTTGGATGTCAACCCATCACTGCAGAGCAGATCGAGCGCATCGAAAAGCTGACGGGCAAGCGAGCGCATAGATTTCTGCGGAGAGGTTTGTTCTTCTCCCACAGGGACTTAGATGAGCTGCTGAACGCCTATGAGACCCTTGGAGCTATAGCAGCTATGGTGTCCTCAAACAAAGTCCGACAAAGTCCAGGGCTGATCAGGCGCACCCCTTAAATTTCAATCATGGAACGCAGGCCTAAGTGCTTGGGTTCTTCAACTTTCTGCCAGGCCTCATGGTATATCCCAGAGAATTCATCTTCCCACTAATTATTTGGAGGATCACAACACTTCGCGACCGATTTGCAACTGGAATGACAGAATTTTATAAATATAACCGGCTTATTACTGGGATAACCTGATTTGTGGACTTATCAGCCAAGGTCATGAACCAGCTATCATTACTGTATAGTAAGTAGCACAATCCTCCAAGTACTTCGCCCTCTGCTGCCCAGGAAGGGCGAAAAATTCTACATCTACACGGGTCGAGGGCCGTCCTCCGAGTCGCTACACTTGGGGCACTTGGTGCCCTTTCTCTTTACCAAATGGCTACAGGAGGCTTTCGATGTACCACTGGTGATCGAGTTGACAGATGATGAGAAATTCCTCTTCAAGAAACTGGGCTGAGGTGGGGGGGCTGGTTAAACCTGCTTAGTCTGGAATGGAGGCTCGATGCTGTTTCTCTCTTTTCAACGGCCTCTTCTGGAAGTTTTGGGATCTATTCACTCTGCCCCTTTCTGAGCTGCTCATCATCCCTTTAGTTCTGGAACCAATCTCAGCCCCAAAATATAGTGCTTGAACAAGATTGGACTCTTGCAGTGGGAAACCCAAGGCCATCAACCTCCGACATTGCATAGATGGGTTGGATTATATATATATATATTATATGTATATTATATGTATATTATATATATATATTATATATATATTATTTATATAAATTTACATATAATCATCCCCAAATGGTGTATGACATTGGCTTTGCCACACACAAACCTGACTTATGCCACCTGCAGTTCCCAGGAAAGACTTGAGCATTGACGAGTCCAGACGCCTTGCATGGGAGAATGCCAAAGATGCCCATCTCGCGCTAGTCGTTTTTCACGACAACCGTCGTGCTGGGTGGTGGTGAAACCAACTTGTTTCAACTACCATACTGAGGGGATGGGTGGTTGAGACGACCAATGACACATATTTTTTTCTAAAACCACCAGCCAGTGTGTGTTTGTGGGGGTATTCCTCCTTTGATTTCCTCCCCAAAACTGGTTGGGTCGTCACGTCCCAGTGCGTGAAAAACCGCAGGGTTTTCTCAGGACATCATCGCGTGTGGCTTCGATCCGGCCAAAACCTTCATCTTCCGCGACACTGACTACATCCAACAGCTGTACCCAGTGACTTTGCAGATCCAAAAACGCGTCTCCATGAGGAGATGCGGACCCAAAGACATGCAGATTTCTTGGTTTGGTCGAATCACTGTTCAGTAGATAAATTGATAAACAGTCAGGTAGACATCTAAAATCATATAAACATGTGTCATATGCACAATATGCACATCCTCACAGAGATGTGGACATCATCCCCGCCCTGGGCATCCCCGGGACGCTGGCCTCGCCTGCGTCCAGGACGGCGCAGAACACCTTCGGCTTCACCCTGAGCGACAACATCGGCAAGGTCTCCTTCGCTGCGGTGCAGGCGTCTCCTGCCTTCGCCATCGCCTTCCCTGACTTCCTGGAACCAGGTGGGGAGATGGTGGGGGAAACATGTGGAAACGGATGGGATGCTTCTTGCGGAAGATATGGTGGACATGACATGTGGTGTCTGAGAGGATTTTTTTCGTCAACAAACTGATGATAAAACAATATATCATGAATTTTACGCTGGAAAGCTAAGGACCCCCCTCCAAAAGGGCGATTTTTTGACTGTTATAAAGAGCATATAGAATATATAGAGCTGAAACCTTCCCTCCTCCGTGGATTGCCTATAGATTAAAGATGCAGAAACCCTCCTCTTCTACGTTTTGTGTGCCGGAAAATCCACCAGCAGTTCGATGATGAGTTCCCAGCAAAAAAACCCTCCCTTTTTTTTTAATGGATTTTCCCACATTTTCCCATGGATTGACCTATGATTTTCCATTGAAACCTGGAGAGTTCGGGGACTTCGCTGATCTTCGCTGCCAGGCCGTCGCTGCTTCATTCCTCAGGCCATCGACCAGGATCCCTACTTTCGGCTCTGCCGCCGGGTGGCGGATGATCTAAAGTGGCCCAAGCCTGCCTGCATTCACTCGAAGTTCCTGCCAGCACTGCAAGGCTGGGGCTGGTGACCCACGGATGTTGCTAGGCCCGCTAGAGGGTAGGCTTCTCAATGTTGGGGGAGATAGGGCGGTTTTTAGGCTCGAACAAATGGCCATCATGAGTTGCTGGCAAAACCATTCATGAAACATTTGCCAACCTAAGACGGCAAATAAGTTTGATTTCTTGGTACATTGGCAGGTCATGGAAGGAAACTGCACTTCCCAGAGTCAATTAATATGAGCTCTGGAAGGAGAACTTGTTGGTGAGCTCTTACATTTTCTCCCCCGGAAAATTTTGCTTCAAGCCGGTCGGGCCCCAAACTGACTTCAGCCATTGAGTGCTTTGAGTGATGACCAATCTAAGATTACGGCAAGACTCTGAGGTTCAGGCCAGGGGATTTTGATATCTTCTTGAAACCCAATAAGAAACCCTAATGATTGTATGGTTAATTCTTCCATGGGCCGGGGGGGTTTTGATATCTTCTTGAATCCATATAAGAAACCCTAATGATTGTATGGTTAGTTCCATATGATATGTAGAAGCGACATGTTCTGGTTATATGATATGTAGAAGCAACATGTTCTGGTTAACACCCTAGCAACATAATTGAATATAAAATCCTTCCCATTGTTTGACCTCGTACAGATTTCCCTGGTATTTACGCTATTCTGACCCCTTAACCAAACCTCGGGGTCTGCGTGTCAGACTAGCTCTCCAGTACGCACACCACAGCAATAGTTAACATTCTCTTTACATACAGTAGTTTTGCCAGTTTCTGGCCGTTTCAATGGTTTAAAGCCACTGGTTTTTGGGGTGCCTTCTCGTTTCAAGGCAGACCAAATTTTATTGCTTCAATGGTCTTTGCACCCAGAATAAACAACCAGTCATACTATCCTAGAATCCAACATTTCTATGGGTCAACTCTCCATTTTCTGGCCACTTGTTCCCCCGAACAAAATTTGGTTTGGTCTGAGAACGGGATATACGTGGATATTACCAAGATATACCATCAATGAGCCATTTTACATCATTTTTCCTGGAACATATGGTGATTAACCATTGAAATTAGGGGCTCCCCCAGGTCATCAGACTAAGATGAGCGCCTCGGTGGCCTCCACCGCTCTGTATATGACGGATACGGAGAAGATCCTGGGCCTGGGAGGAAGCACCGAAGAGCGGGGCGGGGCGTGGAAACCCATGGCCAGATATAGGTGCCATGGGAGGTGCAGAACTGGAGTTGTTTTTAAAGTTTTTCTTTTTGATTGTGGTGATTTCAACCATCATTTTTTGGGGTGTATACCCATGGTTAGAACTCAAAAGCATCATAAGTTGGGATATAAATTCTGTAAGTGTGGCGACAACTGGACACTGATTCGATGGACATGCGCTCCCAAGACCCCCAAGCACGGATCGAAAGCTGTAAGATCTGTAAGCAAGTTGGTTACAACCCCATATTGATATATAAATGGGATGAATGTGATGACCCAAGCCGGGGAACTTGCAAATCATAGTGACAAACCAGTGATGGGCATTTTCATGTCCCTGATGACACAAAGGTAACGGAACACTTTTCTAAGGAGTATGTAGGCCTTAGTTTCTATTTTTTCCATGGACTTACATTTGATATTTCACCTATTTTCACCCTACCTTCAGTCTAGGTACATCTAGGTACCTGAATGGAAAGCATGTGTTTCTGATGGTTCAGGAGCCAATAGGAGCCAGCAATGGTGAGCCTTGGCCAGCTGACTGAGGAAGCTGCGCAAGAAGATCAACAAGCACGCCTTCTCGGGAGGTGGCAAAACTGAGGAAGAACAAAGGGCCAACGGAGCCAATCTGGATGTGGACGTCGCCTACCAGTAGCAGGGAACAAAAAACGATTCGGTTTATTGTGACTTCTTAGGTTTTGTGTTATGCCGCCCGGAGCAAATTAGAACCCTCAAGTGGCTCAGGAATCTAGTTTTCCTAATGGATTGGTCGTCATTATTTGGATTCTGTCTTTGTGCCCTCCTCACAAGGTATTTGAAGATTTGGCTGGAGGATGACGAGGACCACGGCGGCAACACCAGCGGGTTACCCATGGTTATCCATCCACACCTGGGTGATACAGCAACACCAATCTTCACCAGAAATCACCATCATCCTTCGGCAATCTCGGCTGCCATTTTTTCGCAGAATGGCTGCCATTCTGGAGATTTTTGCTGCGGCAAATCCGATAGAAAAATTGCAGATTGACGATGTTTCGCAGATTTGTACATCCCATTATATAATATAATTAATTATGATATGTATATATATATACACACATATATATATATATATATTATACCCATCCCATAATATCCGAACGGTTGCTAAAAAATCTCATTTCTCCTAGTTAAACCACTCACATTCTAGGGAAAAAAATCTCGGGATGAGAGTCCAGCTATCGCCATGGAAAGCCTCGGCAGGAGCTGAAGCAGATCGGCACGGACTACGCTGCGGGGAAGTTGCTCACCGGAGAGGTCAAGAAGAGGTGGCAATCGTGCTGCCGAGCTGTTAGGTAAAGTACCATTAAAAGCATCCATATACCATGATGGTTTCAATACAATATCACCCATAAAATGGTAAAAATTGATAAAACATGGGGATTGTGGATCCTATTGCTTTACTAACATATGATTGATTGAGCAATAGATCGTGATTTCTGGGTATTTCCGGGTATAAATTTCGATCAACTGGGCATGGTTGAACCATTGGACCTGACAAGGCTCGGCGATGTGGTCGCTGAGATCGTTGTGGAGCACCAGAAGGTGCGCTGGGGCACAGCTGGGGATATATATATATATACATACATACATACATACATACATACATACATACATACATACATTACATACATTACATACATTACATACATTACATACATTACATACATTACATACATTACATACATTACATACATTACATACATTACATACATTACATACATTACATACATTAATACATACATACATACATTACATACATTACATACATTACATACATTACATTACATACATTACATACGTACATACATACATACATACATACATACATACATACATACATACATACATACATACATACACACACACACATATATATATATATACATACACATATATATATATACATACACACATATATATATACACATATATATATATATACACATACATATGTATATATATATATATATATGTACATACATACATATATATATATATGGGGAGGGAAGGGTGATCCTAGTTGGGGTTAACGAACATCATCACCCATCAAATCATCAAACTGTGATCTATGGTTCCATTTATTGGGGCAGAGAAAACTATGAGTCCATGAAAACCCAATCATAGACTACCAACTAGTGTTGCAGAATGTCACACACACAGCCCACTGTAGTTTCGTTTGTTTGGGAGGCCACACCTGTAGCTTTCAGGTCGGTAGGGTTGCCCCAAGCCCTACACTTCAAGAACGGATGCACACAAGTTGGTTGTTGGAAGTTAAGTTCGCTCAAAACGTTGTGTCACCCTCAGCCACGGTAAATAGTCTCATTTGCTTGGAAGGCACCATGCACCTATGGTTCTTGAAAATAGCTTATAGCACCCAGATTGATGAACCAATTACGTACCACTCCAGGCCCGTGCTGAAATTGATGACGAGCTGTTGATGAGATTTATGGACCCAAGCCGTGAGGCCTGAGAGCGGACCTGGGGTTGCCATACCTTTGGATCACATTTTTGGAGGCCCCTAAATCCACCCGAAAATGGGCATACATGGGGCAATTTCATGCAATTTCCAGGCGAGGACCGGATCACATTGTGAGTTCGATCTTTGTCTAGTTGACCCACACGCCCAGCCAATCACATTCAGAAGCACGCTGTGGGTCAAAATCATTGTCGCCTCCAAAACTGGTCGGTCTGACACGATACACTTTTTCCCTAGTTTCTTGCCTGTTGGTACCCCAATCTTTGATCCATACTCAGGTGGATACCAATCAAATTGCCAGAACTTTTCATGGGAAAGTCATGTGGCCAAAAATGGGGATGAAATCCTGGGATTTTGGTTTTTTCCCTGTTTTCAGATTCATCAGACCGGCAGGAACTCCGAACCTCCTTCAAGGCTCCTGCCATGGAGGGTGCCTAAGATCTGGGATCCAGTGATGGTTTGCTGGGATCATCAACCTCTGAGTTGCTGCCCCAGCACAAGCTGGGATGGGATTGGCATTGCTATCTGTCTATCTGGCTATCTGTCTATCTATCTGTTCCAATCTATTCCAATCTATTCCAATCTATCCCAGTCTATTCCAATCTATTCCAATCTTTATATTCCAATCGAAGTATTCTACATATTCTAATCTATAATCTATTCCATTTCTATTCTATTTTCATATTATTTCTAGTTCTATTCAATTCCACTTTCTATTTTTATTCGATTCCTATTTCTATTATTCCATTCCTATTCCTATTCCTATTCCTATCCTATTCCATTCGATTCTGATTCGATTCTGATTCGATTCTATTCTATTGAATTCTAATTCTAATTCTAATTCTAATCTATTCTATTCTCTTCTCTTCTCTTCTCGTCTAATTCTACTCTCTCTCTCTCTCTCTTTCTCTCTGCAGCTCTCTCTATATCTCTATGTACGTATTATATTCATGGCTATGTTCGGCACTATTGAACTAGAGATGATCCCAGTGCCGCCCTCATCGCGCCGCGTGAGCCGAAAATGTGATGAATGGATCCATGGTGCCATCAGAGAAATGCCGAAGATCTTCCCGGGGCTGTGTTTGGACCCAAAGGTAAGGTGGTTAACCATGGTTAACCATGGTTAAGTGAAAACTGGAGCAACACAGCCATGAGAACATCTTCAATGTCGAAAAAAACTCTGCAAAAAATGGCCGTTTTCGGATGACGTGGCTTCTTTACCATGGCTGGCATGGGTTCTCCGCACATGGCGGGTTCCTGGCAACTGGGGCGCTCCCAGGGTAGCTGGATGTGACCGGTTGCATGCAGAACTCAGCTGTGGGATCTGATGCCTATAGGAACCGCTAAGCAAGTTGGAAATAAATACATTCTGGTGATGTAACATAGGTCATTCATCTACGAATGGTCCATTTTCGATAGCTATGTTAGTGTACGAAAGGGTAAATGATCAGGAGGCGACTCGGTGACCCAATGTAAGTTTTGTTCAGGTTCAGTCTGCTGATGTCAGAGGTTCCCCTGTTTTGCTGGAAGGGGCCTACCATGCTGCAGTGTTGGCATGTGTTAGCAAGTCCGGGCAAAAAATGGCAAGGCTTCAAGGCCATTCACCAGAGAAAACTCATACACCAAATTATGGCTTTTACCGCTTTACGTAAATTACCATCTGGTTATTTAACATAGCCATGGAAAATGGCCCATTTATAGATGGTTTACCTATCAAAAATGGTGATTTTCCATGGCTATGTTAAATAACCAGAGGGTATTAGAAAAAGCAGAAGATCGGAACTCTTGATTTCCACTAGGTTGACTTCAATCAAGCCGCATGTTCAGTTCGGCATTGAGCCGGGTCGCACCAGATCGACCAATTTTCGACGCGGTGTGAAATCAGCAGCCCACCTTTGACGCTGAAGGTCACAGATCCCCACCATTCCCTGTGTTTGACCTTTACCCCATGAAGCCTGTAGGAGTCGCAAGGGCGGCAACCAATGGAGGCGCCACCGAGGGTGGGACCCATCACCACAAGGGAAGCCTGGAAAAGGCCCTGTAGAGGTTTGAATGGGAAAACCATCGAACTACATGGCTTTTCCAGCAAGCCATGTTTGATTACCGAAGCATCGCAGTCAGAACCTGGGTCAAGGGATATGGATCACTAGTCATGCGCTGGTGCCCTGTGCTCGATACAGTCCGCGGTGATTGGCCGTTTGGGTCGAAGGACAACATGCCACCTTTCATTGAGAAATCATGAGGTGCCTTAGCAAGGTTGGCCAAGTCCTTGTTGTCCTTGTGCTGTATATTTGGTGTGCAATGTGCTCAAAGAGACTGCCACATACATATTGGCAGGTTAGCAACCACAATTTTCCCATAATTCGAATCATGTCAAGTTGCAAGAATCCTACACCCCTTGAATCTGCCCAAGATACGCCAACTTTGCGGCTTTTTCATCTTTTTCCTTCAAATCTCCTCTCATTTCTGACCAGCTGCCACCATGGCAGCCAGCGATCTGGCCTTGAACGATGCGCTGTGGGCCGTGGCGCTGGTTTCCAGCCCACGAAGCTCGAATCGGGATCCCCAGATCATTCAAACAAAACAGGGAAACCACGTGTTTTGGGGCACCCCGGCCCTTAATGTTGCTGCTAGTTTGGTGAGCCAAAAGCTGAGAACCCGGCTGAGGTTTTTAGTGGTGTAATGAACGCTAGGGATCCAGCCGAGGAAGCCTGCGGTCCCTGAGCCACGCCTCGCGTTCGGTGCACGGTCTGCTATCGCCAGTGGCAGAGCGCACGGCGCGGATGACGGAACTCACGAGGGCCCTGGGCTCGCAGCACGGCGGCAGGGGGAGCCATTGAAGATACCGGGTGATTGGGTTATGGAAATAGGGAGTTCTAAGCCATGGTAGGGAAATCATGGGAAATCTATCAACCACCGAGTATGGGTTTTTTGGGGGTATTTTCAATGGCTCACCTGGGTTTTGGGAGGTTTTTATCGGGGATTATTCAGCAAACAAAAAAGTGGGAAGATGGGAAGAGGTTAGGTTTTGGCTGGGTCAAGTGGGGATGGTTTCATTCGGAACATTGCTACCATTTTGTAGCAATCATTATTTGATGACTATCGGGGAAGATCATGGGATGCAACCATCCCCAAATGGGAATCGCATGATCAAAATGTAGTAAACCCGATATCTATATTGGTACATTTTGGGGCTAGCCATGTAAATTGGAGAGTTTGATATATATATATATATATATATCATGGACCATGATTTGGGGGGTTATTGGAATGATTATTGGGATCATTAAGGGACGCCCAATAAACCATCTCCAATTTCAGCAGAGATGGGTAGTGGGCGGTGGGAGTCCGCTTGGCCACATTATACTACTGGAGTTGCTGGCTGGACAGCAAATCTTGATCTTTTCTGAAAAAGTCGCAATAGTTTCCCGAAAGGCGCTACAAAAGACCAATCCAATAACATAGAACAGAACATTTGAATTGGTTGACATTTCCAGTCCTTGGCCGAGGCTTCCACTGCAGTTTCACTTCCCCTTGTCGACCGTGAGTCATGCCGCTTACCAGGCATATAGCTGCCTTCCAAGAACGAACTTTTGGGTAAGGCCTACCCTCCTTCAAAACCCCACATGGACCACTGACATCCATGAGCCAAATGGAAGATGATTCTCCTCTTGGACACGGTCCTTTTTTCATGGAAAAAAACTTGGCTTCGATGCCTTTGTTCCTTTAAAGAGCATATTTTACAAGGGGGGAGGCGTAGACTCAGAACTTGCCATTGGATTTGCCGGGCAGATCCAAGGACTGGCTTTCAGAGGCGGTGCGGTACTTCGGACCGATGAAGATTTTACGCTGGCGAGAGATGCCCAGCACAATTCAATTTACCCTCTGGTTGTTTAACATAGCTATGGAAAATCACCATTTTTAATAGGTAAACTATCTATAAATGGGCCATTTTCCATGGCTATGTTAAATAACCAGAGGGTATGTGATGATACTCTGAGAGAGTGGGAGAGATAAAGCGTATTATTTTTTTTGCAGATGATGCATTATTTCCACTGTTTTTGGATGCGGCATCATTCTCCATAAAGTCTTTTTTTTTCGGGTCACCCTGTTTCAAACATGTGTGGGCCGCAGGGCATTTTTTTTTGCCATGATCGTGGGTCGAACGCACACGTCATTGCCATCTTCAACTCCCTGTGACTTCGGAAGAAAAGCCAGGATCAAAGGACCTACCCGTAAGCACAAGTTGCAAACCTGTAATGTTTTCAGGCCAAACATATGTATATATACATATATTATGTATGTACAATATATCTATATAGAAGATAGAAATTACATGCATATACATGTGTTGGACATATTGAATATATATAACTGTGTATGCAATCTCTCTCTCTCTCTCTCTCCCTCTCTCTGTCCCTAATCTATATCTATATCTATATCTATATGTATATCTATATCTAATATCTATATCTATATCTATATCTAAGTATATCTATATCTATCTACATCGGTAATTTTCGGCATTTGGTTGCATGTACATTTTAGTCATCGCAGCCGAGGAAGGCGGGGGAGCTTGCAGGCTGGGTTCCCACAGAGGAAGAGACCTGGCAGCTGCAGTCGCGCCAGGCGCTGATGAGTGGCGCGGCTGAACCCCTGGGGCTCTTTACCGTTCAAGAAATAGGGATTTAACCATCAACAAGTAGTGATTTAACATGATTTAACCAGTCAAAATAAGGATTTAACCATCAACAAGTAGTGATTTAACATGATTTAACCAGTCAAAATAAGGATTTAACCATCAACAAGTAGTGATTTAACATGATTTAACCAGTCAAAATAGGGATTTAACCATCAAAAATAGTGATTTAACATGATTTAACCAGTCAAAATAAGGATTTAACCATCAACAAGTAGTGATTTAACATGATTTAACCAGTCAAAATAAGGATTTAACCATCAACAAGTAGTGATTTAACATGATTTAAAGTCAAAATAGTAGTGATTTAACATGATTTAACCAGTCAAAATAAGGATTTAACCATCAACAAGTAGTGATTTAACATGATTTAACCAGTCAAAATAGGGATTTAACCATCAAAATAGTGATTTAACATGATTTAACCAGTCAAAATAAGGATTTAACCATCAACAAGTAGTGATTTAACATGATTTAACCAGTCAAAATAGGGATTTAACCATCAAAAATAGTGATTTAACATGATTTAACCAGTCAAAATAGGGATTTAACCATCAACAAGTAGTGATTTAACATGATTTAACCAGTCAAAATAAGGATTTAACCATCAACAAGTAGTGATTTAACATGATTTAACCAGTCGAAATAGGGATTTAACCATCAAAAATAGTGATTCAACATGATTTAACCATCAACAACTAGTAGTTTTTCTTTCTTAAAATGGATTTCATGGACTTTTCACGGGAATCAAACATGGCTGGCCGGAAATCGCACATGGAGGTTTGAACGGGACATATGCAGAAATCAACAAACAAACAAACAAACGAATAAACACATACATAAATGAACACATGCATTGATAAATAAACACAATTTTATGTATACTTATATAATCTTATATACAGATAGATAGGTAGATAGATAGATGTAGATGTATATGCATACTGTATACTTATATGATCTTATATGTACATGTACATGTATGGGATTTTCCATTGCCATGTTAAATCCCCAGGGGGAGGTATCAGGTACCATTTTAGCAGCAAATCATAACTTTTTTCGAGGTGATCTTCCAAAAACCAATCGACCGGGGTTTTAATCCGGGGCTGACATTGGGCTGATCCGTATGGTTCTTTTCCTAGAAGATGTGATTTGACCACCAACAATTCGGAGATTCGGTAAACCGGGGATAAAAATCATGATTTTAAGCACTAAAATGGGGAGCCGCGTTCCATGGTGATCCAACATGGCTGGAGATCATCGGTTTTTTTTCGGGGAAAATATGTGGGCGGGGGATTTCCGTTGCCAGGTGAAGCTCACTCATGAGATTCTCTGATTCACTTGGAGTAGATTGAGCCCCCAGATCAGATGCTGCCCTTTTTTCTGCTAAGATCTGAGGCATCCTCGCCTGTGCGAAATGGACATTGGAGAGGGTGGCACCAGCCAAACCTCTGTTTCTCTTCGCAATTTCTTCGCGATTTTCAGGGGATGATGGGGATGCCACCAGGAAACGGCCCAGAATGAAGGATGAAACATGTAACATTCTTCAGGAACTGCAATCCTACCATGATCATTGATGCAACTGGGCTCTGTTGCCCTTATGCACAGGCATAAGCCTTGTGCAATGTGGAAGAAACATGCTGAGCCTTGCTGCCGAAAAACCTTTCAGATCCTACCAATCATTTCCCATCCAGTTGGAGGTGATGAACCAAGCTCTGAGCCATTCCCATTTTTGGGGATGGATCAAAACCTATTATTACCATGTTTGGGGGAGAACCATCCATTAACCACCTATCTTATGGTACCGTTTGGGTACCAGGGTTTCGATCCATAACAGGCTCTTTGGTGCTACCCTGAGACCGGCGACGGACAGCGACCGGGTGACTTTTGCACCCCTGGCCTTCGAATGGGCCGAGGGGCCGGCGGCGGCTGGGCTTTATCGGAGGTGAATGGAACGTATGGTGATGGAGAGATGCGGATGGAGTTTTGCTTAATCCGCCTATGATTCTACAAGATTCAACGGATGAGTAGATATGGCAATCAGATGCAATTGGATGCAATTAGATGCAATTAGATGCAATTAGATGCAATTATAAATTATAGATACATACTAACCCTCTATCTCTCCAAGTTTGCCAATGAGAATCGAATCATTTTTCGGATGTGGCCATTTGGCGCGGCACCAAGGCAGACCCCTTGCAGCTGGCATTGCAACTCTCCATGTCGACAGAGGAGGTGAAACTGCAGGTTGAGATGATTTCGGGCGGTTGGTCGGCGCCTGGGACCAGTTTTTGGTCAACCCATGTTGTTCCCCTTCCCAAAAGAAGGGGCATTTCAAGTGCAGAACTGAGATATTTCTTCTGCATGGATGTCTTGGATCGCTTGGATTTTTTTTACAAGCTAATTATGGGGGAAAAAACCACATGTCACAACAAAAACCTGTGATTTCTGGAGGTTTTTGCCGATGTTGAAGATCCCCATCACCGAGGATTGGTCCGAAAGCTGGTCCTTGGAGGCAGGCACTTTGCAGGTGGAGATGAGTACAGCCATCTGTGGTCAGGACGGGGACAGAGTCGTTTCGGTGGCCCAGATTCCAATATGGCAAGGAACCATGCTTTTGAAAGGTTGGGAAAATGATCTTTTGAATGGGGGTCCACATTTTTTCTGTTGAATGAATGGAGGGTAGAGTCGGCAGCGTCAAATTTCGCGAATCCTTTTTTCTGGTCCAGAAAACATAGGTTTTTGGCCACATGAAAGCGGAAATCATGGTAGCTGATTAGTAACTTACTCATTTGTCTTTGCCTGGCAGGCGACGTATCCTAAAAGATACCTGGGTTTTGTGCCAAGATGTTTGTGCCACTTCCAGGATGAAGGCGACAAGTTGATGCTGCATCAAGTGCTGGGCGCCGAGTGTTTGGAGGCCTGAACGAGTCAGCGAAGCTAAAACGATAGCCTCCAGTAATTTAACATAGCTATGGAAAATGGATGAACATGGCCCATTTATAGTGGATTTACCTATTGACATGGTGATTTTTCCATAGCTATTTGTTACTTTACCAAACGATACTATATTTTCTTTGGTTGGGCAGATCATCACAGCCCTCGTTCAACCCCGGCTTTCTCCTGTCTTTTCACCAGGTGACGGGAGAAGCTCATCGTGTTGCCACGGCAGAGAAACTCATCGCCGTGGTGTGCTTGAGCCAGTTGCGCTGGGGAGCTGCCTCTCGGTCAAAAAAGGGGGGAAGCAGAGGGATCATACGGGATCAAGGATACAAAGCACCCCCGAAATGGGGCTTTTAACCAGCCCAACTGTGTCCGTTTTCTTTTTTGGGAAGGTATTGATCATCCATCCAAACTTCTGTGATGTGTTGGACAGATACGATACACTCAGTATGCTGAACTTAGGATGTACCCACCATGGGTTCTTTATCCCAATTTCGTCCAACAGGCTATTGTCATGATAAACAAAACGCTTTCTTGCGGGTGCCTAGTACTTTTCCTCAAGTAGATCATAATACCATACCAAAACATAATTCTTAATAACCTGGACTGCAACAACTTAGCCCGTAGCAGAAATGAAACATGTTGCAATGCATTGTTGCCGTGGGATGATGATCATTCCGACCCCTACACTAGATAGAACTTATGATTTCCAAAATTTCGGAGGGCAGATGCACCAACAAGACTTGCCAGAGTTTATTTGATTTTGTTCATGTTTATCCCAAATACATTGTTGCAGGTATACGCAACAGTGTATATTTATTTATGTATGTATAAATGTAATATGTGAAATCATCCTGAAGTAGATAGAATATGGAATCTTCAAAGGTATTCCCATTCTCAGTGAGGATTGACTTGTTCATATTCTATCCACTCCAGGATGGCTATATATTTATATATTATAGATGTGTGTATATGACATCATTATTGTATGAATAAATAAACAGATAAATCAATAATAAATAGATAGAACTACGCATATAAATATAGATGCAAATATAAATAAATGAACACACACACATATACATATACATATACATATATATATGTCTAAAACAGTATATAAATAGATATGTTCCTAGTGTAGATGCCCCGTTCGACACGGCGCTAGGACGCACCACCGTGGCGTCCCAGGGAGCTGCGGCGACTTGAGACGCGAGCGCGCGCTTAGCAGCATCAACGTTGAATGGGAAGAGACCAGAATATGTATTGGCTATATATACACATAGATTTCCATTGTAGTTATATCCATTGTAATAGCTATATATCCATTGTAATGTAGTAAAGCTATATCCATTATAGTATATATATATTAGTATATCTGCAGAATTATGATAGTGATGTAGAATATTTATCCAGTATGTATAGTATAGATATGGTATATGTACACTTGGTGTGCTATTATATATATATATGTGTGTGTGTTAAATCCAGAAACATGGGTTGGAGAAAGGAAGTTCACCAACCATCTTGGGACTTGAGCAGTTTTTCTTGTTGTCCTTTTGGTTGGTTGGTAAACAGGCATGTAGGACAATATGTTATGCTCGTGGAACCTCCAAACTCGTACATCTCGTACTTTACCAGTGGAAAAGGCATCTCCAAGTGCGCCATTTGTGAGGGTGCTAGCTAGCTTAGTTTCGAGCAAGGGAACCCACCCATTCTGAGCATCTCAGCGTGCAGTTGCGGAAGATGTCACAAGAAACCAATCTGGAGAAGCAAAGATGGCTGAGAAAAAAATGTTCAGTTCAGATGTGTGGTTGGCATATGGAGTGCAAGATGGGCACTCCATCTTTGGCATGGCATGTGCATCCCATGGTTGCAGTCGTCTGATGGTTTCTGCAGGTGCTGGGTGGGACAGCCCCAGAGGAGCGAAGTGGATGAGAAGAGACGCTGCTTGTGGTGATGTCTGCCGGTTGGGTAGCTAAGCTAGAAGCGGTTGATGTGGATTTTCCCTGCAAAAATGGGCCAATAGAACTCACTAAAAAGGCTTCAGAATCCTAACCCACTCCCACTTCCCACCAGTTCTGGCGGGATAGGGGTCAAAAAAAAAACGGATCAAAACAATTCGGGATCAAAAAAAAACGGATCAAAATCGGGTTAGATAGGAATGAAGGAAGGCAAGAAGGAAGGACGGAAGGAAGGAAGGAAGGAAGAAAGGACGAAAGGAAGGAAAAACTAAGGGCGCAAATGTTGCCAGAAAAGATGCCAAAGATAATGGCAAAAAATAATGCCAAAGAATATCAGGTAGGATATCGGATAAAGAAAGAAAGAAAGACAGACAGACAGAAAGAAAGAAAGAAAGAAATAAGGAGGGAAGGAAACAAAGGAGGGAAAGAAGGAGGGAAAAAAAGGGGAAACAAAGGAGAGAAAAGAAGGAGGGAAAGAAAGAAGGAAACAAAGGAGTGAACACAGGAGGGAAGGAAGGATGAAAGGGAAGTAAGGAGTGAAGGAAGCAGGCAAGGAAGGCTGAAGAAAGGAACCGTGCAACGAACAGTGCAAGGAAGGAAAGAAAGAGGGCAAGAAGGAGGGAAGGAGAAAAGTAACTGATGTGGAACACGGGAAAAGAACAAAGAACACAGGAAAGAAACAAAAGTATGAAAGAAAGCCAGGAACGAAAACAAACAGGAAAAGGCGCGAGGTGAAACGACAACAGATAGAGAAAGAGCAAGAGAGCCACAGAGAGGTTCAGATGTTTTTTTTTGGTTCTGGTCTTACCCAATAATCAGCCGGCCATTGCCACGACACATTGCTTTAGAAATCACGTTTTTTTTTGGTTGGCAACCGTGTTTTTGGTTGCTGCTGTTAGTTCAAAGTGATTGACTCCCAAAATGCTACGTTTCAGTAGCATATGAGCATGTTAGGAATTACATTGGTAGGGCTTTGCAAGAGGCGAAGGAGATATTGCACGTTAAACAACAGCGTAGTGAATAAAATCCCTTTTGCATGACGAAAATCACCAATCACCAAAATTTGACGAACCAGGGTCCGCGCACTTTCCACATCCTTCGTTTCCTCCCCCAAGAAAGAAAAGGGCAGTTCATGATGAAGAGCAGCAAGTCCACATGCTCTTGCCCTCCCAGGCTCGTTCTGCTAGTGCCCCATCTCGGCCTGTGTCAGAGAAGCGTTCGCGTAGCAGTTCTGGTTTGCACCGGCTCCTTCAGCACTTGGGCTTATCACGCTGGGAGAGTCTCATCTTGGCTGAAGAATTGGATTTGGACATGCTGGCCTCCATGCCTTTTGCTGACCTGAAAGTTGCTCTCCCGACGATTCCCTCTGGTGTCCTCTTCTCATTGCAGCATCATGCTGCAGAATGGAGCACTGATTCCGGGACCCCATGCGTGCGTGTCTTGGTACACCATCCCTACAGAAGCAGCGAATTAAACGAGAGCCATTGAGAAGAACGATTCCGGTACTGCTAGATTAAAATGGCCGATCCATATGTATGCATGTCAGAAACAAGCAAGAACTGATTCGATGTACGGCGCTATGGCCATCTCTTCCCCTTATCGCGATGTAACATTCTCTTCTGGAAAACAATGAAATATTTTGAGCTAAGCTTGTGATTGCTCAGGACGTGCAACCTGAGGGAGCCGACGTGGCCTCAACTCTCCTAATGGGCGTGTACAGTTTAGCTTGCGCATTGTAGCGGTATCTTGCTTGTTCATTTCCGTCTTCCACGCAGATGAGAATCAAGCTCGTGATGTTCCATGCTCGGCCCAGGGAGAAGCTCTTGCTCGTCCAACAAGCTCTGCTGTCCAGACCTCAGTGTTAGAGAAGCTTCGTATACACATGTTGCAGGGAAGCCTCTTTTTTCCTCCCTATAGAGAGGTTCTGCAAGAGAGGTGCCGAAGCGTGTGCTGACCTTAGCCACAGTCAGAAGAGTGTATGGCAACCGGCTTGCGCATACCTAGACCATAGCCTTTTCCAAACGATGTCGCCTCCGGCAACCTCAGGGTTCCAATTTTTTCGGCCAAGGAATTGGCACATGTGGTAGCAGCGCAAAATATGACACATCTGCTTTCTGATATGTCGCAGTAGCACGAAACTCCTTAGCATTCTTCGGCTGGCAAAAAGGGAAATTCGAGAATAGCTGTGCCCCACATGAATTAGGCTGGATGAATTTCTTTGGCTGCACGTGTCCATGCGATGTCGGCCCGTCAGGTGATTGGTGTTGAAATGCCTCATGACCAAAAAAAGGAGACCGTACCTGGTCACACCTAGGTAAATTAATTACGGATGTCAAAAGACTTTCGGGGTTTCAACCAACAAAAAAGCAGCAAACTGAATGGTTAGACTGCAGCTGCATGCCATTGTTGAACCATCAACTATCTGAAAGCGTTTCCAATAGGAATGTGAAACGATTAGTGGGATGATGTGTACACTGTGTACACCAGAATCCATGTGAATTCCACGTGTTGAAGCTTACTTCTTGCATGGAAGATGATACTGTGAAGGGGTTTTCCTAGAAATTTTCCGTCCCTCGTTGCTGGATCAAAAAAATTACTCTGGATCAAACAAATATTCCTTGTCAAAGACTAAAACATATTTGTGTAGCCAATTTTTTTTGATCCTACTGATTTATTATTTTTTTGATCTGTTTTTTTTTGATCCCTCACTCAGTTCTGGCGATGACAATGGTCACCTCATCGCTGCCCTGGATGCTTGCAAAGCTGGTGTGTACCCTCCAGCAATTTAACATAGCTATGGAAAATAACACAATTATATTTATACAGTAGATGATTTACGTGATGTTCCATGGCTATGATGAATTACCAGAGGGTAGATAGACACACACACACAGATAAATCGATAGATAAACTAAACTAAGATAGGATAAGATAAGATAGATAGATAGATAGCTAGGTAGGTAAGTAGGTAGATAGATAGATAGACAGATAGATAGATGGATAGATGGATAGATGGATAGATGGATAGATGGATAGGTGGATAGATGGATAGATAGATAGATAGATAGATGTATAGATTAGATTAGATTAGATTAGATTAGATTAGATAGATAGATAGATAGATAGATAGATAGATACATTGATAGGTAGATAGATAGATAGATAGACAGACAGACAGATAGATAGATAGATAGATAGATAGATAGATAGATAGATAGATAGATGAATAGATAGATAAATAGATAAGATAAGATAAGATAAGATAAGATAGATAGATAGATAGATAGAAAGAGATCATATAGATAGATCGTCACTTAAAATGATACACATACCATGTTAATTATGTGGTTAGGCATGCTGTACACCAATTCATTGGATGTTTCGAAGCCGTTTCACAGCAGACCTCGCGCCGGAACGGCGCGCAGAGTTTCAGCTGGCAGCGCTGGCATGGCGCCGGGGGCGGGGCGGCAATGCCAGATACAGGCGACGGGGTGGACGGGGTGGATGGGGAGGCAGGGGGAGGGAAACTCCACAAGATGCAAAATTTCAAGTGTCTCATGAATGAAGGGTAAGTTTTGGGTAAACCATACTAGATGATGTGTTCCAGACCATGATATTTAGTCATATTTATACTATTTTATACTAAGTTGCTAATTGTATCCCTGGTATACACTCCGAATTTTGTACGACTTGTTCTCGCACAGGCAAAGGAGGACTTCCATCTGGAGAGGATGGAGGAACGGAAGGGGTCAGCATCGATCCCTTGGCAACAGATGCTGGGTGAATTGATGTTGAAGTGGCTTACTCACCAGAGCCTCCTGTTGGTCCAGGAGTCCATGGTTGATCATGGTTGTTGGCCTTGATTTTTTAAAAATTTTTCTTCCATGGATGCTGCAGGGAAATTTGCCGTGCTGCGAGACCCCTGGTCAGTAATTAAGTTCCGTATGGAGCTGCCTCCCAGCTGCCCGAGGTGAAACTAAACATGGCCAGCACTGTTCCTGAGATGAAGATCTAAGAGTCTTTAGAAAAACTCTGTGGATCTCAGGAAAGATGCAGCCAGCTTAGCCATGACGCGGCCTTCATTCCAACCAGTGGCTGCGGGACTTTCCTCTGCCGCTCGGTCCAACGGAAAAGTCATTGGGCCATGGATTGAACACTGTTTTTTTTTTTGGGGGGGGGAAGTCTACTCGTCCAATGGTTGGGGTGGCCTAACCGTTGGTTTTAGGATGTTTGAGGTTATTTTTTTCCGGAACCTCAGCCCATCCAATCATTGGGTTGCGAAATTCAACCTCCGTGGCATGGTTTTCACTTGATCCCAGCCCAATTCAGAGACATGGCTACGGCGATTCTTGACTCCTTGACTTCCAAAATATCCAACTTACATGCCTCAAGCATGGTTTAAGTAGAATGATTCCGAATGATCAACTGGAATCCCCTTTTTGGACCGCCTTTTTATGGCTCCACAAGTAGCCGTTGAACCCCAGGACCGCCGCCCCGGTGAACGTCACGAGATCGACCAGTTGAACCGACGTCGCAGCCCAGCGCGACGGAAGGAGGCTGGTGCACAGGCCTCGCCGCGAGGTGAACCGCAGGGCTACTGGAAGGCCTTGAGTACCATGCAGTGCTTGGGCCATGTGTTGGTGGATTTTCCTGGTGTTTTTGAGTTCGTTAATGTTAGTTATTTTTTGTGCTTGGTGTCATGTTTTCTTCTGGGTGGCGGTTGGAGGTTTCAACATGTTTTTTTTGCTTCGCGCGATTGCGCGTTCTTTCCTTGTGCTGTGGTCAAGGTGGGTTGAAACAGTTCCACAAATAGCAGATTTTCCATCCAAACCTGAGGAAATTACTGTAGTAGTTGGTGCGCAATGTGCAAACGAATGGAACATATGAAAGCGGGACAGGTTGTTGCCATTCTGGGCACCTGAGGCCAAAGGCATGTGACATCTCAAGCGTCTCCCGGAAGCGCCATGAACATGCTATCAGCTACGGTTTCTCTCCAGCCTCCCCACCAGCAGCGCCATCAGCCCAGTCAGTGCCAAGCCCAAGGGGTGTGCCCAACGATGCTGGAAGACGGGAGGAATACTTTGAAACCGCACAATCAGCAGTGCAGTCCCTCAACCGCAGTATCAAAAATGCAAGGATGGGAACAAGGTCAACATAGGTCAGCTTTGGGTGATGGATGCTAATGGTGATTGTAATTTGGATTTATGGGCTTATTCTTTGCCATCAATTCAAATAAATTCAGGACGATGGAGGCACATAGTAGTTAGCCCAACGAATTTAAACTCCCTTGAGGGGCATCCACATATGGTCCACCCTCCACCACCTTTTCTTCCAGTTCAGCGTCCTAGGTTTTCTCCGGACTGCACCTTCCACTACGAGGTCATGGAGCACCGCCGCGACGCGCGGGACTTCGCCAAGACCCTGGGCCGCCCCAGCGGCACCGGCCTCCGCGCAGCGCGCAGCACGCGGCCGCGCAGCGCGGAGGGCATGGCCTCGGAGGGGTCGTTGCGCTGGGAGCCTGGACGGCGGGTGAAGCCCGGGCTGCCGGAGGCAGCGCGGGGCACGGTGAGGTCGCCCAGTCCCAAAGGAAAAGGTCGCACGGTGGCCGACCGGTGGAGGTTTAGCAGAGTTTTTTTTTCGATTTGTGATGGTCTTTTTGAGTAATAAGGTTGGTTGTTTGGGGGGTTGAAGGTTGAGCTCGGGTTGTGTTTTTGGAGGGTTTGGGTAAGCTTTTAGAATTTTTGTAATCGGGAGACTTGGGCACTGGGCACAGTTTTTGTGCCAGAAGTGCCACCAACCAGGTTGAAATGCTCGAGAAGGTGGAGATTGATCCAAGGGAACTCATGCTGAAGGATTTGAAATGCAGGGTGTCTTGGCTTGGTCTTGTTCCCATCCATTCCGCCCCTGTTTTTTTTCCTTCTCGGGAGGAGTAAACCGAATTGGCTCATCTTTTTGGTGTGATTTGAACAGGGATTTTCAACGTTCAACTGTTCTTGGGTCGTTTTGAACACCAACTTTAAACAGTTGAAGGGGATGACATTTTTAAGGGGACACCGCCCCTGTTGGTCAATGATTTTGATGAAGGTCGATGAGTTGGTGAAGCAGACCACAGTGCTTCACCAACTGCACAGCTCCCCGCGCTGCGCCACCGCGCCGGCGGCTCGCTCGCCGCGGACGCGCAAGAAGCGACTGGGCGAAGAGGAAGAGACGCATGGGATCCCATGCGAAGCCTTGGTGATGAGTTGTTTTGATTGGTGTATTTGTAATCATTTTGATTGAGCATGTTGGATCTCCACTTGGATGTCCCACTGAACATCCACTGATCTCCAGCACCTCTGCTGGGATCCATCGTCCAATGAATCTGAAGCATAATACTGGAGGATTTAGCGGGCGCATTTCCAGCCGTAAATTGCAGGATTTACTGTGCTGGTAGCTAGTAACCTGCAAATTCTTGGCTGGAGACACATGGTCGTCGATGCGCTCAAAATAGCGTAAGAAAACAATTTGCCTAAAGAACGCCAAACCTTAGGGGGATAGCATGGCAGGATGGTGGTTCCAAATTACTTGGGATGAGGACCCATGTTGTGGAGGCAATCGTGTTGCACAGGAGGATCCATGTTTTTGAGATGGTTTGCAATCACCAACTAGATAGGACATCTCCGCTTCGCCTCATCCAATTCTTGTTGTCTCCCCAGCTGCTAAAACCTCCAATTTCCTGGTAAAACCAAGGGCCGCCTCCCCCACCAGCCCTGGTGCCTCAGTGTCCACAGCGGCGGCGTCGCCGCTGAGCACGTGCCGTGGACCTGTTGGAACATGATGTTGCCAATCCCCCAGGGATTCCTCAGAATTCTTCAAGATTTCAGGGTGATTTTCCATTGCTATGTTAGTTCACCAGAGGGTATTGTTTGAATTGCCGGGGGTATCCTTTATTTTTAAACACCGATGCTTATGGGGTATCATCATTTAAATATTGCATCATTTGCCCTGCAAAACCTGCAATTTTCTGGGTACCCCCGGGTACCCCCTCCATATTTTTGGGCAAAACCACTTCCATTGTCTGTTGGTTAGATCCTCGTTTTGAATGTTCGAATCCCACGACCCTGGACGGTTTTCCCATTAAACACTTTGATTACTTTGCCCTCAGCCGTTGTTTCCCTTGGCCCTTGGCACGGTGATAGCCTCTGATAACTGAGATCCCTGGCCCCGGCAGCTCAGCAATGGTGAGCAGATCAACGGCAAGGTCATGCATCATGAGGGGTTCAGAGTAATCAACTGGTGGACGTGAAAGGAAAACCAAAGGGGGCCAATGTACATGACCATTCTGGAGAATGACATAGGCCATCCTAGGATTCTACCTGAGATTATGTGCAATATTGACGAGCTGCGGACTGCGTTTTCAATAGCGTTTAGACACATTTATTCCGGATTTGTGGGTTTTGGGTGGCCTTGAGACTCACAAGGATGTTGAGATATGATATGTATATTATACATATATATACATATGTATACATATGCATGTATTCAGTTCAGATCGGGACCATCCAACTGGCATGAAACTGGGGCTGAAAATACGCTGGTTCCATCAAGCGTCCACTGGTTCGGACCGAAACTTGCTTGCATCCGATACGTTTACGAAGCAAGGCTTTGTCGCCTGTCGCCACTTGGAACCTGGCTTCAAATTCATAACAGTGACACTGACCCATCAATCCCTCCAGGGTTTATGCCAAAAAATAGTTGAAGGGAAAACCTACAGGAAACATGGAAACACTCCCACAACATATCCCTAAAACTTATAAGCTTAAGATGGGTTGCGGTAGTGGAGGCGGCAGAGCTTTTTCAGCGCTTAACAGCGCGCCCAGCTGTTTTAGATTAGATGCTGTCAGGGTTGGTGCGTTTGTTTGGCGCCTTCCCTGGCCAACCATGTTTCACCTCAATGGTCATCTCAAAATTGGATATGGTTGGACCCTGGTTGAACCTGAGCAGGATGGTTTGCGTCAAATTGAACTTGTGAAGGCTGCGGGTAGCCGTTGATTTTGGGAAGTGAAGCGTTGAAAACAAAGCCGGACCATCAGAACCAGCTGATCGAATTTTGAGAAAACAGAACCAGGTTTCACGCCGTGACCAGACCGCAGAGGCGACAAAGTCCTGCCTGGTGGCATGGTGCCCCTCATTCCTCCATGCCCCACATGGATATTAGTGGCATTACTTGGATGTGCGGAAGATGAAATGGGGAAGCTAGTAAATCCAGCTATAGGAAACCATTAGTAGCATTACATTTCTATTTTCTCATGGGAAACCCACTAGAAATGGGGAAGCCATAGGGAATACCATATCTATGTCCATTTTTGTTCTTGGGTTCCTCAAATCCAAGGCTCCATGAGTTGACCCAGGGCCAAAGCTAAATGATGAGCTCGCTATATCTTATAGATCTAGGACGATTGAAACAGATTAGATGAACAAATACATCTAAAAAAAGCAGGTGCATATGGATACATCAAAATCTGTACTAAGTACACATTTAATCATATAGTCATATTCATTCATATTCATCAGATTATATTATTTTATCATTATGAAAAAAATATGTATCATATAATCATATTATACACACACATATATATATATATATCTGTATCATATTCATCAGTATTCGGGGCAAAAAAAAGCCATTGATTGACTGCAACTTCCATGTGGTCCCATGGCTGCGCCATGGCTGCGCCATGGGCGACATGGGCGATATGGGCCCTGGGCGTTTTTCTGTGCGTGGAAGGTCAGCCCAAGACGTTGCCTTTTCAGGTGAGAGGGATGGTGCACGAAGGTTGGCCATCAAAATTGGGAATATAAGCAGCAATCTGACTGCACCCGTCACACGTGTATATATATATGTATATGTATGTATATATATATATGATTATAAACTTACATATATAATTATGTAATTACACATGTAATTAATATAATTATATAATTGCATATATAATTATATAATTACATATATACATATATAATTAATTAATTATATATATAGTATATATATATATATGCATGCATACACAGGCATACACATACAGTCATGCCATGCATATATGTATACACACACAATGGAATGTGTTTCAATTACCAAACATATGCCAAGCAACTTTCATATGGACAGAAAAATAGTGCTAGGCCCAATTTAACCCAGGCAAGTCTTGTCATGCAAAGTCATGCAAATGAATGTTGCATAATGTTTCTATCACCCGATCGACACCAACAACCACTGGCTACGCAGATGTCTGCAGAGTACGATCTTTTCAATCAGGGCTCGGCGGTGAGATACTTTGAGGACTGGCTTGGGGGGTGGAAGACCGGGCTTGTGATATCATTCTGAACCAACTTCCCTCAGGTTCGGCTGAACTTAAGCACGACCCGCAACCAAGATGTCAACTCGCTTGACTGGATGAATTTCTCAACATTTGATGTAGTCCATCTTGCTCCACTTCAAGTTTTCCTAGTGATACCACTTTCAATCATTGGAATCCCCATTGGATCCCCATGGTTTGTCGGTCCCCAAGAATCCCCAGGGATCGCCCCGGCAGGACTTGTTCTACGCCGAGAGCGCTTCCGGCGGCGAAAAGAAGCCCTCGCTGAACGAGACGCAGATGGAGGAGGTGCAGCTGCTGCGACGCACGGTCGAAATGGGCGGAGCGGCGGAGAGTGATCGAAGCCTGGAATCATGGTTATCCTCTGGTAAACTAACATAGCTATTGAAAATGGCCATTTAAAGTGGATTTTCCCATTAAAAATGGTGATTTTCCATAGCTATGTTAATTTACCAGAGGGTAGCAATTTTTAGGGGAATCATCCAGAAGAAAGTTCAGAAAGCCTTATTTCAGGATAGTGAATTAACATAAGTTGCCTAGATATGTGACATATCAAATCAGTTGTCAATAGCTGGATGGTTTATTCCATGGAAAATGCCATGAATAAATGGATACCTGGGGGGAACCGTTTTTTTTTTCTCCGGAAACCTCCATATCCACCATCCATCCATCAACCATCCATCAACCATCCATCAGCCACTGCGGGCCAAGTCATTTGTCTTGAGGACACCAGGCCTATGCGCATCCAGTGTTGGCCCTGGCCGGAGCGCAGGCACCCGACTTCAGGGCGGGTTACGAGGCGAAGCCTCCCTTTTTCGAAGTACCCCTCCTGGTGATGCTAGAAAAGCAATTGATAGCTAAGTTGGTTTATAACTCCAATAACTATGGTTTATGGTACCTATAACTATAGTTAATGGGGTTTATAAACCATCTTATAACTGGGGGGCCCCACCTTGTGGGGAAAGAGTCCGAAGATATCCTTTCTCCACGGCTTAGCAAGGAGATCATCTTAATCATGGCGCTTCGCGAAACCACAACCAGAAGTGGCTTGATCATTCCCATGTTTTTTCCCTCATCAAACTGGTACAACTGATGTAACTGCTGGATGAAAGTTTCTGAAATGATGGCCGTTTGTGGAGCTTTACCTAGGTTCAACTGAATCTAAGATTTTATAGCTTGAACCAGTCTAATCTCATGGGTTTAAATATCTTGTGAGAAGTCTATTTTCTTTTTGTTTTTATTCTGAGCAATATTGTTCATTGGAGAATCATAATAGCATAATTATAGCAGTGAAAATGAAAACACCGACAATACAAATCAAGATCAATCATACTATATTGCTACATCAAATCCTATGTGTTCTTCCCCTCATATTTTTTTGCCAACAATGACAGCAACAACACTGATACTGATAGTAGTCATAATGCTAACAATGCGGCTATTACTAGCTTTTCCCCAACAGCAAAACTTTGCTATTGGGTCTTTAGCCCAGATTAGCTCCGGTGCGATCCGGTGCAGCTTCAACACCAGGTTCCGGACAAGGTTCCGGAGGGTTCTGGTGCAGATACCTCGTGAGGTTCCGGAGGGTTCCGGTGCAGATACCTCGTGGTGTTCCGGAGGGTTCCGGTGAAGATACCTGCTGAGGCTCCGGAGGGTTCTGTGCGCTTCCGGAGGGTTCCGGTGCAGATACCTTGTGAGGTTCCGGAAGGTTCTGGTGCAGATGCTTTGTGAAATTCCAAAGGGTTCCGATGTTTTTATGGCATAAACACTCAATTTTTATTGCATAAACATTTAATTTTTATGGCATAAGCGCTTAATTTTTATGGCATAAGCACTTTTTATGGCAAAAACGCAGAAGCTTTCAAGCTGTTGGGGATAGCACCTGAGTTTATTTTTTAAATGTTCTTTTTCTTTTGCCATCATTTCTAACCCAAACGACACCGTACCACAGGTCCTCTACAAAAAACATAGCAACAATAACCGAGGCAAATAAAAATCATACTGATAACATTTGGTAACCTAATTGAATAAAATTGAATCTGTTGTTATTGTTGGAATACTAGCACCAGTCAAATCAATCGCCATATGCCAATAGTTTCTATTGTTATGATCATGCTGCTCATATTTGTCTGTTCCTGTCATGTCCCATTATATACCCACCTGAATATTCCCATCAAAACCATCATGTTTTCACGCCCAAAAAACCCAGCCATTTGGTCACCTGAAACCGCAGCATTTTGAATATATACGTACATGTATGGATATCAATAATATCCATTATCCATCATTGTAGATTCATCATCCATAGATCCATGATCCATCCTCCATGGAAAATCAGTATGAGATCCATCATCCATAAACATTCTCCAAGCACTCTCCATTGAATGGACATCTAAAACGCCAGTTTGATCCATTTCCATCATCCATAAACATTATCAATTGTGGATATCTGAAAACATCCACCATCATCCATTAAAATTGCTCTGAAAACAGGTCAACATGATCAGTATCCCCAACAACCACCATTAAAACGCCCTGATTTTCATCTTGAAAACAGCCTGAAACCAGGTCCTCTACATGTTCGCCTGGTTCCGCAGCAGCGGCGAGATCTTGCGCGAAAACATCGTGTCTTCCGCGGAGCTCTTCGAGCAGAGCATCCAGGTGAGCGACTGCCAACCGGAGAACGAGTGCCGCGGCGTAGACGGGGATGAGGCTATAGGGCTGGGGGGGCTGAAAACCTCAGATTCTACAGTAAGGCAAAAAATGGTGATTTTGATGGATTTGGAAGAGATTTTGAATAGATTTTGGGTTGGGAGTGGAGTTTGAGGCTGAATTGGCCAGAAATGACTTAGACTTAATTAATTACATCCTTTTTGTGGGGGGTATAGTTACATGAATACAGCATATTAGATCCCTCTATTTATTGGCCGAATCCACATCTTGGTGCTGAGGTATGAAGTGTGGCATGACAACGCCTGCGCCGCTTGGCTTCTAATGAAACAATGGGGACAAGCGGCGGGAACCAACACAAGATATGATACGGGGATGGATCATGATGGATCAAACCCTATTATCTTGGCATATTTATAAGAAACATATGTAGTCGAGTAAAATGGAAAACTTGACATCATGTTTACTTTAGAAACGATTCTTTGTTTTTCTTTCTCCACCACTGGAAAACTATGGGGATGGAGGATGGGTTCCTTTTTTCCCCCAGCGACCTCACTGGCTGACCTCAAAGAATTTGAGGATTACTAGGATTGAGGGAGCAATCCCAGAAATGGTGTTCATTCCGAGCTTGTTTGCAATTTGCCCTGACAATCCCTGACATATTTACTCTTCGAAACTTCACATTGGGATTTGGCAGCCCAAACCTGTTCCAAATGAGTTTTTTGCAACACACATGGGGAGTTAATCACCAAGAACACGGATTTGTCTCTGTGTGTGCTTTTTGAGCGATTTGTGCGTCAGCATTCACGAATGGTTGTTGGACAAATGCCACAGGCCAGGGCGGTGTTTCGATGGAGCCAATACCATACCCCTTTTCAGGTGACGTTTGAAGCGGTTCTATCTGCATGTCTGATAACCTTCGTTGGAACATATCAATACAGTGACTACAGTGACTATTCTGCTGAAAATTTGGAAACTCTAGTTTTTGTACCGAAAACATGAACAGTTCGACCAATGCTGACACTGCTTTCTTGTTGACCTGAAGATGTTCGATGGACACACGCCATCCTCCTCTACCATTGGTTGGCCAACACCGAACCGCTGATGTCGAGCCGGCAGCTGTACCAGCGAAAGTCGGAGGAATTGTTCCAAGGCATCAGAAGAGTGAAAAAGTACAGCAGCTCGGAGGAATTCAGGATGCCGTTGTACATACATGTGCATATATACATAGATGATACATGTGTGGGTATATACACATATATGTACGTATAACCCCCGGAGAACATTCTGAGTATTTTCGTACACCAGGAGTTTGGTTCCTAGAGGTGTCTTCCTAACGGACCCAGATACATTTGGAGAAGGTACTGAAACCCGCCAACCCAAACGCACCATCAGACAAGGCCCTTGGATTCATAGGACTTGGATATGATAAATGGATATGGAATCATGGAACATTTTCCCATTCCCTTAATGTACACCTATTTGGGTAATTGGGACCATGGGATTATGTTGGGGATTCCTCTCTTCGAGCAAGAGAGCATTCTTTTGGATTTCACGGGGCTTGGGATTTGAGGAATTGACACTGAGGATGGAAAGCACCTATCTGTAGATGAAGTATCGATCGAACACAAGGCCTTCATTGCCATATTTGATTGCCAGATGGGCATGGTCCCACATATAGCTTGGAAGATGACCCCGGCCCATTCCTTTATATTTGGATGGGTTGAACACCGCGAGACAGAAACCGCCTCCCGCAAGAACGACGTTGGCTTAGGATGTATTTGATTGGAAGCTGCAGAAAAAAGAAGCAGGGTTCAATGCTCAACACGCCGTCTTGTGACACCATTCCAAGTGATCCATTGCAAGTGTCTCAGGGGGCCTCCCAAGGTGTGGCTGCTGATGTGTGGAAGAGCCCTGCGCATATCAATTTCAATAGCACCTTGGTAGAGCCTATATTTTTGGTGGTCGTGGTCGACCATCATGGCACCTGGGGTACCTGGGGTAAACCCAAATAGTGAACCATCACAATCAGCAGAAACAGCAGTTGGGCATTGAATCATATTGAATCATATTGAATCATATGAAATCATATTAAATCATATTGAATCATATTGAATCATATTGAATCATCATCAACCTGTAGTTGGGGATAGTTCATGGCACCCACATTCCTGGTGCTATAGGGCCATTGGGCCATTGGCTTTCCCGGTTCCAGGCATCATCTTCGCCGGCAAGCCCTCCTTCCCCGTGTGGGACACCAACGCCTTGCCACTGGGACGCTGGTTGGAGCAGATGCACCCCATCTTCAAAGCCGAGTTGGAGGCGATCCTCAATGCACCTGGTGAAGCTTGGCCATGGCTGATGGGTTGGGGAAGAGATGTGCATCCCAGGTGTGGAAATTGGCCACCTGAGCAATGGATAGATAGATATATATGTGTGTGTGTGTGTTTGCCATAACTTAGATTTGCCGAAGTTGCCTTTTTCATTGTTCCACTGTTAAATCCACCGGAAATGGAGAATCTACTCGGAATGTTTAATGTTCTGGGGCAAACCCTAGATAATTCCGGTGTTATCCACATACTATCCCTGTTTTGTAATATCAATATCCCTATAAATATCCCATAACTGTTTTCAAAATCCTTGATGATATCGCCATCAATGTTCTATACATCCCTGCTAGCCCACTTTCTAAGACTATTTGAACATAGGAACATGCCCCAAGTCCATCCAACACCGGAAATGAAAGGAATCCTTTCATCAATCATCTTTCGGTGGCAAAGGGGTGGGCCCCTAGTCATAAGTTGGTTTATAAAATTTTATAAACACATCTAACTTTTGTTCGAACTTGCAAACTCCCCTTATATAGACCCTAGCTCAGCTACTTTGTAGCTCATCCCACTTAGCAACTGGGTTGCAACCCAAGTTATAAGCAGGATAAGTAGGGTGAATTATCCACTTAATCCACTGGGGTTATAAGCCACAGTGGGATGAGCCACCACTGAACGAAGCCAACGTTCGCCTTTTGGATGCAACGAGCGAGGACCTGTTCGGCCAACTGATGCAACTGGACCCCTCGCGGGAACACCTGGCAACGCCTGGAGGATGGGACACCTTGAGGCCTGACCATCAGATTCCTCTGGTTTGTTGGCCACAGATTTTCTTACTGGTGCTTAGCAGGGAATGAGGGAATGGTCCATAATCACTAGTAATAATCATCCCAGCAACCCCCATTCCCATCCATTCCCTACTGAGCACCAGTAAGTTTTTGACCATGGCAGCTTCGGGTCTCACAACATCAACTCGTTGATCTGCAACATCATGGCATCTCCCCGGGAGGATCGTGCGATATCACCACTGGTACGAGATCTTCTGCCAGCTGGCGCCGCAAACCTGTGAACTCATCAAGACGCGGCCGGAGACCCGGCAGAGGGGATTTTTCAGTGGACAAACCCAGCATTTTGGGAGGGAAAAGCCCCAGAAAAAAAGAGGGAAGATCCATGATTTTTGAGTGCAACACCCCAGCATTTTGGGAGGGAAACTCGCAGATCCAAGGAGATCAATGAGTGCAAGTTCATGAATGTGAACTATGTACCTGGGCAAGTAGCTGGATGTTGGAACGAAATTGTGGGTGGCCTTGGGCCTTGGGCCTTGGGTGGCCACATATCATGGATGTGGGATCATCCTGCGAAACAATATGCTGCAAGACTGGTAGTTGTTGGGTTTGCCACATCTTCCTGGGTCTTCATATCATATTGTAGGTATATAATATAGTTGTACCCCATTGGTTCCCACATTATATCTCGTAAAAGGCAGGTTTACATTCACTTTTCCCAATCTTCCAGCTACCTATCGAACAGGTCGCAGTGGATAGATTTCTTGAAAATGGTGATTTTCGATGATTTCCCAGCTTTCCAGTAAACCCTGGCGCCCTTCGCCAGGTGCGCCTGAACCCCGGCACTCACCTGAAACCGCACTTCGGCAACGGGCCTCGCTTGTCGGCGCACCTGTCGGTGAAAGCCCCAGAGCCCATGAGGGCTGGACTTACAGCGGCTTGGGTAACGAACCATGGGCAAATGGAGGTTTGACATGGTTTACCTCTGGTAATTTAACATAACTATGGAAAATCATCATGTAAATGGGTGAAATTTCCCATGAAAAATGGTGATTTTCCATAGTTGTGTTAGTTTACCAGAGGGTAAACCATCCAACAAATAGGGATTGATTTGAGACATGGGGATTTGACTATCAACAAATAGGGATTTGGTGGGATTTCATTGTTTGATTCACGGGGATCAAACATGGCAGGCAATGGAAATGGAGGTTTAACCATTGTTAGATTTTAATGGGATTTTGTGGATATTCATGAACATATAGTAGGATAATCAACCATTGCTAGCTGGGAAATCCCTTTCAGAATAGGGCTTCAATGAGAAATCATCTAGAAATGGGGGAGTTTCAATTGCCACGTTTGATTTTGAGATATGGGTTTGCCTGAAGCTTTAGGGGAACCACCCCATGTCCATCGACTGGTTTCATTTTCCCCATTAAATGGTCAGTTATTGGGTGCAGCATCCACATTTTCAGACCCCATATATTTCTAGTTTTCGTAAATAGGGAAATCCCTGCATTCATAGGAATCCCTGAAATAGATGAACCCCTTACAGTCTGACCTTGCAAACTGCCAGCGATATGGATGTGGGTCAACGCCAGAAAATTGGGCGGATGAAATCCCTAAAGCACACAATAAAACGATGAACATCGCACCATATCCCAACCTCCATGGCAGCATATTATCATATAGTCATATAGTTACGCCATACTTAGCCATACTTGTATATTAGATTCTTGGATAAATGCATATATTATATGCGTCGACATATTCACACGTTTGTAGAGAATTTGCAGGTACATGTGTGCAAATCGGAACAATGCATACAACACACATACATCCAATACTGTCACTGTTTCAACCAGCACTTTCCAAGAACCCGCAGCACTTCACCAGCCCCTGGAGGTGGCCGATCAGAAACGGCTGTGGGTGGAGGGCGAGGCGATCTTGTTCGATGACACCTATCCCCACATGGTGAGTCATTGGGGCGAGCAACCGCGCTATGTGATCCTGGTCTGGTTCTGCCACCCTTGTGATGGCGGGAATGCGCACAACCAGACCTGTCCGGACAGCTAGTTCTGACCGTAGTTCTGACCGTAGATGGACCGAGTTCAGTTCCCTCTTTGGGGGTTCCTTCGCAGAATGAGGCCCCTGACCGTTCAGGTGGCTCAGCCAACAAAGTCTTGGTTGGTGTCGTGGCCCATGTCCATGGCCAAGGTGTGTAGAACCGAGAGGTTGAATCTTTCAATGGAAGAAATGGGAAGTGCTGCTCTGGTGCCCCACGTTGTCATGAGATGGTCGGTGAACAGGGGTCAAGGTCCGGTAGATATTTTTGGAGTTGTATGTTACTCACGCATGCTTGAAGAGTCAATCATTGTGACATGTTTGGCCAGACTTTCAGGGATACACTCGTTCTTGGAAGTGACAGATGTGGATGTTCGGGCCCTACAGCTTCCAGGGTGGCATGCGGATGTCAAAGACAATTAGCAAGAGGAAGCGTTAGCAAGATCAGTCAAAATCCTTGGACATACCCGACCTAGGTGAATCAATGGTAAGTACCCAAAAGGTATGCCCTCTGGTACTCGAACATGGGCGATGAAACGGGATCCATATTGCGTTGATGGGTTAATAAATCTGTAAATGGTGGACGTATCCCAATTGTTGGTGTGCCAATCATCTGCACCATGAAAATCATCAATCAATGTGGTTCGTAAATGGTGTCGGGTCCTTTGTTTAGTTTTAAAGATATCCTATTTTGTTGAACTTTAAAGACATTATATTTTTGATCTATAACTGGTTAGTTACCCATGATTTTAATATACTTAGATAGCCCACAAAGGACCATCAGCAGAGACCACCATGAAGCTTGGCGCTTCCAGCCATGCCGCGGGTAGCGCAGCTGGCGCAGTTGGGGGCCTTCGGGCCACCCAAGGAAGGCTACAAGGCATGGTTGGCGGCTGGGAAGTAAAAAAACAAGGGCAAGGTGGAGCAAGCCCTAAGGGCCAAGTTTGGATTTGAATATATACTTGGATTGCTTTATATCAGGGAAAATCTGCAGGAAACCCGTCGAAAGTAGAGGCTTCCTGTAAAATGTCCCTTAAACCGAACCAACGATTTACATGATTTTCGCATATTTTAGCATGACATATGCGGATTTGAGCAGCCACATGTTAAAAATCAAGTGGATTGAAGCATGCTTTTACAATCAAGAATTGTGATTGAAGAATGGAACTTTCTTTGTTTCAAGATATGGCCCCAATTTTATGGGGCACCTTAAGGATGTTGGGAAATGAGGTCTTCAAACCGGTGAATTTAGGGGTACATACCCGGGTACCAGCCATGTTGCTTTGTCCAACCGTGAGGGATACACCACAGGGCAAATTTGATTGGAACCATGACAATCAACCATGAGGTGATATGAGGTGCCCAATTTCGAGTCATACCTGTTACATCCTGTTACAGTATGTATGGGGTGGTCATTATCCTGCCATTTTTGCTTTAGATTTTAAACTTATCCTTGGATACACGGACCGAAACCAGCGACCACCTCAAAGCGTATTGTCTACCCCAGGTGACCTCAGTCGTCCATGGAACTTTCACGGATTCTTTTGCATGGGGATTCAATCCCCCCAATTTTGTGACCCTTCGAATAATGAAGGGCTGATTAAAAATCATAAAGTTTCATAAAGTAGTCGTTCACCTACAAGACCTTTACCAAGAGCTCATCAACCATCTATGAACTATTATTGGTGGGTCATCTTTGGGCGGTTGAATCCCATTGTTTCATCTGATTCTTGATGGTTAATCACCAGTGTAGTCTAAGCCCTATTCTTCATATGGGTAAATGGTTAAATCATGAATCCTGATCTTTCTTGTTGGATTGGTTGAAAGAAGGTGCCTCTAACTCTAGCGGTTTTTCATCATTTTCTCAAAATCCCACAGTTTCTCTTGTAGCCAATCCCTTCCCCTTACTGTAATAGTAAACAGCCCCTAAATCCCTTACATCCACCCTGGTGTCTGGGGGGAACTCCAGGTGCCAGGCAGTGCTGCCACCTGCGCCCTGGATGATGGCGCCTTGGTGACTCCGACCTCGCCCAGTGAGAAGTGCGAGCTGAAGGTGGGAGAGCTGGTGATGGGAAAATCATGGAAACCTCCATTAAACATGGAGGTTTATAGCTGGAAAAATCAAGCAAATCATCTTTTGGTGGGTGATCTGCCAGCCACGTTTGAGTACCGGAGGGTATATGGTATGGGGGATATCACCAACCAAAAAAGGACATATGGTTTTGGGATATAAACAACTGAGGGAACTGAATCCTCAGAAAACAAACAGATTGAAATTACCCAGCCGAAATGGAGATTGAGCCACCAAGATTGGGGGAAAGACAACGGAATTCTCCTAAGCATGGGGCTTGAACGCCAAAAATGGGGACTCCAAAAAACCAAAAAATGGGGGGCCTACCCTCTGGTAATTTAACATAGCTATGGAAAATCACCATTTTTAATGGGAAAATCCACTATAAATGGTCATTTTCAATAGCTATGTTAAATTACCAGAGGGTACTGCAAGAGGAATTGGAAAAAAACTGGGCTTCAGCGGGATTCTGAGACCAGGACCTGGATCCGGAGGATCGTTGCGAGGCAGGCTCGAGCTTCGAGGGCAAGCGCTGGTTGGAGCCGCAGCTGGCGCTGGAAGCGGTTCCTGGAGCTGCAGGGGTGCGACGTCACCATAGATGGTGAATGTATAGGGGAAATCTGCACAAAAAAAAGCGAACTACTCAACTTAGTGAATCAATAAATATGATATAATTTGCCCAGATATATCCAATAGTGAAATATAATCAATATCTTTAGGAGATCACTTTTATACATTTTTCAGGATCCATGTGAATTTTCGGGGATTGTACTCTTGTGAGATGTGGATCTATTGGACTCCACTGAAGTGGCAGATTCACACTTGTGAGGATTATAACCATACACACAGACATATGTACATAATATAATATAATACAATATAATATAATGTAATATAATGTAATGTACATATAATATAATATATATAATATAACATAACATAACATAATATAATATAATATAATTTAATATAACATAATATAATATAATATAATTCAATATAGTATATATTTTAATTTAATTTAATATAGTTCAGTTTTGTTACTGTATAATATATGATCAGCACGATCCATCACCATAGTGATGAAAAAGGAGTGGCACCCTTTTTGACAAGCAGTCTGGGTACCCAGGCCTAGCTCCCCACAAGGTCGCCATTGAGCATAAATAGGTTTTTCCATGCGTTTCTTGCAAAAGTGGGATGTCACCAGCATTTCTCATTTTCTTGGAGGTTTTCCGCGGCCGAGGTACAACGCTTGAGCTCTGGGAGTTTTTCCCTGGCGCCCGCGCGCAAAGCTCCGCCCTTCGGGCAGCGGCGCTGCCGTTTACTGGGCTTTTGGGGCACGTCCGGCGAAGAAATCAATGAAGAGATGCGCTGGGATGGGATGCTCAGGTGAGAACCAGAGAAAGTTTGCCTAGTCGGCCTTGCCTGCCGCCTCATCGAGCTTCGTAATATTTCCGATTTTACCAGCCTGTTTTTCCCGAGAGCGTCTGAGCGCAGGGTTCTTCCAATAGTGGGGGTCTGTATCTCATCCTCTCATCTTCACATCTTCTCTCACACCTTCTCATCTTCACATCTTCTCTCACACCTTCTCATCTTCACACCTTCTCATCTTCACATCTTCTCTCACACCTTCTCATCTTCACACCTTCTCATCTTCACATCTTCTCTCACACCTTCTCATCTTCACACACCTTCTCATCTTCACATCTTCTCTCACACCTTCTCATCTTCACATCTTCTCTCACACCTTCTCATCTTCACATCTTCTCTCACACCTTCTCATCTTCACATCTTCTCTCCCACCTTCTCATCTTCACATCTTCTCTGACACCTTTTCATCTTCACATCTTCTCTCACACCCTCTCATCTTCACATCTTCTCTCACACCTTCTCATCTTCACATCTTCTCTCACACCCTTCTCATCTTCACATCTTCTCTCACACCTTCTCATCTTCACATCTTCTCTCACACCTTCTCATCTTCACACCTTCTCATCTTCACATCTTCTCTCACACCCTTCTTCATCTTCACATCTTCTCTCACACCTTCTCATCTTCACATCTTCTCTCACACCTTCTCATCTTCACATCTTCTCTCACACCTTCTCATCTTCACACCTTCTCATCTTCACACCTTCTCTCACACCTTCTCATCTTCACACCTTCTCATCTTCACACCTTCTCTCACACCTTCTCTCACACCTTCTCTCACACCTTCTCATCTTCACATCTTCTCTCTCTCTCACTCTCTCTCCTTTCTCTCTCCTTTCTCTCTCTCCTTTCTCTCTCCTTTTTCTCTCTCTCGCCTTCTTTATCTTTCTCTCTTTAGGCCGAGGGTGGTACCGGCGGTGAGTCACGAAACGTCAACCCTTTCGCACGAAATGATGGTCGATCGTCAAAAACTGAGGAAAAATTGCGATTTTACTTGTGCTAAAACAACCCTTTCGCACGAAATGAGGGTCGATCGTCAAAAACTGAGGTAAAATTGCGATTTTACTTGTGCCGGAGCAACCCTTTCGCACGAAATGAGGGCCGATCGTCAAAAACTGAGGTAAAATTGTGATTTTACTTGTGCCGGAGCAACCCTTTCGCACGAAATGAGGGTCGATCGTCAAAAACTGAGGAAAAATTGCGATTTTACTTGTGCCGGAGCAACCCTTTCGCACGAAATGAGGGTCGATCGGCAAAAACTGAGGTAAAATTGCGATTTGACTTGTCCCGGAGCAACCCTTTCGCACGAAATGAGGGTCGATCGGCAAAAACTGAGGTAAAATTGCGATTTTATCTGTGCCGGAGCAACCCTGTCGCACGAAATGAGGGTCGATCGGTAGAAACTGAGGTAAAATTGCGATTTGTCGTGTGCCGGAGCAACCCTTTCGCACGAAATGATGGTCGATCGGCAAAAACTGAGGTAAAATTGCGATTTTTCGTGTGCTGGAGTAACTTTTTCGCACGCAAAGAGGTTTATGTGTACGAGTGTTTCTGTGTAAAGATGTTTGTGTGTAAAAGTGTTTCTGTGTAAAAGTGCCTGTGTGTAAAAGCGTCTATGTGTAAAAGCTTCTGTGTGTACAAGCGTTTGTGTGTAAAAGCAGCTCCGGTGTGTAAAAGGGTCTGTGTGTAAAAGTGTCTGTGTGTAAACGTGTCTTTTTGTAAAAGTGTCTGTGTAGAAGCGTCTGTGTGTAAAAGCTTCTGTATGTAAAAGCTTCTGTATGTAAAAGCTTCTGTCTGTAAAAGCTTCTGTGTGTAAAAGCTTCTGTGGGTAAAAGCTTTGTGTGTAAAAGAGTCTGTGTAAAAGCGTCTGTGTGTAAAAGTGTTTGCGATGCAAACTATTGTCTTGCACTTCTCACTATTTTGTCTTGATACTCCTCTTCTCGACTGCCTATAACACAGCTTTCATATACCGTTTCTAAAATTGCGTCTCCATACTAACAAGAGAAGACCCTGCTCCTCTACGCTCTCGGGCCATCCGTCGTCTAGTTTTTTTGCAATCCTTTGCTCTCACCAAGAGGTAGATTGGTATTTGCTGGCATTTGTTGAACTTGTTGGCCCCAAGAGTTCAGCAAGATTCATCAAAAATGATTTGGACTGGGAACGGCCCCCCTCAACTGCGATGGTTGCAACTCAAATGGTGGAGATCTGCTCCAGAGCACCGACCTCAGGACAACTTATTCCTGCCACTTAGAGATCCCCGCGCGCGAAGACGCAATGTTCCAAGTGCTGGTGGAAGGTTTGGGGCGGATGTATCCCAGCATCGAGGGGGCCAACCTCAGCATCCGACATGAGCTGCTGGGGCCGGAGGAAGCTCATCATGATGCAGCATCTGGATGGATGAGTTCAGTGCAATTTCTTGTTTTTGTGTTTCTGTCATGTGTTCCAGCCTGTCAAACTGGATAAACTAGATCTTTTCAGCCGAAGAAATGAAAGATGCGGTTAATTCAGAAACCGGGAAGATCAGCAAGCAAGAACAAAGTATAGGAGAACACTCCCAAATACATGGGAAGATGATCCGAATTGCAACATGTGGTTCTATATCTTTGTTTATTATATACATGTATAAATATAAAAAAATAATATTAATAACATAAAGCAACATAGAATGACATAAAATGATATTAAATAATATGATATAACATCATATAATTGAAACATGCATAGATATTTACTATACTACACACATATATATATATAGACTATTTAGAAAATATATGAGCTCTCTCTCTCTATACATATATATATATATTTGTATACTATATAATATATACTATATATACACTATTTATTTACTATTATATACACTACTTATACACTACATATACACTATATATATATATACATTATATATATATACACTATATATACATTATACTGTATATATATACACTATACTATATATATACACTATATATACACTATATATATATTCATACTATATATACACTATATATAATATATATATGTACACTATGTGCACATATATATATATACATAATATGCATATATATACATATGCATAATATATATATACATATGCATAATATATATATATATATATATGCATATTATATATATATATATGCACAATATATATATATTGTATATATATAAATATTGTATATAATTTATATATATATATATATTGTATATATATATACAATATATATAAATTATATACAATATATATATATAGTATAATATATAGATATATTATATTATATATATATATTTATTTACACTATATATATGCTGTATATATATATGTATACACACACATATATATACACACTATATATCCAATATTGCACCTATATGCATCTATTATATACGATATATGTATGTATATATATATGATATTTCCCCCGGTTGAATGGCATCATGGTTGGAAAATGGTTCAGTGCGCAGGCCTGGTTTCTGGATTCGGCTCGTTCCAAGCGTCGCGCCTGGATTTTTGTTGCGTGTCCACAGAGCTGTGCGGTCTGCTTGGGCTGGAAGTTTCAGGGAGAAGAAATCCCAAAGGAAACCGAAGACTGGCGTGAAATGGGCCCCTGGTTGATCTCCAGTCACATCGGTCAAGGGAAACAAGGCCATGGCTTGGCTGAAAAAGGAAGGTCGTTTTTGGTTTGGAAGTTTTGTTGGGGGAATCCGGGACTATTTGTTTCATACTTTCCAGCCGATTCCGATTCCCACCAGGTGCCGTGGTTTGCACTGGCCGTTGGCCTTCAGCTGGCAAGGGTGGGGTGGCAGCTGTGAAGTACCCCGTGGAAGCCGAAGAATTGGAGCTCTACGCTCGGGTGCACGACATCCCTGGGCTTCCTGATCTGCTGGATTTCGGGCGGCTTCCAGGGCCACGAACTGAGACTTGGAGTGGTGATGTCGAACTGTTGATGTCCAAATTGGGCTTCATCTACTGCTGGAATCTGGGGGAAAATGTGTATGCACGTGGATTCACACACACACATCATATATATATATACATATACATATATACATATATATATATATGTATAGAGATTACCGTTCGTGTAGCTCTGGTTTTTTTGAACGATGGGCAGGGTCCGTTTCTTCCTCATTTTTCTCGGTGGCCTTGGCCCAAGGAGAAGGGTGAGTTCTACATGGCCATGTCTAAAATCGAGCCCTGTCTGGACATCTTGCTCCGCGGTCAGCTTCACATCCACGACACCTCCCCCCAGACCTTGGGTCGGATCTCCTGGCCCGTCGTGGCTGGGATGGGGCTGCGACTGCTGCGCACCTTGCAAGCCATCCACAAGCGAGGTATCTTGGTGGGTCCCGGGGATGGTCTTTGGGGGGGGTTGAGGCGTTCATGAATCTTCCAGAATCACTTTTCAACAGGTTTGGATTGCAAGACGTGGTTGAAGGATGTTGAAGGGACCATCCGCAGGAGTACCCGTATATTTACTAGGAACACGACGGTTTCAACCAATGATTGATGGAATTAGAGGCTCTGTCGGCGCAGCCGAGGCATCCTGCACTGTGACCTGAAACCTGGGAGACTCGAACTGCATCACAAAGAGGGGTTGATATTACAGTGATTTAATTTACACACACATCTTGCTACTGGATTATCTCAACTATGCATTGGGTTTCTGTATCTCGTTTTCCAAGCACCGCCAGGGCAGGCGACCTGACAAAGAGAGAGAGAGAGAGGTGGATTATCTACTTCAAAAAAATATGACCACCCAATTGCCAACTTTGTTGGAGTATTTTCCGATTATGTTGAATCCGGATCCATTGCAGGATAGGGTTGAAACCATGGCTAGCTCCTATTTCTTTCAGAAGGAAGCTTGTTCTCAAGTTTTTCACACGTTGCAATCCAAACAAGTCTCGACCAGTCTGAACAGAGTTGAAATCAGTTTTCACTTCAACTTTGGGCGCTCTCCAACTTGGGGTGCTTGATGATGGACAATTGAATGGTGATTGAATTGATGCCAGTCACTCAGTTTCTCGCCCTGTATGGGTCAAAATTATCACCAATCAAAAGGGACGGTTTGAGACCCAAAAATGACCAGCCATTTCTAGGTTCACAGTGCCCGTTCACCTAACCTGCTTATACATACATACATACATACATGCATGCATGCATACATACATACATACATACATACATACATACATACATACATACATACATACATACATACTAACATACTAACATACTAACATACTAACATACTAACATACTAACATACTAACATACTAACATACTAACATACTAACATACTAGCATACTAACATACTAACATACTAACATACTAACATACTAACATACTAACATACTAACATACTAACATACTAACATACTAACATACTAACATACTAACATACTAACATACTAACATACTAACATACTAACATACTAACATACTAACATTACATTACATTACATTACATTACATTACATACATACACATATACATATACATATACATATACATATACATATACATATACATATACATATACACATACACATACACATACATACCTACATACATACCTACATACCTACATACCTACGTACCTACATACCTACATACCTACATACCTACATACCTACATACCTACATACCTACATACCTACATACCTACATACCTGCATACCTGCATACCTGCATACCTGCATACCTGCATACCTGCATACCTGCATACCTGCATACCTGCATACCTGCATACCTGCATACCTGCATACCTGCATACCTGCATACCTGCATACCTGCATACCTGCATACCTGCATACCTGCATACATGCATACCTGCATACCTGCATACCTGCATACCTGCATACCTGCATACCTGCATACCTGCATACCTGCATACCTGCATACCTGCATATATGCATACCTGCATACATGCATACATGCATACATGCAGACATGCAGACATGCAGACATGCACACATACATACATACATACATACATACATACATACATACATACATACATACATACATACATACATACATACATACATACATACATACATACATACATACATACATACATACATACATACATACATACATACATACATACATACATACATACATACATACATACATACACACATACATACACACATACATACACACATACATACACACATACATACATACATACCATACCATACCATACCATTACATTACATTACATTACATTACACTACAACATTACATTTACATTACATTACATTACACTACACTACACTACATTACGTTTACATTACATTACATTACATACATACATATATATATATAGGTATAATTGTTGGATATTGTTGGTTCGAACATATGCTAGTTTCCCATGAATTCGTTGGTTAAATCACCATTTTGTGACTGCAAATTCTCAATCTTCTTTATGTCAACACGTGAAATCATCGTTGTGGTCAGTTGATCCCGATTTTTCTTAGTTGTGCTAAAGCCAATGATCCCAGTGCCATGAACCATCCCCAAGTCATCACCATTCTTATGGGTAAAAACCATCCCCAACTGGATCCCCATGGATCCAGTCCTCCACCTGGCTCCACCTGCCAGGAACATCCTGTTGCACCGGCGCGCGCCGCACGTGCAGCTCATCGACCTGGGCCGCGCGGGATATCTGGGACGCACCGCATTCAAAGCCGGGGAGGGGGGGATGAGGGACTATATGTCCATCAAGCGCCTTGGAGTTTTTGTTGGTGGCGGATGTTTTTTTTTTTTTGGGGGGGGTTTTGTGGAACCCCCTTAAATGTCAACTTTGACGTTTTTGGCACCGATTTTTTGGGAGGCTTCAGTTTGAATTTTGAATCTGTTGTAGATTTGGGTGTCTTGAATTTTGGTGCCCATACCCGGTGCCCACTTGTGTTTTACTGAAGGCCGGACAGGGACCCCATCGTTTGCGCCTGAGCCAAGGGCTGGCCTGGAGGGTGGTCAACGCACCAGCGCTGATGACGTGGAGATCTTGGGATTCAAACGGAAAGCTGATGGGGGACTTAACCATCAACAAATAGGGAGTTAACCGTAGTTTAACCATCAGCAAATGGCAATTTAGTTGAGAGTTAACATGAGTTAACCGTAATTGAACCATCAGCAAATGGCAATTTAATTAGTTGAGTTGAATGGGATTTAATGGGAATATGATTGGATAATCAAACATAGCTAGCTGGGAAATCCCCGAACTAAGTGGAGGTTTAATGGGAAAATCATGTACAGAAGGAATGTTCCATTGCGATGTTTGATTACTGGAGGGATCTGGAGGGTATAGCTGGGTCAACTGGCGTTATGTCGGTACTTTGGAACCAACTGTGGGGCTATTATAAGTCAGCGTCCGAACATATTCTTTGCTTTACCTGCCTACCAGTATTTGGAGGGTTCCTAAAATGAAGGTACCCCCAAATCATACATTTTGGCAGGATTTTCTTTCCATTATTATAAACCGCCAATTTTTGGGGTACCCCCATTCGAGGAAACCCCCTACGTGGCATGATGACAGTTCTTCCAAGTCTTGTTCTTGTCCTGGTGCGTTGAAACCCAACCAGAGAGACAAATGTCACTAAGTGTAAGACCAGGGACTTTTTTTTGGCATCTTGGTATTGCTATTGTTATGTCTCATTAACGTATCCTGATGTCCAAATTTGGTTGATGAAATGCACCTGGTTACTTCCACTAATCAGCCGTAAACCCAACATGCCAACCTGTTGGATACACCGGCGGGCCAAAACCCGATTCTAATTAAAACACCTCATCCGCATCTGATTAGTTATATTCTGCAGTGGCGTGGGGTACTTGGATCCCATCCCAGATGGCAAGTGGTTTAAAACTGTGGTTATAAGCATAGTCCTGCGTCTCAATTTCTTGTGATATGGGCAAGATCATCAATTTCTTGATCAGTTTCAAGACCACCAATCTTTCAAATCTATCCATGTGACTATGATATACATATTTAAAATATGAAATAGTTGATTGAATCTTATAAAGAAACCATATCTTTCAGGTGGCTGATAGCCTCAGCTAGCCACAGGTGATCCGCACCAAGGTCCCTGGGCTGGTTCTTGCTGCGGCTCCTGCTGGGGAGGTTCCCATGGAGTGCCAAGGTGAAGCCACATCCGGGTGAAACGTGGCTGGAAGGAGACACACCGGGTGGGGGGGGGTGATGGCTGTTGGTTGAACTTGGCAGCTGGGGGATGGGTAGCATGGGTAGCCACACTTGGGACATGCAAATCGTAAAGATGCTGGTCAGTATGTCATTGTGATTGTTGACTATCCAGCTTTTTTTTGTTTGGAGGTAGCTAGCCAAGTCTGACTCCCAACCTGAAGCCCTGGAAGGTGATTCAAACATGTTTGATTTTGTGGGCAGCTGGGACAACCACCCAAAGAGGACCCCATATGGACATTATGGACATCATTGGCAGCTTGTCGATTGCAACTTGCCACTTCTGTTGATGAAGTCAAGAAGTCAATGCTAAGTCCCATTTTTGTCCAGAAAAGCGTCTGGATCCCGTTGAATTCCCATTTCCGTTGGTTAAAATCACCCAGCACAGTCACCTTCCATGACACTTCTCCTGCGCACGACTTCCGCGCAGGAGGGGTGCGGGTGGCTCGGGACAAGCTGCGCTTCCTTGAAGAGGGTGGCGTGAAACGCTTCGCCCCTGAGCCGCTTGGAGGGCATGACCGAGTAACGGGTGGGTTGGACCTGAAAATGGGACCGAGCATACCCCCCAAACATAGGGAAATGCTACGAAACCATGGAGGTTTCGGGGAAAAGCCATGAAGGTTTCGCAGTGATTACTGCATTTTCAGAGACAATTTCATAATGGTGAGTTGAGGCTCAGGATGAGGATGAAGCTTACTCGTAGCTTCCATTGAGCCACCAAGTCATACCAGTTTCTTGGTAATTATATATATATATTAAAAACATCCCATGTAAGTGTATAGGATAAATATTGGTACACACGTTTGATATTGATATCATCCCATCATTGGGACCGTCCCAACGTTTGTGATGACACGGATCAATCATCCTTCTCATGATTATCACCGTTGGTGGTTACTAGATCAGTACTTTGATGTTCTTTGTCATTGCCAGAGGTACTATTACTAATAAATATACTATTACTAATAAATATACTATTGCTAATAAATATACGTCCTATTATATACTAATAAATATACTATTACTGATAAATATACGTACTATTATATACTAATAAATATACGCTATTATTGGTAAATATGCTATTACTAATAATTATACTATTATTACTATATAAGTATATAATACTAGTGTTACTATTAATCATTACTACAATAACCATATTGAGTATTACCATTCTTGTCATTACTATATGTTTATCATCAGATTTACGATTATTTTATTGTATAATTACAATTATCAATCATTGCCATACTATTACATGATTACTATTACATTATTACTTTTACATTATTACTATTACATTCTTACTATTACATTCTTACTATTACATTATTACTATTACATTCTTACTATTACATTTGCGAAGCCAAAAGGGGCTTCCCAAAGACCCTCTCGGTCCCAAGCCCTTTTTGTCGCGTCGGTCGAACCTAGTGCGTCTTGAGCCAAAAGAAAGCGGTCGCTCTGCAGTGGCACAAAACGACCTAGTGAGGGATCACTAGGCACTGTACATGGAGCATGCACTTTACATTCGCCCCTCTGCCTATGATCCCACACAGAAAACCTACACACAAGTTCCGCGCTAAGAGCCGCAGGAGCACTGAGCTTCCGCGCCCTATAGCCGCTGGAACCCCCCTGCGCAAAATGCCACAGGGTTAACCATGTTGTCGCTGCCTGGCAGATGCACTGATCTCTTGAAGATCCCATTCATCCAATGTCTTCCCGTGTCGGGCTACTTCAGTAGCCCATCGGATCAGATCTTCACCTGCCTGCGACTTCTGGTCAACTTCCAGGAGCATTGCCAGCTCATGATTGCCCCTCGACGCCGTGGTCCAGTTCACCGAACCCAAGATGGCCAGAACTTTCCTCGGCTCCTGCTTCTGGCCTGGCAGCTCTGCAATCAATGTCTTGGCATGTAATGCCCCGGTAAAGTTCAACCTGCCACGCCCTGCTGCTTGGTAGTGCGGTCCCAACGGGTTCCCGTTGGCGAACAACACCGCCACTTTGCAAGGCCTCTGACCGCCTCTCATCCACTCGATAGCCGCTGGCATCTATCTGCCGCGCTGCCGCATGACTCATAACTCCACTGTTCAGGTGGATCTCAGTGATAATCCGCTGCAGCGGCACCTCTTCTTGGACTGGATGGGAGCTCGGGATCAGAGTTTCTTCCTTCGTAGCTTCTGACAGATACATCTCCTTCCAACGGACCCTCAGTCTTCCGTCCGCGATAGGAGTATATCGGTGCACCAGGAGCACTTGTTCCATAGGTCGGATTTGCAGGATCTTGCCGACTCGGCATCTCTTCAAGTGTTTGTTGGCCGGCACATTGGCCTTGATGCTTTCGATGGCATAGGCCACATAGCTCCCGATTCTCAGGCTGGCTAGTCTGCCCTTCTTTGTTCTCCTGTTTGCCCGCTCCGGCACTACGCCTGCGGCTCCTGCGTCGGGATCTTCTCGCTGCTCGACCATCAAACCAGGCGAACGAACCGAGCCTGGGTCATCCTGCCCGACTGGCAATGGCAATTCCACGTGCGCTGGGCGGATCGGAGTTGTTGCAGCCGCATCTGGAGGAACCAACAGAAGGTCCTCTACGTGCACGTCCTTCAACGTGCGTGGGCGACCCTGGGTTGGGTCCGCAACCACCGGTTCTAACTCCACACGGTTTCCTTGTTTGGCCGTGATGCGCATAGGTTCGGAAAGTTGCTTCCTCCAGGGTGTCCGCCCCCCAGATCGGAGTCTGGGGTCCCTGTAGACCACCAGATCGCCGATCTCAACCACCTTGACTTTTCGGAACCTGTTGGCTCGATCCGCTCTTTGTGCAGCGCTAGCTGCTTGCCAACCCAGCACCTTGACTCGGATTTCTCTGTAAGCCTTGAAGAGCTTTTTGGTAGCCTCTTCAACTGGCTCAAATTCCAGCGTCTCCCTTCCAATCAATTCTCTTTCCAATGGGCTCGCCAGACTCCAACCTCTTTCAAAGTCGCGCGGTGCAAACCCTGATGGACCAGGCGTCGTGTCCAGGATGTATTCCACGACTCCCAAAAGTTCCGTCCACTCATGCGGCCTGGATCTGCACACGTCGTGTACCAGTAATCCCAGGACTTTTTGCATCTCCTGGTGGATCCTTTCCGTCCTTCCCATCTCACACGGACGAAGAGGTCCGCTGAATTTTTGACGCACACCGAGAAGTGCGCAGTATTCTTTCAGCAGCGTACTTCGGAACTCCTGTCCTCGGTCAGACCGCATCATCTTTGGGAGCGTCCGACTCCGGAACATCAGCTTTGCGAAGGCTCTTCTGACTTCTACTTGAGACAGAGCCTTGCATGGTTCCAGCATAATCCCTCCGGACACGCAACACATGTACGTGAGGATGAACCTGTTCCCTTGATGATCTTCTGGGTGCATCGGCCCCTCAAAGTCGACTGCGATTTCTTCCCAGCACTCTAGCCATGACGGCTTGACTGGAACCGCTAGCTGTTTCACGGGCCTCCTCCTGTTTCTAATGCACACCAAACAGCGGTCCGCATACTTCTCAAGGTCGCTTTCCATATCATCCCACCAACATGCCTTTCGAAGAATGGCGAGCATTTTCGCTCCGCTCCTATGAGCTCCCATGATCCCAGTGTGGACCTGACGACAACAAAACTCCTTCCAGCTCATCATCGAATGGGCTTTCCCATCTGGTACCACCGGTACCCAGAGCTCTCCGTTCTGCCCATCTCGTTCCAGCAGTCTTTCTAGTAATCCATCTTCTGCCAGCCGGAACTTGTTTGTCTCCTCCGTTCTCTTCAGGCATTTTTGGATTACTGACATCAACTTATCGTCGCTTCTCTGTGACTTGAACCAGTCGCTCCGCAGGTCCGCTCCAACCGCGAGCTCTGATTCTTCTTTCAGCTCCTCAACCTTTTCTTTCCTTCTCTTGAGGTGTTCATTTAACCATTTCTCTGCTGTTCCGCTGAGTTCTTCACGCCCGGTAACAGGATCCCTTTCAATAAGCGGCTCGATCTTTGCCGTTACATCCGGCCCTCCTTCCAATTCAAACCGCCTTTCCACATTCTGATCTTCTTCCTCAGCTCCTTGGTCTGCTCTTCGTTGGACTTCCTCAGCATGCTCTGCTTCTATGCGCCGCATGCACTGACCGAAAAGCCGCGTCCTCCGACCGCAGGCGCACTGTCCTTCGTGCTCCCACAGTTCCTTGCTGTCTCTTTCCAGCCAGGAGCTCCACATCACAGACTCCAAACTGTTCACCTGCATAACTCCTGCGCAACTCAGCAATTCTTCAATCTCTTCTCTTACTGGCACGTATTTTTCTACCATGCCGAGCCTGGGCAAGCACTCCAGGACGTGCGGAGTGAACCATTCCGGGCACGCCTCTTTCAGCAGCTGCCCCCCTGGTTTCGATTTTCCGATCCTCGGGTTGACCCCAAACATCAGCTTCACCTGTGCCCAGGCACTCGCTACCTTGTGTGCCTCTGTGATATGCACGTTTCTGGCCAGCAACACCGACTCCACCACCACTGGTGAAGCTGCCGCCAAGCACACTATCGCTCCTTGACCGGCACCGACCACGAAGTTCGGCATGTGCTTCGCGATCTCCCGAAGCAGCGTGGCCACTGATGTCAACAAGTCGACCCGCGTGGCATTCACTAGTCTTTTCCCAGTCAGGTGCTGTTTCCCTTGCCTTTCAAAGTGTAAGGCATTTCCTTCTGGATCCTCGAACGGCGGCTCAGCAAGAGCCACTTTGACTTCGGCTTCGGGAAAGATCGTCCGAAAGAGCTTGCTGAGCTCCTTGGTTTGGATCCACCGATCGTTCCTAGCCACGTAGTCAGGAACGTAGAGTACGCGGATCTCACTACTCACGCCGGCTGCGAACATGTTGTTCCGCAAGGACCGGTTCAAGACCCCTAGCCCCCCTGCTACAGCCGCGACTTGATCATTCCCGGCACTCCTTCCCTGTTCAGGATCTGGCAACACCCCGTCGCCGACGGACCAGGGCAGCGCTACTTTCTCCGAAACGTCCGAGAGGTACTCTTCCAACGAGAATCCCCTCAGCTGACCGATCAACCCTTCTAGGTCTTTCGTTCTCTGTTCCAAGAGCTGATCCCGTTCAGGAGGATTTCTTGAGTATCCATCCCCAAGCCTGGCGCTCCTGCCGGCTAGGCTTCTCAATTCGGACCCATCTGCGAGGATTTCGCTAAGCCACCGCAAATGCTTCGGTTCGACTTGCTCCAACGTTTGTTGGCGCGTCCAGTTTGCGTGATCCGTCCAGCAAATCGACTTGATCGGACCGAGCTGCTTCTTCACAGCCCGCCGAACTTCCAGTTGCGCATACCCTTCGAGGGACAATGGCGCCCATGCCTGTTGAGCTGGAGTTAAGCCCTTGCTATGGACGGCCAAGACTTTAAAGGATCCCAAGTCCGCCTGCATCTGGAGAGCGGAGCCTCCCACTGCATACCCCGAGCTATCTGCTATTTGCTCCAAGGGCCTTTCGCCAGTGATCGCTCCCGCTTCATCCAACACGGCCAGCTCGATTGCTCTTTGTGTCATGAGCTTGATCGCTCGAACAGCCTTGTCCCCTGAGGTGTCTCCTTCTCCGAGACCACTCTCCGGGAAAGGAACTGCTCCCTTCATGTACTCTCCCAAGAGCTTAGCGCAATGCGCATACTCCGGAGGCAAGTAATTCCGGAGGAAATTCGTACAACCCAAGAACTGTTGAATGTGCAACTTTTCGCGTAAGGCAGGAAAGTCTTGAACAGCCTTTGTCTTTTCTTGGCTGCACCTTGCTCCGAATCTTCCGACACAGTGGCCCAGGAGCTCCCCTTCGATCACTCCTATCTTGGCCTTGTCGATCCCGAACGTGACTCCTGCCATGATGCTCTTATCCAAAAACGCTTCAAGAGCTTCAAGGTGATCCAACAAATGCTCTGAGGCTGCTGGATATCTCTCACTCAGATCTGCCCTGAGCCTTTGGTAGTACTTGTCGGTGGGGCCCTCCTCCGCCAACAAGTCGAGTGCTCCCGGCGTCTCCACGATGTGGTACACCTTGTCTGATGACACCCACTCCCGCCGCCACGAAGCACAACAAGCCTGCCAGAAGCAACGCCACTCCGCTGCATCCTCTGCTTGAGCTGCCCTTTACTTTCTTCTGGCAGCCTCCAAGTTCACTTCGAAAAACCATTTCGCCACAGCGCTGGCACTCGGGACTCATCTTCCTGAACCCAGCCGCTGGGCATTCGCACTCACTGCAACAGTTTTGTCCTCCAGTCCAGGCTACCGCGTCGAAATGACCGCAGGACCTGCAGAACTGCTGCTCTGCGACCGCTTTTACCGCTACGGCCACTTCTTCCCCTTCTTGGACGTACTTCTCGTCCTCCTTTGGCGTCACGTAAACGTAACCTTCTGCTTGGTCCCGGCTCCAAAGCCCAGGTACCACCTCTAACTCGCTGTCGGCAAGCGGGAGAACAACTTCCACTGGGCTTACGCACGAGCTCATTGGCGAAGCTTCACGACCGGCGCGCCGAACCGGCACCCAATCTCCTTCCTCGCCAATCCACTGCTCGCCAGTGGCTTGCAAAACTTCTCCGCAAACCTGCTCGACTTCTTCTCTGCTTCCCGGCGTTTCCCGCCCAGGAACCGAGTCCCAAGCCCGATCAAACATCGACGCTTGGACTGCCACATGCGGATATGCGTGATCAGTGTACTCCTCAGTTTCTTCCTTGCGTGGGAGCTTCAAGCTCAGTCCATCAAAAATGTGGGCGTTGGCTCCAGGCCTGAATCCGAGTCCTCCTCTCTCAACGGCATCCAAGGCTCTTCCGCCCAAGATCAGGCCGTGCCATGTCGAACCCCCATTGGCGATCACCTTTGCCCGCACCAAAACTTGGCGGTCTTTTCTGCCGCTGACATCCGGGAAGGTGACCCTCAGCACCGCAGCCCCTTTGAGTTTGATGGGCGCGCCGTTCGCTAATCCCATCACAACTTCTTCCTTGGGCCACCGTTCGAGCTGAGCGACCGGAAACTGATCTGAAGACGGGTCGATTCCGGAGCGCAAGGCCTCTCGGATAGCCCCTACTACCACTTCTTCAGTGATCGAGTTGCACCCAGCACAGCCATCGAGCAAGCACCCGACGTACCTATTCATGATCTTCACCTCAGTCTGGTACTGGTACCCGCCCTTGGCATTCTCAACCTGCTTCCACCATTTTCTAGGCATCTGATGCAGAGACTTCAAGTCACCCCACTTTTGCAACTCATAGAGCGGCTTTTGTCCTCCTTTCTGTTTGCCCTTGGCTTCAACAGGTTTGGTCGCGAGCACTGTCTCCTTTTCGAAGGCAGGCGCTCCGCTGACCACCGCGGTATCGAAACAGCCGACAAAGGGGTTATCCTTCATCATTCCCCCCTCCTGCTTGACGCCAGTGAGGTCGGACATGTTCGCCAGCTGTAGCCCAGGACCGCTCCCGCTCCCTTGCTTGGACCCTCCGGGCCCGTCGTGGGAGAACTGGCACCGCGATCCTTTATGGCATCCTCCTACTGAGTTGAAGAAGCGGCAAGGCTTTCTTGGGCTGTCGCTCGATCCTTTCCTTTCCGTCCGTCGTACTTAGCCAGGTCGTCCGCCTTTGCCACTTTGTTCTTGTCTTGCTGTGCGGACTTTTTGTCCCGCGACACACGTTTTCTGGCCTCCTCGATCACGGCACGGTCGTGAACATACTTGCACTCTTTCCCTCGGGAACATGTGCCTCTATCCCGCATGTCGAAGCACACCTTCTTCAATTCTTTCTCAAGCCGTTCCCCTGAGACGTCGTCCTGGGCATGGATCTTATCCGCCTTCTTCGTCTTGGTTGGCCTATCCCTTCCGCTCCCGTGGGCAAAGGTCGAGTTGTTCAGAGCGCGCTGTCCCGCCGCTGTCTCTTCCAACTCTTTCACTACTTCATGCGCTTCTTCCCAAGTAGCGACACTCCTGAAGACAGTGCCTCCACTTCCATCCGGCCGAAATCTCTTATCCCGCCGAACGTCCTTAGACATGGTTGGGCCGATCTTCCTCAAGTATTGGATCAGAGCTTCCTTGGAGCTAAGTCCCAATCCAATGCTGTCCCGATCGGCCAGATGAGACTCCCATCTCACCTCCCACTGGAAGGCTGAAAGCTTCCCTTTCTCCAAGCCGTCACCTTCTTCCAGAATCCTGATTTCCTTTTCCTCCGCTGTCTCTGAAAACAGCAGGTGCTTGTCACGGATCTGGCGGTACACCTCACCTGGGTTGTCTCTCACAAGCCCCGAGGTGAGATGCCTTCGGTAGACCAACTCGTAGGTCTTCAACCTGTGCTGCTTGAGGCACGCTTTCAGAGTGGTCAACTTTTCCATATCTGTCATTCCTTCTCCGTCGTTAGCAAGCCCGATCGTCGCCTCAAAAGTGTCGTAAAACTCTTGGACCGACCTGTAATCACTACAGTCGTCATCCAACATGGGCCACGATACCTTTGGACTCACTTGGATCGTAGAACGTTTGCTCTTCTTGCCCAGCACCTCAGCCATGATCTGGGTCTGGCGTTCCAAGGCTTCAGCAAAGGTGGCCACTGCGTCTACAGGACGGCTTCCGTCGGAACGCGCATCCTCCTCAAGTTCCGCAACTCGCCGTCTCAGCTCAGCCACCGCTGCTGAGCCTCCTTCGGCAAGCCCTTGATCCGACGGCTTCCGTTTCCCATGGCCTCTAGCTCCGACTTCCTTACTGTCCTTCGCTGAACCGTCAGGTCCTCCGCGCAGAGCCGCTGGAGCCTTCTCCGGAGTCCCTTCGGTCGACGAGAACAACTTCTCTGCTGTCTTACTCAAACGTCCACCGCGCGCTTGGATCATGGCCATAAGCACGTCCAGCCGCTGCCGGTACTCCTCTTCTTGGCCCTCTGGCGGATCTTCCAGTACCAACTCACGGAAAGACCCTTTCAAGAGCACGAGTTGCTCCTCCTCTGGCTTGCCGTGCACCTGTTTCTCAAACAGTGCTTGGGCAGCCCTACGCTCCATTTCCTTTTCGTCCACAGCCTCTCCTTCCAGGTCCAAGGCCTCGGCTAAGCGGTACAACCGCTTTGCGAACTTCTGTGGACTTTCTTTCTCAGGCTCGTACGGTCGTTTGAAGACCTCCTTTAGCTTCTCGACTGATGGATCCAGGAAAACTGACTCCTCACCAACGGTCGAAGAAGCTCCGGACGGCGCTGCCAGAGCCGCTCGTCCACTACCTCCATCGCCCCCATGGCTGGGACCAGCCGGCTCCGGGCCTGGTCCTGCAGCGCTTAGAAGTTCTTCGCCTTCTTCTTCTTCCTGTGGCTCATCTTCTTCTTCCTCGTCATCGGGAGCCCCATCCCCGCGGGCCAGCCGATCCTTCCAATCGGCCCCGTAAAGGGCTTCCATGATGTCTCGCCACAGTTGCGCTTCTTCTGTCGTCGTCGTTGTTGCTGGATCACCATGCCGAACCTTGCTTGGCCGCTGCCCCTCTTTGGCGCGCCAAGAGTTCCAGTCATGGTACCCTATCAGCCCTGGGCGTGGTACGTCCCCATCCGCAATGGCTTGTAGAAGAGGCTTTGCTGAACCTCTCACTTCTCGTGCCATCTGGCGGTGAGCACTGGGCCTCGACCGCTTCGAGGTGAGCTTCTGGCCTCACCCTTCACAGGTGAGCCGTCCGCCTCGACCTCCTGGGTTCACCCTTAAAGTGAAGTTCCCAGAACAGCCCCCAACTGCGAAGCCAAAAGGGGCTTCCCAAAGACCCTCTCGGTCCCAAGCCCTTTTTGTCGCGTCGGTCGAACCTAGTGCGTCTTGAGCCAAAAGAAAGCGGTCGCTCTGCAGTGGCACAAAACGACCTAGTGAGGGATCACTAGGCACTGTACATGGAGCATGCACTTTACACATTATTACTATTACATTCTTACTATTACATTATTACTATTACATTATTACTATTACATTCTTACTATTACATTATTACTATTACATTATTACTATTACATTATTACTATTACATTCTTACTATTACATTCTTACTATTACATTCTTACTATTACATTCTTACTATTACATTATTACTATTACATTCTTACTATTACATTCTTACTATTACATTATTACTATTACATTCTTACTATTACATTCTTACTATTACATTCTTACTATTACATTATTACTATTACATTCTTACTATTACATTATTACTATTACATTCTTACTATTACATGATTACTATTACATTCTTACTATTACATGATTACTATTACATTCTTACTATTACATTCTTACTATTACATTCTTACTATTACATTCTTACTATTACATTCTTACTATTACATTCTTACTATTACATTCTTACTATTACATTATTACTATTACATTCTTACTATTACATTCTTACTATTACATTCTTACTATTACATTCTTACTATTACATTCTTACTATTACATTCTTACTATTACATTCTTACTATTACATTCTTACTATTACATTCTTACTATTACATTCTTACTATTACATTCTTACTATTACATTCTTACTATTACATTCTTACGATTACATTCTTACTATTACATTCTTACTATTACACTATTACTATTACATTCTTACTATTACATTCTTACTATTACATTCTTACTATTACATTCTTACTATTACATTCTTACTGTTACATTCTTACTATTACATTCTTACTGTTACATTCTTACTATTACATTATTACTGTTACATTCTTACTATTACATTATTACTATTACATTCTTACTATTACATTCTTACTATTACATGATTACTATTACATTATTACTATTACATTATTACTATTACATTATTACTATTACATTTTTACTATTACATTATTACTATTACATTATTACTATTACATTATTACTATTACATTCTTACTATTACATTCTTACTATTACATTCTTACTATTACATTCTTACTATTACATTCTTACTATTACATGATTACTATTACATTCTTACTATTACATTCTTACTATTACATTCTTACTATTACATTCTTACTATTACATTCTTACTATTACATTATTACTATTACATTCTTACTATTACATTATTCCTATTACATTATTACTATTACATTCTTACTATTACATTATTACTATTACATTATTACTGTTACATTCTTACTATTACATTATTACTATTACATTCTTACTATTACATTCTTACTATTACATTCTTACTATTACATTCTTACTATTACATTCTTACTATTACATTCTTACTATTACATTATTACTATTACATTCTTACTATTACATTCTTACTATTACATTCTTACTATTACATTCTTACTATTACATTCTTACTATTACATTCTTACTATTACATTCTTACTATTACATTCTTACTATTACATTCTTACTATTACATTCTTACTATTACATTCTTACTATTACATTATTACTATTACATTCTTACTATTACATTCTTACTATTACATTCTTACTATTACATTCTTACTATTACATTCTTACTATTACATTCTTACTATTACATTCTTACTATTACATTATTACTATTACATTCTTACTATTACATTCTTACTATTACATTATTACTATTACATTCTTACTATTACATTCTTACTATTACATTATTACTATTACATTCTTACTATTACATTATTACTATTACATTCTTACTATTACATTCTTACTATTACATTCTTACTATTACATTACTTACTATTACATTCTTACTATTACATTCTTACTATTACATTCTTACTATTACATTCTTACTATTACATTCTTACTATTACATTCTTACTATTACATTCTTACTATTACATTATTACTATTACATTCTTACTATTACATTCTTACTATTACATTCTTACTATTACATTCTTACTATTACATTCTTACTATTACATATTACTATTACATTCTTACTATTACATTCTTACTATTACATTCTTACTATTACATTCTTACTATTACATTCTTACTATTACATTCTTACTATTACATTCTTACTATTACATTCTTACTATTACATTACTATTACATTCTTACTATTACATTCTTACTATTACATTACTATTACTATTACATTCTTACTATTACATTCTTACTATTACATTCTTACTATTACATTCTTACTATTACATTCTTACTATTACATTCTTACTATTACATTCTTACTATTACATTCTTACTATTACATTCTTACTATTACATTATTACTATTACATTCTTACTATTACATTCTTACTATTACATTCTTACTATTACATTCTTACTATTACATTCTTACTATTACATTCTTACTATTACATTATTACTATTACATTCTTACTATTACATTCTTACTATTACATTCTTACTATTACATTCTTACTATTACATTCTTACTATTACATTCTTACTATTACATTCTTACTATTACATTCTTACTATTACATTCTTACTATTACATTCTTACTATTACATTCTTACTATTACATTATTACTATTACATTCTTACTATTACATTATTACTATTACATTATTACTATTACATTATTACTATTACATTCTTACTATTACATTATTACTATTACATTATTACTATTACATTATTACTATTACATTATTACTATTACATTATTACTATTACATTATTCCTACAGCTGGACCCCCCAATATGGCCATGGCGTTGCAGGTGTCGCTACTGCCCCCCGTTCCTCCTGGCCTTCCTCCGCCGCAGCCGCGCGGCCGCGGGGCACGTCTTGGCCGACGCGGAGTACGATACCCTGGCGGAGCTGTTGGTGTCGGAGCCGGGGAACGGAAACCAGGAGCCTTGGCCGATGGATCTTGTTGGGCAAAACCCAACAAGGGGGTGGTCGTTATATAGTAGCCATCATATAGCAATCATATAGGATGTTACTGTTGGTGGGTTGACATTTGTTTGTTTACTTATGTCTTTATTTACTTTTTCCCTTCAGTTTCCATCCTACCAGGATGATAATCCCCATTGACTGGGGGGTTGAAACCAGAAACCAGACAAGATCAGACAAGAATGGAATCAATGTGGGGATATATGGCATCAAATCGAGTCGGGATTTATTACAAATTGTTTACATCTCATGACCTCTATGATGAATCCAGTGGTGGGGTTCAAGCACGCTTGGGAATTTTACACCAACAACATTGGGACTACATGATTTAACGCCTCAGCAAATTTCGGAAATTGCCTAAGAATCACGATTCTGCGAGAAACTATTTTGTTAAACTTGGTGACTAATGTTTAAAAACCATAGGATTCCAAGTGGATGAATCCCATTTCAAGATCATCTGGGCCATTGGGTGACCTTTTCTGAGTGACACCACCTTACCAGAGACGACCATCCCGTACAATCTCTCTCTGGCAACGGTATTTTCACTAAGATTCACCCTCAAAATGATTCAAATGTAGCTCAATCAACCATATTTGGAGCATATTCGTGGGTACATCCCGCTGTTCGTAAATGGGTTATGGAAAACCCCCTGCTGTTTTTTTTGGAATAATGTTCCCTATTACATATATGGGATATGAGTTATATATGGATTATAAATGAGTATAAAACACTTACCCTCTGGTAAACTAACGTAACTATGGAAAATCACCATGTTTAATGGGAAAATCCACTATAAATAGCCATTTTCAATAGCTATGTTGACATAACCAGGGGGTACTGAGTGGGATACACATCCAGCTCCCAGGAACCATCTGAAGCTGCAGAAAAGAAACTGGAGCAGTTCGTGTCCGGCTACTTTGCAGCTCGCGACGAAGGTATCCTCCGCAAGGGCATGTGGCCCTATGCAGGCGCCATGGCAGCTGCCAGGTGGGATGATCTCTGATATCAATTGAAATCTGTAGATACTTGCCCTTTCTTAAATATATAAATAAAGAGAGAGGGAGAGAAAAACACACACACATACGTATATACATATATATATACACATGTTTTTTTAGTTTCTCCTTCTTCTAACAATCATTATTAAGGTCTTTGGAATGTATATATATATATATGCATGCTATGCCGATTTTAGTTGGTCACCAGGACCAGCTGGACTACATAACTGGACCACACAAAAGCGGACTAGAACCAGAACTATAACGCTCTTTCTCGTTAAAAAGATCGTATGTACATACGTATGGATATATTCTACATATATATACATGTCACACACAGATATGAATATATTTATATATATATATATGGTCAAGACATACCCTAGTTACTAAGTGTCTTCTTCATGCCAGGGATCATCGAAGTTGTTCCGTGCCAGCGTGTTGCCAGGAGGCTGCACCCTCCATTGGTCTCTGGGCCTAGCTGGGTTTGTCTGAAAACTTAGAGAGAAAAACCATCGACATCCATGGATTAATCCATGGAATTTCACTATTAAATGGCTATTTTATGAGTATACAGTATACCACACTTCTTTTTTTTGACAGATCCATTTTGATATACTTGATATCAACTATTCCCTCATACTTGAGGTGCGGATGGGGCTATTAATGGGCATAACCATGGCAATAACCCTCATCAGTTAGGATATGGGGCCCATATATATATATAATGTATATATTAATTATGCATACATACATGTACATACTTATTGGCGGAACTGCGCCCCAAGTAGATCAAACACTTGGAAATTTGGTCGAAATCTGTGATAATATCCCCATTTTAACTGAATGTTACCCCCTCATATTCCCCAACTATTCCATCAACTCGGAGTAACCCAGGCTGTTCTTGACCGAAGAGTTTCCCAAGACGGCAGCCGCCGCTGGTATCAAACGGCTCCAGGCGCACGGGAGGTGTCGGCTCGACTGGAGCCATGGTCCGGCCATGGCAACTTTCAACCCTGGATATTCTCGTAGAATTCAAAGAATTAAATGGATGGATGAACATACCCTCTGGTAAACTAACAGTTTGCTATGGTAAATGGCCATAGAAATAGTGGATTTACCCATGAAAAATGGTGATTTTCCATAGTTATGTTAGTTTACCAGAGTGTATCCATGTTTCTCCCGATGATTAGCGATTCTGTAACTCATCCCAGAGAGTTCCTTCCGTCGCGATTTGATGGCAGGTCTCTCCAGGTTTACTGCTACGCCTCACTGGAGAGAAGGCAGGGCGGCTGTGAGGTCTTTTGGGGGGCCTGTTAGTTTGGAGATCTTCGATAGTCCAGGCCCTTTTGTTGATTTTGTTGTTCAATTTGTGGAAGAATGGTGATATCATACACGTTTTTTTCGTTCGATTCCTATTTTGGAATGCTGATCCCACATATACAGTTAATTTGTTTGGTGGTTACACCACCAACCTGGTGGCACGCTTAATCTTTCTGGGCAAGGTCTAGGCAACACCATTCCGAACTGGGGGAACCCTGGCTGATGAGTTGATAAAGGAATGACATGTCAGCATGTCGAAGCATGGGGTTTCCTAAAACAGGGATACCCATGGATACCCCAAATCATCCAAATTTGGAACACATTTTTCGTATTGAAAAATCCATGGTTTTTGGGGTTCCCCATGGTTCCCCGTTTTTAAGAACCCAATAGGATCTCCAAGTGAAGCTTGGGTGCCACACGCTCCAAGGTGGAGATCGATGACTGCGTCGCTTGGTGATGGGCAATTTTACGTGGGGTTTCCATAAATGGGGCGTACCCCAATAGCTGGATGTTTTTTTTTTGAAAATCATGATTTGGGGGTAGCCCTATTTTAGGAATATACATAATTATATACATATATATATATACATACTTACTGACACCTTCTACATTGCTTAAGCACAACAGCTGCTGGATTAGGTGTGGATGGAGCTGGATCCTGTGTGGAGTCCTGGAGTGCCCGAGCTGCTGCTGAAGCCTGGCTGGGTCTTGGCCATCGGATCGTCTCCTCAAGGCGCAGGGGTCAAGATCTTGGGTGATGGAAGTTATGGGCAATTAACCATGAAAAATAGAGATTTAACCACCATCCCAAAATGATCAAAAATGGGGATTTAACATGATTTAACCATTCAACATAGGGATTTACCCATCAAAAAAGGGGATCTAACATGATTTCACTTTGAAACATGTTGAGGTATATAGCCAACAATGACAACGACAACAACCATCGAAAGGGGATATCATGTGGATATTTTATGACCAACCAGATGACATTGGTGAGAGTCAGTGCCGTCCAGGCGGTCGTGTGGAAACATGGGTGGAGTGGGGCTTAGAGTTCCCTGTGGTGGAGCATGTGAAGGGCGTTTTGGACAAGTCCGAGTGAGTCGATCGATGACGGAGATTTCGGCAGAAAACATGGGAACTTTCGGCAGAAAACATGGGATGGCACTATGATTCACCTAGGAGTTGAAGATATTTTGATTCACCATTTGAACAATTTGGAATGGCACCGTTGAAACCATCCAGATAAGAACCATCATCTTTACCCATGCAGCCCATGCAGAAGAACCAGTGGATGTAGACGTCCCCTTTGAGCGACTCGTTAGCTGAAAAGCGATCCCGGGTCGGAGAAACACGGCTGAAACGCGGGGAGTTTGAGCGGCAGAGAAAAGGGCGCTGCGTGACAGAAGCACATGGGTTTGTCCGGAACTGGGGGAAGGGGCGAATCAGTTCATTTCATAAACTGCGTTTTTTTTTTGGGTATGCCACATTTTTTGGAGACCTTCACATGGAACTGTGACATTTTCAGATGATGATGGGCTGTCTGGGGAGATAGATAGCCGCCAGGAGCTATCTCAACAGCGGGCGCAGGCTGATTTGGCTGGGGGGACAATCTGCTTTTGGATGTGCTATGCACGAAATCACCCAGAACAAAATGGAAGAGCCGTGATGTTTTCTGCCGCACAAATGTGTCATGCATGCAGAGTTCCACATCTACCATGGACGAAGGGAACTGCTGGCTAAGCATGGGTATATGTATGAATGGATGAGGTAATCATGGACGATAATCTGGCCCATATCCGCCATGATGGCCTCTCATATGCAACCCTTAAATGACCTGAATAGGCTACGGCCAAGTCCTCTCCATTTGGGCATGGGTCAAAATGATCAACAACCCCGCAAAGATGCTTTACCCTCCGGTGTCATCAGTCACATGGCTTGCTGGGAAATCCACTGGCAATAGTTCGATGATTCTCCCAGCAAAGCTCCACGCTACGAGGGGATCTTCCTCCTTGCGTCGCGATGACCCAAGGGTAACCGGGTAACACCAGTGGCCCGCAGCTGGGATGGCCCGCAGGGAAGATGGATATCCTGAGGATTGGTTTTGGAGGGTTTTGGAACATCTTCACTGGAAACCATGATTTTCACCATCAAATAGGGTTAGGTGTTTCCTGTAACATGAAAACCCTGAACACATTCAAGCCGCAAGATGGAACATATGGATCCTGGATTTTGGTCAAGGAACTTCTTCGAATCCTGCTGTGGGTTCAACTTTCCAATGGCGGCTGGCCACAATTGACCGGGCTTGCCACGGTTGATATGAAGACGAAATGCAGGATACCCTCTGGTAAACTAACATAGCTATGGAAAATCACCATTTTTTATGGGTAAATCCACTATAAATGGCCATTTTCAATGGCTATGTTAATTTACCAGAGGGTATAATGAGACTTTTCCTTCCCATTTTGACGACCCCCCCAACAGTCAAACACTTTCCACCAGCCACAGCCACAGCCCCACGCAGCGCATGTTGTGCGATGGCGGGCGGTGCGGCGGTGGAGAAGCAGGTGGGGTAAGTGACCGGTTGACTCCTGGTTGATCAGTGATGAAAAATGGGAGGTTACCAACCTACCTGGGATTCTCATTTTTTTTAAAACACAATTTATTATACCTGGTTAATTGGGGATTATCTGAATAGGTGGTTAACTTTTGTGAATGGATTACGGGTCTTGATTCTTTTAAGCTATATATTCTGATGATTTTCGTGTCACAATTTGGCATGTTACGTTTGCGGCGATGCAAATGCAGGATAGGACGTGGTTGTCACACGGGTGTCTTACACCAAGACTGCCCAAAGTGGGGATATTTGTCAATAGAGATGGAGACATTGTTCAACAATGATGAGGTTACTAGCATTCACCATGATAAGGACCCAACAACCCGCAAGCAGCATTTCTATTTGCCACATTCACCAGCTTGGGCAGCACATGTTGCGCAGAGATATAGGATAGGATGAAAATTCATAGGCTTTCCAGCGAGAATCGTTTGGTGGGTGCCCTCCATGCATTGCCAGACATCGAGTCGGAACGTTGCTTTTTACTACCCAAATGTCAGAGTTTCATACCTCCCAAACCAAACCGAGAGAACGAGAGAAAGAGGGGGAAGTGCAAGACCACCGATACTCATGACTCATGTATCTCAATTAGATTCTGGGCCGAAATAAAGCACAAAAATCAGCTGAAACCCGCCCCCCTTTTGGGATGGTTTCATGCGAGGTCCTTTTCGTTTCGGCCACCGTCTTGGATGAACCGCCAGGCCCAGGGCGATGAATTTTGAGGAGTTAACTTGATTTGATCGAGAAACATGTGGGATGTAACATGATTTCACCACAGTTACGATACATAATTAATGATGAATGAGTTTATATAATGAGTTTAATTTTTAATGTTTATAATTATGAGTTTAATGGTGGGATAAGATAGAACATGATATAACTATAACGACTATAACCAGCTATGGGCCTTTAAAGTGTATGACTCTTTAACAAACCAACATGGGGATATACCAGAGATGGGACACAATTACCGAGAACTCCAGGACACTTGTGCCCGATTTTGAGAAGTCGCTATCCTTCATGCTGGGTGATCTCCAGTTTGGCACCCACCTGCCTGAAGGAGTCGAGATCCTCTTGGGCGAATACCGTGAGATCGGGAAGAATCATGGAAAGCCGGTGTTCCGGAGGAGTGATGCGCACCATCATACCGTGGCCACAGATGATTGATTCATATTGGATCCAAATTCGTGGTCATATCAAGTTTCATCCACAAATTCGTTGATTGTTTCTCGCCTTTTGATATATTTTTGAAGCGACATCATCCAATTTTCTCAGCCGCAGCCATGTGTGTGCTACTTAACTGGCTCATTTTCCCACCGGAAGATTTTTCCGCATCTGGCAGGAAGAGGAACGAAGACCAACCGGACATCTACATCTATTTCTGGGACAAGCGTGATGGACCCGAGTTCACCGGCTGGTGGTTTGGCGAAGCTGTTGGAACCTCACATGTCTCTTAGCGGCGACGGATGAGTCGGGTTGAGATCGTTGAATCCGCCGGTGCAGCCAATGATTAACTCGTGGTATCTCGTGGTTTCGGTATGGTGGTCAACGATTATTCCAAACTGCAACATTCTACACCCTCTGGTTATTTAACATAGCCATGGAAAATGGCCCATTTATAGATGGTTTACCTTTTTAAAATGGTGATTTTCCATGGCTATGTTAAATAACCAGATGGTAACTTTTGCATTATGAGTCACGAGCAGTATATAATTGGGCTTGGTGAAATGGCTGCTGAATCCCTCCATTTTGCTGGCTCAAAAAATCCACGCTTGCAGCTGGAATCCCAAATTTGAGTTTGTCAAATTGCAATGTGTTAAATGCACATTTCTGTTGATGCCATTGTACATCAACATTGATTAGTTAAGAGCCTACTTCTGCTGGTCATGCCATGAGGTTGGCGGTTTAAATCTCCACATTTTTGGTGAAGGCACTACACTCTTTGTTTCAATATCCATATCATCAGCCACTCGGAAAACAACATTAAAGACTGGTTGGCAAAATTTCAATCTTAGAACTTAGGGAACCATCCTAAAACTACCCTAAAAACCAATTTCTAAAACCACCCTAAAAACTGAGTGAACTCACGAAAAAATCATTCTTCATCTTAAGTCAGCAATGTCATAAACATTCATTCCAACCATATTTGGATGGTTGGAATTCCATAAAAATCCATACATCAATCCATACATAAATCCCATAAACATGGTACCCTCTGGTAAACTAACATAACTATGGAAAATCACCATTTTTAATGGGAAAATCCACTATAAATGGCCATTTTCAATAGCTATGTTAGTTTATCAGAGGGTAAACCTCCATTTTCCTATGGTTTTCCTATGGTTTTCCCATTAAAACCTCCATTTTTCCTAGGGAAATCCCCCAATGACACGATCAGTGAGGTCTGGAGCCGCTGCGAGCTTCCCACGGCTTCGATACCGGCGCCGGTTCCGTCGCCACCGGCCCAGGGATGGCGGATCCCGTGGGACGGTGCGGTGAAGGCGGAGCCTTGGACACATATAAATTGTACACACACACACATATATATATATTTTTATATATTTACATATATCTATATATATTTAATTATAGCTATATCCATATATTTAATTTAGACTTATATTTTAATATATATGTATATGTATATATGTATAATATACCTATATAATGACATTTAGCTGTTAGTCATCTATAGAATCTATAGATGCGTTTTTCGATGTCGTATCTGTTTTTTGTTCCAAGCAATGTGTTGAGTTAAACCCAATGGTAAGCCCCTGTTTTGTTGGAATCATGGCATTGTGAGATTACTGTAGGGATGGTTTGTCTATCACAAATGCCCAGGAGTTGGTTATGGACGACGAGTTTTTTGCACATGGGTGAGACGTTTTTTTTTTTTCCAATTCCGATGCCATCTTTGATTTCAGGCATCACCAGGCAGAAGTGATTTGAATAAAATGAGGAAGACCAGGAAGACGATGGACACCTGAGAAGGTAATTAGCTCGGATACCTCAGATGGTGTGATGAAGCCAAGTGGTGAGACACATTATAGATTATAGATGACATACAACATGGTAGCACCCACTTGGCTGGGTAACCCGGGTTTATCCTCGATCCAAAGGGTTGTTTGATCTTTCGATCGCCTCAGTGCGCTGAAGTTGGAGGATTCCCCTTCGATGATTTCCAATTTCAATGGCTGACAGACTTCCCAGCTAGCCGCTAGCCATGTTTGATCACTGGAGGCTACAGTACTTTTCTCTTTCTCGGTGTGTATGACATGATGGACCCACGAAAAATTCCCCAAAAAGGGCCCCGGAGACGCCTTAGGATCTCCGGATACGCCGGGCGAAGGCTGAAGTGAAAGAGGCCTAGCTGGGAATCACGGTGGTATGAGTCTTGGGTATGCAAACGCACACGCAGAGATGGGTGGATGGATGGACGGACAGAAAATGGAGATAATATACACACCACACTACACACTCACACACACACACACTCTCTCTCTCTCTCTCTCTCTCTCCCTCCCACTGCAAGCCATAGATCCAAAGCTCAAGCGCTCCTTTCGCCCCGTTTCTCGCCATGCAGGAGCGACTGTCGAAGGACGAGTTGCCCTTGGAGCAACAGGAGCAAAAAATACGACGTCCAGCAGTTCCTCCAAAATGTCATAGCTTGAAGCGTAATCCCGTCCCCGGATCATATTCATAACAAGATAAGCCAATACATACGGACGTACATACATACATACATACATACATACATACATACATACATACATACATACATACACACATACACACATACACACATACACACATACACACATACACACATACACACATACACACATACACACATACACACATACACACAGACACACATACACACATACACACATACACACATACACACATACACACATACACACATACACACATACACACATACACACATACACACATACACACATACATACATACATACATACATACATACATACATACATACATAAACATACAGAAACATACAGAAACATACAGAAACATACAGAAACATACAGAAACATACAGAAACATACAGAAACATACAGAAACATACAGAAACATACAGAAACATACAGAAACATACAGAAACATACAGAAACATACAGAAACATACAGAAACATACAGAAACACATAAATAATGAATAGATACAGTGAAGCACACGCACACACATGTATGTGTGTGTATCAGATACCTTCATTTTTGACCCCCCCGCACAAACAGATCCGGGTGTATTTTATATTAGAGGTAGGGATTAACTTGAAACCTTGCCAGATGGGATGGACAGGTGATTTTCCAGGTCATTGGGCCCATTATTTCGTATTGAAACACGCATGGTGGCGACTGGGGATTCTGCAGATTCCCCATGACTTTGGAAACCATGGGAAAAAAAACAGTCATATCATGTTATATCCCCATGAAAAATCACAATTTTTGTTAGTTATATTCCATTTTCACCATAAATGGATGGTATAAACCATTCCCAAATGGGTGGTTTTCACATATTTTCACATATTTTCACCACATTATCCCATTTTTGCCATGACTTAAAGCCGAAAAAAATCGCGCCGCAGGAGGAGAAGCTCCTGGTTTGCATGGATCAGGTGGCCTTCGCGGAGGCGGAGTCCACGGAGGTCTTAGACTCCGCAGTGGCGATGTTGGAAGGCGAGGTCACACAGGACGCGGGGCGTAGCGTAGCGTAGGGCTGGTAGGGCTGGGATGGGCTGGGATGGGCTGGGATGGGGGGATCAACTTGTCAACTTACTGGTGACCGGTGCTAAACGTAGGGAATTTTCGGGAATGATCCATTTCATCACTAGTAATAATCATCCCAACCCCCATTCCCATCCATTCCATACTAAGCAGCAGTTTCAAGAATTTTGAATGGGGAACTCGAAAATAGAATAAAAAAAAATGGGGGGAACCAAATTCCACTATGCAAGTTTCAAGAGTTTGGAATGGGGAACATGATGAGTCACCACTGGATTTTCGGCTATGCTTTTCAGAGAAACCATATTTTTCGGAGTGCTCATCTACAGACGCATCAGGTGGATTGCATGAATATAACCGTTGACTGGGGTTGTATTGGGGATGCTTTTGGGACCGTAGGTTTTTAGGAGTTTTCCAGATGGGATGGAACGGCCTGGATGCCACCCAAGATCAATGTATTATCTGGTAATCAAACATAGCAATGGAAAATCCAGAGAGAGAGAGAGAGAAAGAAGAGAGAGAGAGAAAGAAAAGAGAGAGAGAGAGAGAAAGAAAAGAAAGAGAGAACAGAAAAGAAAGAAAGAAAGAACAGAAAGAAAGAAAGAACAGAGAAAGAAAGAAAGAACAGAAAAGAAAGCCAGAAAGAAAGAAAGAGAAAGAAAGAAAGAACAGAAAAGAAAGAAAGAACAGAAAAGAAAGCCAGAAAGAAAGAAAGAAAGAGAAAGAAAGAAAGAAAGAAAGAAAGAAAGAAAGAAAGAGGGACTTGGCATGCCTGATTTACCGGAGGGTACTTGGCATCCCAGGATGCTGCTGAAGCAGTCGTGGAATTGGTCCAAACGCAGCTGGAGGCGCAAACCCAGGGTGTGAACTGTGGGACCAGCCACTTTTTCAACCAACATTGTTTGTCACTCCTTCTTTCCTCAGTATTTTGGAAGCTTGTCTTTTCCTCCATTCCATGCCCTAAATTTCTTTTGAAGTTTTCGATTTTGTTGGTTTTTAAGGCCACCATTTTTTCAGACCAACATTTTCCAACAAAGCACCCGCCTAGGCAATGCCTTTGGCGAAAACAATTCAACACAGATATTCATCGGAAAACCTCAAGCCGACCGAAGCGGGGTCGTCTCCCCACACCATCCGCATGGCCCGAGGTGCTGATGCAAGCGCATCGTTTCGTGGCAGCGGAAGCCTGGCCTTGGGCACGCGGAAGGGGGACATGGCCTGACCATGACATTTTGGGCAACCCCCAAAAAGATAGAAAAATTAAATCCCAATCTAGAATAAGTGGTAGATATTTTTTCTATTTTTTTGGGGGGTTGCTATATATACTATATCTCCTTTCTGTTTCCTCATCGATTTTCGGTGGTTTTTCGATGTTTTTCAGCCACGTTAGCGTTGAACCGCTGGGACGGTCACCCCTGTGTCCTCAGGAAATCATCATGGCCAGAAAAGAGGCACCCAAGGTGCCGGTGCTGGGGGTGATATAGAACTTTCCGGTGGATCATTGATATCATTGGACAATCCTAGAAAGTTGTGAAAAACAAAGGCTCTGGCACAGAAATGATGATGAGACGTCTGCATGTTTTGTCATATGTCTTGGATATTTGAAGAAAAACGAACAATTTTATGATTTTTATGGGCACCTTCGCAGCACGGTCACAGCATACTCGCCAATGGTTGCCTAAATGAGGTTAGCTTCCCATTTTTTGAGTTGTAATGAGTTGTATAATTCCCACTACAGTAGTCACTAATTACTCCAATTTTTTCATCTTTTCTTTTCTGAATGTTTCATCAAGCCCACATTTTCGATCATTTTCCCCGTTCGAGAGTCAAATCATCTGAGCTCCAAATAAAATTCGATAAATTCCAAAAAAATATGGTCAACACCCACTTTCCTTTGTTTCCGTTTTTTTTCCCGGGACGATTTTCCACCCCGTCCTTTCGCCGTCCTCGCCGTCGGCTGCAGGTGCTGACGAGGCTGCAGAAGCTGACGCCGCGCGTGCGCGCCGTGCAGGGCGGCCTGGCGCAGGTGCTCAAGGAGGCGAAGACATACTTGGCGCCGCAGGCCTGGCATGGTGTCCCGGTGTATCGCAAGTGGGGTAATACGGTAATGATAAGCAAATGAAAAGAGAGCCAGTAGATGGAATATCTATGGAATATCTATGGCTTACTGGTGCTTAGTAGGTAATGAGGGAATGATCCACAATCACTAGTAATGATAATCCCATTCCCCCATTCCCCCAGTAAGAATGGTTTCATGCCAAATTTCGGGAGCTGCACCGTTGAGGCCGCAAAGAAGCCCCGAGTGGGCTGATGGAGTCGGAGTTGACGCGTCTGAAAAACCTCGGTTTTTGCGAAAGGTGACCGTTGCTCATTTTTTTCCACGTAGAAAAAATAACCATAACATGCGAGAAATTGGGGAACCCCAATGTTTGGACAAAGTCATATGACAAATGACCTATCTACCTTCCTGTACTTATCTTTATTGATTAATTACTTCTGATCGCTTGAATCAAAACAACCATGGGAGTTGAAAGGTCCCTGTTTTTCAAATTTTTCAAACGTCATGTGCATATCGGGTTTTCATATCCAGTCATGGGAGGATTTTTTTGGACGGACCCCAAAAATCAACAATGGGGTCCCTTGGCCCTAACCCTTGGCCCATCCTTTCAGCTTTGGGCTCAGCTCATCGGGTTTGCAGCTCAACGGCGTCGTTAAAATGACAAGGTGCCTGGATCAAGCCGTGGTGGATGGTGGTTCATCGGAACATCGGAAGCCATGGATTCCGGACGGCCAAGACCAGGGGATTTTTGATATGCCAGAAACCCTCTATAGCTGGCCTCAAACTTTGGCAATTCCGATCTTCAAAGTGTGTGCGAAGCATTCGAATATGGTAGGAACTCGCACGTCAACCATTTTGCTTGGATTGATGGTGAAAAGCACTGGTGCCTTTGCGGAGTTTACGATGCAAAACACCTTCCCAGCAGCGATGGGGTCATTTCTGGTTTTCCCGACCATTTCCCGATTTCCGATTGCGCCAGTCCCGTGACGAACATCTGTGGCAAAGGTTTCCAGCCCTGCGTGTCTCGGCGTCAGGTCCAAGCCCTGGTAGTTGACAGGTTTAAGCCATGCCTCCTGCACCTTCTTGGGGGATTTCCAATTATTTTTCGGGGTTCAGCTATGATGCTCCCGTTTTCGAAAGTGATTTTGTCAGGATGCCTGACTGTCGCAATTCTCGTTGAAACATGTTGAAACTGTTAAGTTTTTGACCTTTTCATTTTATTCAGAAAGGACGCTCCATATGTTTTGGTGTACTGCCCTGGAGCCAAGGGAGGGAACCAGGGACCATCCAATGGGTGATTTTTAGATTTTAGATAAAATCATGTGAATTGTGAATTTGAGATAAGATCAACATAGATAAACATAGATAAACTAAGTGCAAATTCACAGCGTTCGCATCTGAGCCCAAAAGCGGATGAAGTGAAACGCCGGAGACGATGAGACTACGTGGATAGGATTTGGTCGGGAAGATCACCCCAAACCATCTCAAACCTGGACTCCGCCCAACCCACATGTGGGAGTGGTTGCGATTGCAGCTGGTGCCCCACCCCAATTGCTATGAGGAACCAGTGACCTTGCCATGCTGCGGGATTGTGATCTTTTGCAAGAGCTGCATGGAAACTTGTCAGCACAGGGGCTGCTTTTGTGCGGCATCGATGACCCCGGAAGTAGCTGGTTAGTAAGGGTGGCATGCCTTAATCTGTGGCCGTGGGTCGAGCCATTTGCACCAAACAATTTGAGACCATGGGGTGGCCAACCCCGGTCACGCTGTGGCCGGACATTGAGCTGAATGCGGTGTTAGGTTGGTGATTCCCAAGCTTGTTATCCCCGAATCTTTATGTTTTACAGTCTTATATACACAGTATATACCCAGCTCAAGGTTTGATACACTGATTTGATTTTTAAATACATGTCAATCGGCCATATGATCATAGCCAATCAGCACCTTCTGATTGAAACTGATCGCTTCAGCCGTGCAGATGACAGCAATTCAATCCTGTTGGTGCGAGGAAAACAGGCAATTCACGCCAATGTTTGTGGTATGTCGTAGCGGCGCACACACACACACATATATATATATATGTATATTATATGCAGTACATTTGACCAACAGCAAAGGGGCATGATGAACACTGGCAACAATTTCATGTCGTTCCCTTCTTCTATGGGTCAAATGTTCTGAACCCCAGATTTGTTTGTTCCCAATTTTGTGGGTTCTCATTATAAACCCGTCAGTCCCCCAATTGGGCGTAAACATCGGCAAATCCGACTTCCTGACCTCTCACGTAGGCTTCAAATCAGATATCTAGATCCCATGAAGAATTATGCTTCAAATCAAATATCTAGATCCCATGAATAATTATGAAATCCCATGAAATCCCTATTTTCACAGAACAAAATCCGACTTCCTCATGTCCTCCATGTTGATCCCAGGAGACCATTTGCCTGGGAGACGGCCGAGGCCGCTGTCCCACCTGCAATCAGCACTTGAGAGTGGCCTCTCAGCTCTCGACCTGGGCCGTCCTGGGGGACTGTCACAGTGGGTCCGTGGGAAAATCTGAGAAATCTTGAGGAAATCCCAGGGAAGACATGGGAAGACCTAACATGGTTGGAAGGTAAAGATCAATAAAGATTGTAATTCCAGCTTTGGGGTTGATAGATCCAGGGCTGGGTCACTGGGGAAGTGCTCAAGCCCCAAAGAGATCCGAAGAGGGGAAGCATTTTATCCCACTCGAATTTGATGGGCCAAGTCGTTGGGGCCAACCGTTGTGGGAGACAGTGGTCGCCTTTGCTATCTGTCTATATCTGTCTATTACTATGTAGATCTATGTAGACATTTGCCGGTTCAATAACTTGGACTCGGACCCAAAGGTCGATTTTTTTTTGGGGACTTTCGGCTAGTCCCTGGATGTTCAACAGGTGTTTGATTTCGAGCCTATATTGTTGGGGGTGATGGTTCCGGCCTCATTTCTGGGATGATCTCACCCCCAGCAACCAACCAGCCCATGCTTTTCATGTTCACAAACAGCCCAGCTGAGGATTCGGTGGGTGTGCTGTCCGTCGAGCATCGTGAGGAGGGGGACCCCTATATGTAACTTACATTTTCTCAATACTTCAGGTGGCAGAAATGTAATAGTACATTTTTGACATATGACCTAAAATGTAAGCCTTACATTTTTAGGTTTTACGGAAGAAATTGTAATATTACATTTTCTAGGTAACCTTTAGGAAATGTATACTATTACATTTTGTAGGTGTTCGATGGTGTTGGGAAAAATGTAAGCTAGACTGCTTGAGGTGTTAAACATACTATTGGTTTGCAACAGATTTCCATGTCCAGGTGTGTGCAGGTGTCATTTTGCTTATTTCTAGGTAAGTTATGTCACAACACGGCATATTTTGCAAAGCATCTTTCTGCTTGCCTAGGCTGACGCTGCACCTGAGCTCGCATCTGCTGAGAACCACGTTGGGCACCTCAATGACTGTAGATGACTAGGATGATATCCTATGTAATTTTTTGATAATTTTTGTGCATATGTGCGTATCATTGTGCACTTTGCCTGGAATTGCCTGGTGAATGGTGGTGTTTTTTGAAAAATGTAAGCTAGACTGCTTTAGGTGTTGAAAATGATGGTGTTTTGCAGAAGATCTCCATGTCCAAACAGTCAAGCTTACATTTTTTTTACTACTACTTATTCCATCTTCTTTCCACATCTTTCCACTTTATGTCACAATGTTGCATATCTGGCAACGCATTTTTCTGCTTGCCTAGGCTGGCACTGCATCTGAGGGAGCATCTGCTGAGAACGATGTGGGGCACCTAAATGATTGTAGATGACCAGGGTTGGCATGGGTTCACCAACATTGACAAGATCCTTTGATATAGTTTCTTGAAGTTTCTTATGGTTTCCAGTGGTTTCTTGGTGCTCCCTATCTAAGCGTGAAAGATGTAAGTTGATGCAAGATCATGCCAAAAAATGCAAGATCCTATGTTACCTATATATATATATATGTAAATATAAATGGTAAACTGTTTGGGGGAGGGTGTTTGAGATCGTGGTGGGCTGCATGGATTCTGACCCCTATTGCTTTCAGCTTACATTTGTGCAGTTTGCCTGGGATTGCCTGGTGCATGGTGGTGCTTTTGAACAATGTAAGCTAGACTGCTTTGGGTGTTGAAAATGATGGTGTTTGGCAGAAGATCTCCATGTCCAAACAGTCAAGTTTACTTTTTTCTTACTAGTTCTTATTCCATCTTATTCCCACATGCCATAAGGTGAGATATTGTATCAGAATGTGACATATCTTGCAACGCATTTTTTTGCTTGCCTAGGCTGGCACTGCACCTGACGGGGCACCTGCTGAGAACGATGTGGGGCACCTAAATGGTTGTAGATTCTAGATGGCTAGGATGATATTCTATGTCGTTTTTTGTGCATATCTGATCATATGTGCGTATCATTGTGCACTTTGCCTGGAATATCCTGGAATTGCCTGGTGCATGGTGGTGTTTTTTGAAAAATGTACGCTAGACTGCTTTAGGTGTTGAAAATGATGGTATTTTGCAGAAGACCTCCATGTGCAAACAGTCAAGCTTACATTTTTTTTACTACTACTTATTCCATCTTCTTTCCACATCTTTCCACTTTATGTCACAATGTTGCATATCTGGCAACGCATTTTTCTGCTTGCCTAGGCTGGCACTGCATCTGAGGGAGCATCTGCTGAGAACGATGTGGGGCACCTAAATGATTGTAGATGACCAGGGTTGGCATGGGTTCACCAACATTGACAAGATCCTTTGATATAGTTTCTTGAAGTTTCTTATGGTTTCCAGTGGTTTCTTGGTGCTCCCTATCTAAGCGTGAAAGATGTAAGTTGATGCAAGATCATGCCAAAAAATGCAAGATCCTATGTTACCTATATATATATGTAAATATAAATGGTAAACTGTTTGGGGGAGGGTGTTTGAGATCGTGGTGGGCTGCATGGATTCTGACCCCTATTGCTTTCAGCTTACATTTGTGCAGTTTGCCTGGGATTGCCTGGTGCATGGTGGTGCTTTTGAACAATGTAAGCTAGACTGCTTTGGGTGTTGAAAATGATGGTGTTTTGCAGAAGATCTCCATGTCCAAACAGTCAAGTTTACTTTTTTCTTACTAGTTCTTATTCCATCTTATTCCCACATGCCATAAGGTGAGATATTGTATCAGAATGCGACATATCTTGCAACGCATTTTTCTGCTTGCCTAGGCTGGCACTGCACCTGAGGGAGCACCTGCTGAGAACGATGTGGGGCACCTAAATGGTTGTAGATTCTAGATGGCTAGGATGATATTCTATGTCGTTTTTTGTGCATATGTGATCATATGTGCGTATCATTGTGCACTTTGCCTGGAATATCCTGGAATTGCCTGGTGCATGGTGGTGTTTTTTGAAAAATGTACGCTAGACTGCTTTAGGTGTTGAAAATGATGGTATTTTGCAGAAGACCTCCATGTGCAAACAGTCAAGCTTACATTTTTTTACTACTACTTATTCCATCTTCTTTCCACATCTTTCCACTTTATGTCACAATGTTGCATATCTTGCAACGCATTTTTCTGCTTGCCTAGGCTGGCACTGCATCTGAGGGAGCATCTGCTGAGAACGATGTGGGGCACCTAAATGATTGTAGATGACCAGGGTTGGCATGGGTTCACCAACATTGACAAGATCCTTTGATATAGTTTCTTGAAGTTTCTTATGGTTTCCAGTGGTTTCTTGGTGCTCCCTATCTAAGCGTGAAAGATGCAAGTTGATGCAAGATCATGCCAAAAAATGCAAGATCCTATGTTACCTATATATATATATGTAAATTAAATGGTAAACTGTTTGGGGGAGGGTGTTTGAGATCGTGGTGGGCTGCATGGATTCTGACCCCTATTGCTTTCAGCTTACATTTGTGCAGTTTGCCTGGGATTGCCGGGTGCATGGTGGTGCTTTTGAACAATGTAAGCTAGACTGCTTTGGGTGTTGAAAATGATGGTGTTTTGCAGAAGATCTCCATGTCCAAACAGTCAAGTTTACTTTTTTCTTACTAGTTCTTATTCCATCTTATTCCCACATGCCACAAGGTGAGATATTGTATCAGAATGTGACATATCTTGCAACGCATTTTTCTGCTTGCCTAGGCTGGCACTGCACCTGACGGGGCACCTGCTGAGAACGATGTGGGGCACCTAAATGATTGTAGATTCTAGATTGCTAGGATGATATTCTATGTCATTTTTTGTGCATATGTGATCATATGTCGGTATCATTGTGCACTTTGCCTGGAATATCCTGGAATTGCCTGGTGCATGGTGGTGTTTTTTGAAAAATGTACCATGAATCGCAATAAATTCCCTTCTGAATGCTGCCTGCGTCGCGTCGCCGCTCAGGATGGTGCAGGTGTGCTTTCCATCTCTGAGAACCGCCAGCAGTGCTTGATGTGCTGCCAAATGCATATCATCGTGGGCCAAGGCGCTGGAAGGGTCCGGAAGGGTCTGGAAGGGTCCGGAAGGGTCCAGAAGGGTCCGGAAGGGTCCGGAAGGGTCCGAAGGGTCCGGAAGGGCGGAACGAAACCAGTGGAACCAGCTTGATACGAGGTGAAATTATGTATACACACATGCATATACGCATGTGCGCGCATACATACATACATACATGCATACATACATACAAACATAAATACACCTATCTCCCTCTCTCTCTCTCTTTATATATAATATATGTATCGATCTATATCTATATCTATGCCTATATCTATACCTAAATCTGTATTCATACCCAAATGTATATTTATATCTACATCTGTGTCTATATTTGTATCCATATACCAGTCGTACCGCACAAGGCGGTGGCGGAAGTTTTCAAAATAGGAAACCTATAGGAAAGGTTGGTTGTTGTGAATCCGGGATGGCAGAGCGAAGCCACTGATGGATCGAAAGGTGATTGATGTCTCCTCTCTTTCTTTCTCTTTCTCTGACTATCTACCTACCTGCCTATCTATCTTCTATGTATCTATCTATCTATCGATCTATCTATCTATCTATCTATCTATCTCTCTCTCTCTCTCTCTTTCATCTAATTACCAATCTATCTATCTATCTGTCTGTCTGTCTATCTACCCATCCATCTATATATCTACGTATCTATCTCTCTCTCTCTCCCTCTCTCTCTCTCTGTCTATCTGTCTATCTGTCTATCTGTCTAGCTGTCTATCTGTCTATCTATCTATCTATCTGTCTATCTGTCTATCTGTCTACCTGTCTATCTGTGGTGCAGTGCCATTCAGTGTAATGTAGTGTAGTGCAATGTAGTATAGTGTAGTGGAGTGTAGTGGAATGTAGTGTAGTGTAGTGTAAAGTAGTGTAGTGTAGTGTAGTGGAGTGTAGTGTAGTGTAATGTAGTGTAGTGTAGTGTAATTTAGTGTAGTGTAGTGTTGTAGTTGTAGTTGTAGCTGTAGTTGTAGTTGTAGTGTAGTGGAGTGTAGTGTAGTGTAATGTAGTGAAGTGTAGTGGAAGGTAGTGCAGTGTAGTGTAGTGTAATGTAGTATAGTGCAGTGGAGTGTGATTTAGTGTAGTGGAGTGTAGTGGAGTGTAGTGGAGTGTAGTGGAGTGTAGTTTTGTAGTTATAGTTGTAGTGTTGTGGAGTGTAGTGTAGTGTAATGTAGTGTAGTGTAGTGGAGTGCAGTGTAGTGTAGTGTAATGTAGTGTATTGTAGTGAAGCGAAGCGAAGCGACATCTGAACCTCCAAAAGTGGTCCGAACCCCTGGTGTTTTTAACATTTTGACTTCGAAATGTGCTTCGCGCCACAACGGCATGCACTTTTTCGACATCTGAACCTCCAAAAGTGGCGCGAACATGTGGTGGTGTTTTGTACATTTTCACTTCGACATGTGCTTCGCGCCACAACGGCGTGCACTTTTTCCACATCGGAACTTCGCGAACATGTGGTGCTTTGTACATTTTCACTTCGACATGTGCTTCGCGCCACAACGGCGTGCACTTTTTCGACATCTCAACTGCCAAAAGTGGTCCGCACATTGTGTGTTTTGTACATTTTGACTTGCAAATGTGCTTCGCGCCACAACGGCGTGCAATTTTTCATCTCTCATCTGGCCAGCTGGCTCCGCACCCGCCGCTTTAGCAAGCCTACTTTTCGACCCTCCGGAGCCCCAAATCATTGGAAAAACACAGTGTTTCGCGACTTTCCTACCTTTTCTCGCATCTGCATCTTCTTTCTTCTTACTCTTTCTCTTCTACTCTTCTTTCTTCTAATCTTTCTCTTCTCTCTGCCTCTTCCCTGCTCTGCTTTTCATCTGTCCATATTGTTGGAGGTTTGACTTCTAAACTTCCTTCGGTGACGCACATGCCGCATGCCAAACAAGTAAGTAACATGAAGGTACACATACAGCCACCCCATACATTTTCGCATCCTACCAGCATGATCCAGCATGAACATGTAGATACAAATCACAAAAGATAAAGTAGGACAACTTACTATATTTGCAAACATATCTGCAGACATTTTTAGCTTTCAATGACATTCTTTTTAATATAAGAATAACAATAAGTATATACATCATCAAGGTCTTGAACGAATCCAGATCTCCCTGGTTGCCAGGTATGTGTGAAGCCTGCAATTTGGGACGCAGATTTTGTTTTCGCCGCTTGGCAGATCCGTAGTGGTCCCAGGGCGTTCGTAAAAGATAAACGCCGACCGTTGTCCTGCAGATTTCCCGGTAAATCAATCCATCGGATTGCGAAAGGAACTTAAACAACACAAAATCATGCAAAGCCTGTCAGCACTCCATGTGCCCAGCATCCGATCTGGGTTACATTCTTCAGTTGAGGGATTGCCTGTTCTCCATTACTCTCCTATATAGCCCAGTCAGGGCAAGATCTGGCTTAGCAAGCGGGGATCTCATGGCTCACGGATCCGCCAGTGGATGCTTGCGCTTGCTCCGAATTTTCGGATTTCATGGAGGTCTTCAGTAGCAGAAACCCCAAGAAAAACGTGTGATGATTCATTCCAGTCTGATAGTGAGGTTTGGATGGCGTGGCATGTTAGGAAGTCCCTGCCTACGGGTTCCCAATTTTGGTTCCGCGCTTCCCAGCCCAAGACAATCCCTGTATGGACTACTTACACAGATATTAGACAGATTTTTTGTGCCCTTGGTTTTCCAATCGACCGGTGCCGAGGCTACGAATGTGCAAGATGCCATCGCATTCAGGAGATTCCTCATCCCATGTGGCGTTACCAGAAGGGTCCCAACGACTATGGCACGGCCAGCTGGGCCTGTCATGAGGGCTGTGACGCCTTTACGCACTGGCGCATCATTCCAGAAGATGTGAGCCAGGCAGGATGGGTCGTTCAATTCACCCGAGATTGGGAAACAAGTATGGGATATCTCCAACCAAAAACATCAACAAGGAGTTGTGGTCGACAAAAATGGAGTGTCACAGTTCCAGACCCCTACCCCAACTCCCCGGACTCATTTTTGGGTTTCAAATATCAGCCCGGCACCAGGCCCTTCGTCCCAGGTTTTTTTCGTCATTTCCCAGCCAGGTTCCGGCGACGGAATGCCCTGAGTCCTGGGGGCGCTTTTGCAGCAAGCCATCATTGGCAGGTTAAAACCAGAGGGTAGCTTTGAGAGAGTTCCTGTCTATGATCCGATTGGGAGGTGTATAATATTAAGTGAGAGCTCCAGCTATAGTGGGCGACAGTCCTCTTGGGTCAGTTTCTTCAGTGCATTGGTTGTCATCCAGGCACTCGGAGTGCCCTGCTGAAAACTGCTGAGCCCATAGCTTGATTCTCTTTGCCAGGCATCATCAAATTTAGTCACAGCCAGTTGATCGTCATCTTGGCAACCAAGATTTAATCATTTTAGATTGGTATATAACATAAATGCACATCTAGCCTACAGGAATAAATTGAACCAGGCATTTTTCTTTGGGGTGCATTATCCCAAAAGATAATCATTGTCACATGTCTAGTGCAAGCTTGCCGATTTATGCTTTGCATTCTTCCCTATTTTTTCTAAATCACAGATTCACCAACAATTGACAATTGAATGAAAATTGGATGTGCGGTCTTATGGCACACAGCTGCACGCTTAAACCAATCTACTCATGATGCCTGGTCGGGGAAGTTCTCCCATGGACCAAATGCCACATTGTTTCTTGGCAGCATCCAGCCCAAGGTAGCAAGGCCTGTTTTTTGCTCACTCCTTGACCACCATTTGGCTGAAACTACTTGCTGCAAGGTGAGCTTTCTAGTATATATGGACTATCAATGATTTTGTGGTTTTAAATGACACCAAGCATATGCAGTGCAATAAAGAGCAGTATAATGTGGTAAACCAATAATAAACCATACCCAGAATCACCATCAATGGGTGGTATAAACCATCCCCAAATTGTAGGCTTACTATTGCGTTTCACACATTACTTATGCAAAGTATATTTGCAACTCAGCTTATGTTCAGGATAGCGTGCGCAAACCCTTTCTGTGAGATTAACTTTCTTCCACCTCCCAGTCGCTCTGGGAATTCGTTGTGGACATGGGCTTTGTAGTGAGGGCTGGATGCCTTAGCGCGACAGTTTTGTTGTACAGCTCGCGGAGCTTTGTGCAGCTGAGTGAAGCTTCGCATTGGCTTTTGGACGTCGCAACCTCCAGCTGTATGATGCAGTAAGCATGTTTATGCCAGGAACTCAAATGACCTACTATGGCCAATGAGAGGCAAACCATTCAAAATACCGCCACTTGGGTCACTTGCACACATGCGCGCAAATAGATTATTGGAACAGACAGACCAGGCAGACGGACGGAGAGATATTTGTATGTGGGCATGGATTCGCTGATTTCTGGTGTGTGGCCAACTGCGATCTCTCAATCTTAGAGGAAGGATACATACTTATCACACAGATGTGTGCTCTAGTAACGCTTGAGATGTACCACGACTGGCCAATGCCAAGGGGTCAGGTAGCTTTCCAGCAATGGACCCAGGGCAGAAGTTGGTCCATCTCCATTGTCAGGGCACGGCCCCGAGACAGTATCGATGGAGATCGCCAAATAAACAGAACCACTGGCTTGTTTTTGTTGTGTGTCTATTGTCATGTAGTATGCAACCCTGAAACTGAAAAAGATAGAAAAGTAAAGCATGATCAGATCAGATTAGAAGGGATTGCTTTTCTAATTTACAGGGGGATATTGAGCCTCAGATTAGTAGACTAATGTAGGTACACTGCAAACAACAAGTCATCATCAAATTACGGTATGTGTAAACACAGTAAGCCATAGTAAACCCATGTTCTATCTTTTGGGTTTATGATACGAAACAGTAAACACAGCTAACCATAGTAAACCCAGCTGGGTTGCTACTCCCACTGGGTTGACCTCTGATGGTCCCCTGCATTGCGCATTGCTCGGTCTGTATTTCATACAGTTCCATGGAAGGTGAACGTCTCAGTTTTCGGTGCCATTTTGCCATATGGGGGTTTCTTAAAATGAGGGATCCCCAAATCACCATTGGGTTTTAATACTAAAACGATCTAGTTTTGTAGGATTTGGGGGCACCCCCATGACTTTGGAGACCTCCATATAATATTTATCACGCACATATATGGATAGATAGGTTTAAAAACAAAGGTGGAGCCCGTTACCCTGCAGATATCCAAAAGCCTACTCCAAGCACCCGCAGCAGGAAGTTCCTGGATGTTGGCGGTGAGAAAAGAAGAGCGGTGAGCGGTTGACCGGATGCGTTTCTTGAGGAAAATCAACTGGGAGATCTTGGGATTTAGACAATGAACATTGGGAATTGATCCAGCCAAAATTCGGATTTAAGACGATTTAAGTGCATGGGGATGGATCAGACGTGTTTGTTTTCAATAAATTTGGGGGAATGATTGGAAGGGATGCGACCACCAGCAAAATCGGTGGATATCAAAAACGTCACGGTCATGTTACCGCTATGTATTTCAGGTATAGCCATTCTCAGCCAAATGTGGGTGTGATGCTAAGGATAAATGTCCTATATTTGATGGTAACAAGCGTGGTTTCTTGCAGGGTTTCCCTCCAACCAACCCAAGAATAGTGGGGTCAGCTGGGCCGTTGGGTTCCACAGCCGGGTGCGACGGGCTGGGTTATACAGCCGGCTCCGTCAAGGCTTGTCGAGGTGACGTGTGGCTATGGATCAACAGCTATGAGTAAGCCGGTAAGCCAGTAAACCCAATAAACCTACCATCTGGGGATGGTTTATACAACCCATTTGTATCCATTTATGGTGATTTTGGGGATGGCTTAGTATTGGGTTTACCACATTTCCTTTCCCTACAGGAAACATTTTTTTTGCCACTACAATGTAGGGTTTTTCTGCAAGATTTCGCATCATCCAATCTTATTTGGGGATGCACATCCATTTACCATTTGATGTTCACCACGGCTGCATGGTTTGGCTCCTTTGGACATGGGGGTCCTTGCTGCTAGGCCCATGGCGGGCGCATGTCAATGTGCGATTTGTTATGAGCCGTGTGTGTCTTGGCACGTGATGGCACGTGGTCATTCACTGGGACTTCTCCAATTCTATAGGAAATGCACGAGGAAACCTTGGGTCCCCTTGGCCAACACTGGGAACTATGGAGATTACTCTTCCTCCGGATATCCCGAGGCTCCTGTAACCTTGCCATGCTGCGGGAAGGAGGGGTCCACGGTGATGTATTGCAGGAACTGCATGGAATCTTTTCCGCAGCCAAGGGGGGGTGGAGGAAGCAGGCGATCAGCAACCATGGGATTAGCACCGATCAACATGGTTCTATTGAGCTGTAACTGCACATTTTATTATGTAATGGATATGTATATGGTGTCATGGTGTATGTAATATGCAATATGTGATATGCAATAGGTAAACATGATTGTTGCCATAAATCGTATATGCTCCGTCATATGTAATAGGTAATATGTAATATGTATAAATGTAATATATATATATATGTATATTTGTGTATATGTGTATATGTGTATATGAGTATACGTGTATATGTATATACGTATATACGTATATATGTATATACGTATATACGTATATATGTATATATGCATATATGTATATATGTATATATGTATATACGTATATATGTATATATGTATATATGTATATACGTATATATGTATATATGTATATACGTATATATGTATATATGTATATATGTATATGTGTGTATACGTGTATATATGTATGTATGTCATGTATGTAAGGGACAAGAATGGCTTACAAAGCCTTTGGATAGATCCGTAAAGTAATAGTTTAGTTTGAAAAGCGGGTGCCAACGTGGAATCGAAACTACGATATGATCCATTTGATCGAGTTGTAAGCTGAGCCAAGATGGATATATACATATATGCGGGTTCATGGGTTCCATGTAACTTGAAGATCACCAAGCCATTAATTTTGGGTTCTTTGGTGCCATTGAAACTCTCCTCACTCTTGAACCACTTGTATACCCAAGTTACAAGGATGCTGTCAGACTTGTGCACGCATGGGGATGATGATTCTCCAAGCAGCAGTCCGAGATCGCCGAGCTCGGTGGAGTGCAAGGCTCATGGCCCATGATTCGGTACGCACAATTGCATGCAGTTGTAGATGTGCTCTTTTTATATATCTCTTTTTGGGGTGAGCATGGTGGGCCTGTGGGTGTGAAGGATTTGTCTCGAGCTGAATCCTAGAACTGTCTATCAATGAACCAGTGCGAGCGATTTTTGTTTGTTAAATCACAATTTTCTTCGCCATTGCGTAATATAGAACTCTAAATTTCTTTGGTGTTTTCGGAACAGCCCCCTTGTATTGGAGACATGTTGATTGTCCATTCTATAGGATGTCTAGCGATGTTCTTCTTGCATTAGTGACCTCCACTTTCTCGCTGATTTTGAAGCACTGAACACCCATGTATTTTTGGCAAATGACTGAGATATGACAGTTTTTGTTGGTTGCACACACACATACATATATATATATACACACATGACCACCCAGACTATTGTGAATCACAACTAGCTGAATCCATTTTTTATTCTTCAGTGGCATGTTTTTTGTCGAATGTTCAATATTCATCCCATAAAGTTCCCATACATTCCCCATTAGATTTCCATTGAACTCCCATAAATCCACATGAACTTCCCATAAACAATTGCAACATCAATTAATTTCCCAGTAACTTCCTCGTTAAGCCCTCATGAACTTCCCATCAATGTCTCAAGATTTTCATGAGTCAGGAGATCATTTGTGCCCAGGGAGATGGTATTGGCCGATGCCCCACGTGCCGCCAGTGTTTGAGCATCGCCCCTGGGGCTCTTTTTGTGTATTTTGGTGGGTCAAAGCTATGGTTTTCCTATATACCATCCTCAACATAGCTGCGGAACATGGCCCATTTATATCCATTTATAGTGATTATAGGTGATTTATCTATATAAAAATCATGATTTCCATAGCTATGTCGAATTGCTAGAGGGTATGGGGGAGGAACATCCATAACCACCAGCATGTTCATCCTGCGGTGGATGTGGGGTCAAAATTGACCATTGACTAATTGACCATGTCCATGTTGGGATGATGACATGCTACACAGGCAGTGCAGGGCCAATGGGTGCCCGACTTGTGTTTAACCGTGGTTATAATCCAGGTGAGGAGGAGATCCAAAAATTAAGGGGACTTGCCAACTAGGGTTCTTAGAAAATCTTATTGCCTACCCAAAAACATTGGAGACGTCGGCTGGAAATTGGGAAGCTGCAATGTTTGTTTCTTAGAGGGTTCCAGACCTCGAGTGCTTTCAGGGCTTCCGTGATGCACCAGTCCCAGACCCAGAACTTGAAACCCAGCAAACACGGCTGTTGGGAACATCAGCTCAATGAAAATCCCAAAGGTGACCCAAATCATGTCGCGGGGGTGGGTTGGTTGGTGGGTTGACCTCATGGCTTTGAAAAAACGGGACCTGTTGATGGTTGGAACCAGGATTTTCACCAACACGGCCCTTGATTTGGTATAGCCCATTTTCAGACAGACCCCCCTCCCAAAAAATATATCATAGTATTTGGTATGCATCCCAGTAGGCCCCATAAAATCCCATTATATTCAATGAAACCCCACCATGAATCACAATAAATTCCCTTCTAAATGCTGCCTGCGTCGCGTCGCCGCTCAGGATGGTGCAGGTGTGCTTTCCATCTCTGAGAACCGCCAGCAGTGCTTGATGTGCCGCCAAATGCATATCATCGTGGGCCGAGGCGAAGGGTCCGGAAGGGTTGTCCGGAAGGGTTGTCCGGAAGGGTTGTCCGGAAGGGTTGTCCGGAAGGGTTGTCCGGAAGGGTTGTCCGGAAGGGTTGTCCGGAAGGGTTGTCCGGAAGGGTGGTCCGGAAGGGTGGTCCGGAAGGGTGGTCCGGAAGGGTGGTCCGGAAGGGTGGTCCGGAAGGGTGGTCCGGAAGGGTGGTCCGGAAGGGTGGTCCGGAAGGGCTAACACATCACTTGCGCCTGCACTTTTACATCACTTGCGCCTCCACATCACTTACGCCTCCGTGCATCACTTACGCCTCAAGAACTAATCACTTACGCCTCAAGAGCTAATCACCTGCGCCTCCAATGACCTCCTTCCCATGACATCTGAGGGGAGTCTTCTTTTCTTGCCAAAACAGAGCATGCTCAAAGACACATAAACCCAAATAAACGATGATGCTCATTAAAAAACAAAAGAATAGTAGGTAGCAAGGGGAGCCGGTTAAAAAGAAAAGCGGGTGGGGGGGTGCAGGGGGGAGGGCGCAGCGCCTCCCCCCGCAATGCGTACCAAGAAAGAAGCGCATAGGCACAAGTATCGATAGATATCAACAAAGATAAGATGAACCCACATAAACGATGCATCTGAAACACCAAACATGGAAGTCGCGCTGCAAGCATAGATCAAAGTTGTCGCTCATGAGCCGCTAAGAAAAAAAACACATGGAAACCAAAGAATTAGAAGACGCGTCAAAGCCATACTTGGAGGCCACCGAGACGCCAAACATGGACGCCAATGAACAGGCAAACCTGCAAGCCGTCGCAATCGCACAAGCCACATAGAAGCCACACATATAGAAGCAACTCACAAGCCACACTTAGAAGGCAAATAGCTGCCAGATATTAAAGCCATCGAACAGGCAAACTTTGAAGCCATCACACGTGGACGACGATCGTGACAGCCAGATAGAAGCCATCGACCTAGACGCCACCGGGGGGACGGCAACTATCAAGACCACATGGTCGCCGCAGATTTTGAAAGCGACCCACGATTTGAAGCCACATTAGGAACCGCAGATTTGGAACCCACTGGGACGCCACAGTTAGAGGCCATGTTGAGAGCCGCAGATTTGGGAGGCACTTAGCAGCCACAGCGCCAAAAGGTCACATTGGAAGCCGTAAATTTCGAAGACACTTAAAAGCCACACTCCGGAGCCTTCCACAATGCCATGATTTAAAAATCTAACTCTTTATTTAAATTTCCACACTGCCATCATCTAAAATCTAACTCTTTATTTAAACTTCCCCCCCCTTGCCTTCCACAATGCCATCATCTAAAATCTAACTCGTTATTTAAACTTACCCCCCACTTGCCTTCCACAATGCCATCATCTAAAATCGACCTCTTTATTTAAACTTCTCCCCCTGCCTTCCACAATGCCATCATCTAAAAATCTAACTCTTTAGAAACTCCTCAAGGGGATTCAACCCTTTAAAATCTAACTCGTTGTTTAAACTTCCCCCCCCTTTCCTTCCACAACGCCATCATCTAAAATCTAACTCTTTATTTAAACTTCCCCCCCCTTGCCTTCCACAATGCCATCATCTAAAGTCTACCTCTTTATTTAAACTTGCCCCCCTTGCCTTCCACAATACCATGATCTAAAAATCTAACTCTTCATTTAAACTTCCCCCCCTTGCCTTCCACAATGCCATCATCTAAATCGGCCTCTTTATCCTCCCCTGCCTTTTGCTTTACCTTCCCCCCCTGCCTTCCACCATGCCATCATCTAAAAATCTAACTCTTCATTTAAACTTCCCCCCCTGCCTTCCACCATGCCATCATCTAAAAATCTAACTCTTCATTTAAACTTCCCCCCCCTTGCCTTCCACACTGCCATCATCTAAAATCTAACTCTTTATTTAAACTTCCCCCCCCTTTCCTTCCACAATGCCATCATCTAAAATCTAACTCGTTATTTAAACTTCGCCCCCTTGCCTTCCACAATGCCATCATCTAAAATCTAACTCTTTATTTAAACTTTCCCCCTCCTTGCCTTCCACAATGCCATGATCTAAAAATCTAACTCTTCATTTAAACTTCCCCCCCCTTGCCTTCCACACTGCCATGATCTAAAATCTAACTCTTTATTTAAACTTCCCCCCTTTTTGCCTTCCACAATGCCATCATCTAAAATCTAACTCTTTATTTAAACTTCCCCCCCCTTGCCTTCCACAATGCCATCATCTAAAATCTAACTCGTTATTTAAACTTCCCCCCCCCTTGCCTTCCACAATGCCATCATCTAGTTGTTGTTGTCGTTGTCGTGTCGTTGTCGTTGTTGTTGTTGTTGTTGCTGCTGCTGTTGTTGTTGTTGTTGTTGTTGTTGCTGCTGTTGTTGTTGTTGTTGTTGTTACTTCTTGTTCTTGTTGTTGTTGTTGTTGTTGTTGTTGTTGTTGTTGTTGTTGTTGTTCATGTTGGCGTTGATGTTGATGTGAAAGTTGATGATGTTGTTGTGGTTGTTAATGTTTTTGTGTTGTCGATGTTGAGACTGCTGTTGATTTTGTTCTTGTTGTTTGTTGTGCATGTTGTCGATGTAAGTAAAGAGGCGTCGGGAGCGAGTATGTTTCCGGCGTTGAAACCGAGTTGATTTTCGGCGTCGGGAGCGAGTGTCCGACCTATCTTGGTTGTGTTTGGGGTATCATTTGATCTGTATGATGTCTGTACATAACTCTGGCCCGCTGGTTTTCCACACATCTAATCTGTACAGTCCGACCTATTAGAAGCCGCAGTTTTGGAAGCCACTTAAGCCACGATCGCAGGGCTCCTTGGGAGACGCAGCTTTAGAAGCCGCACTTAGAAGCAACAATTAGAAATTGGTAGCCACACTCCGGAGGCATATTAGACGCCGCAGACGCCGCAGATTTAGAAGCCACTTAGAAGCCACAGTCGGAGGGCACATCGGGAGCCGCAGCTTTCACTTAGAAGCCACGCTTAGAAGCCACCTTAGAAGCCACAGATTTAGAAGCCACTTCGACGCCACAATTCGAAGCCACTAGAAGCCACTGTAGAAGGCCATATTGAAGGCCGCAGACTTAGAACCTACATGGAAACCACAATTAGAAGCTACCTTGGAAGCCGCCACTAAGAAGCCACCCTCCAGAGCCGCAGATTTAGAAGCCACTTAGAAGCCATGATCTGAGGGCTCAGTAGAAGCCGCAGCTTTAGAAGCCGCACTTAGAAGCCACATTTAGAAGACACTTAGAAGCCACACTCCGAAGCCATATTGGAAGCCGCAGATTTAGAAGCCACTTAGAAGCCACACTCCGAAGCCATATTGGAAGCCGCAGGTTTAGAAGACACTTCGACTGCGCTGTTAGAGATCACTATAGCAGGCCAGGTTAGTAGCCGCGTATTGAGCAACCACTAATAGAAGCCACAGCAAGCCGCATATTTATAGAAGCCATTTACCCGTTACAATGAGAAGAAGACACTTAGAAGCCACGCATGGAAGCCACAGAGTGAGTGAACTTTCGCACCCTCGCACCTGGAAGGCAACAATCCTAGGTACATAGAAGCCACATACATAGAAGCCATTAGGAACTACATCCGAGGCACAAGCGAGGAAAAACCCGAGGCACAAGCGAGGAAAAACCCGAGGCACAAGCGATGTGCCGACCGTCCGGAAGGGTGGTCCGGAAGGGTGGTCCGGAAGGGTGGTCCGGAAGGGTGGTCCGGAAGGGTGGTCCGGAAGGGTGGTCCGGAAGGGTGGTCCGGAAGGGCGGAACGAAACGAGTGGAACCAGCTTGATACGAGATGAAACTGTATACACACATGTATATACACATGTGCACACACACACCCACCCGCACACACACAGACATATCTGTCTATCTTCCTCTCTCTCTCTCTCTCTTTCTCTTTCTCTTTCTCTTTCTCTTTCTCTTTCTCTCTCTCTCTGTATAATATGTATCTATCTACACCTATATTTATTTCTATACCTATATCTATACCTAAATTCATATTTATACCCAAATGTATATTTATATCTATATCGGTATCTACATTTGTATCTATATATGACGCACATGCCGCATGCCAAACAAGTAACATGAAGGTACACATACAGCCACCCCATGCATTTTTTGCATCCTACCAGCATGAACATGTAGATACAAATCAAAAAAGATAAAATTGGACAACTTACTATATTTGCAAACATATCTGCAGACATTTCTAGCTTTCAATGACATTCTTTTTAATATAGTAATAACAAAAACTATATACATCATCAAGGTCTTGAACGAATCCAGATCTCCTTGGTTGCCAGGTATGTGTGAAGCCTGCAATTTGGGAGACAGATTTAGTTTTCGCCGCTTGGATCCGTAGTGGTCCCAGGGCGTTTTCCTGCAGATTTCCCGGTAAATCAATCTATCGGATTGCGAAAGTCTGTCAGCACTCCATGTGCCCAGCATCCGATCTGGGTTACATTCTTCAGTTGAGGGATTTAGCCCCGTCAGGGCAAGATCTGGCTTAGCAAGCGGGGATCTCATGGCTCACGGATCCGCCAGTGGATGCTTGCGCTTGCTCCGAATTTTCGGATTTCATGGAGGTCTTCAGTAGCAGAAACCCCAAGAAAAACGTGTGATGATTCATTCCAGTCTGATAGTGAGGTTTGGATGGCGTGGCATGTTAGGAAATCCCTGCCGACGGGTTCCCAATTTTGGTTCCGCGCTTCGCCCAAGACAATCCCTGTACTACTTACACAGATATTAGACATATTTTTTGTGCCCTTGGTTTTCCAATCGACCGGTGCCGAGGCTACGAATGTGCAAGATGCCATCGCATTCAGGAGATTCCTCATCCCATGTGGCGTTACCAGAAGGGTCCCAGCGACTATGGCACGGCCAGCTGGGCCTGTCATCGGGGCTGTGACGCCTTTACGCACTGGCGCATCATTCCAGAAGATGCCACTCAGGTTGGCCTGGGCGCGGGGCATCATTGGCCCATTTTTGGTATCTGCCTGGGTAAATACGCAACCTCACTGGAATGATGGTGGGTAAGGGCAATCATCCCCAAATCACTTTAATTCAGGTTAGTGAATTACTATCATCATCTATAATCTATCCAGATAAGTGGCTCATGGCTTGATTTTGCCTGCGCTTTGTGATGATTCCGTTGGTGATTTGAGTTCGGGCCCCAGATCTCGAAGGTTCCTGCCATGGAATGTCCCGAGTCCTGGGGACGGCGCGAAGAATGGCTGGAAGACGTGCGGCGGCTAAGTCACGCAGGGCGGACATGCAGAGTGGTGCCTTTCTAAGTTTGTGTACAATGGTTTACAGCTATATGTATGGTACTCCATCACTATTTTGCCTGGCTTTTACTTGTCTACCTTTTCTTTGGGATTACTATAGGATGGCTAGGCAGTTTTCTGGCAGAGAGGCACCACATTGTGGGACGATACATCAGTTGCATCCAGTTTGACTGGGATTCCAACCTGGTTGCATGTTAGCCAGGTGTTGCACTATGGAATTTTCACTCATTGGATTCCAAAAATGACCAGAATCCAATAGGAAAATCATTTTTCAAAGTGTGCCATTTTCGTTCGGCTTTCCATCGCCGTTTTCCGTGAGAACTAAATGGTCGGCACTTGACGAGCCAATAAGCCCATGTGAAAAAAATGTCAGCATGGACATTCAGAGTTCATCGAATCAACCCTTCACAAATTTCAGATGACGAGACATTCACACATACATACACATATATATATATACATATATATATATTTCTTGAACATAGATAGATACTAAAAAACATGACTTATATATATAGATCATATATATATATAACATAAATATGCATAAACAGTATACATATATATATATTATACTTATAACTTATATAGTGAAATGGGATACATACTGTTAGAATATCATGGCATATAATTCACCATTTTCAATCGCAAACTCTCATCGACCAAGGCGACAGGGCGGCCCTGTTCATGGCAGCCGTGGCAGCCGCAGCGGCCCAGGAGACTGCACGCAGAGCTAAAGACTGGCCGCGGTTGGGAGAAAGCTGTTGCGGTTGGGATGGGTGCGGGTTAAGTAATTTCTGAGATATTGAGTATGTTAAGTAATTATTGTCAATATCCTTTTCATTCACAATGGGGATATATTGAGTATATATGATGGTTGGATATGGTTTGTTAGTTCTGTCATGGGGATTTAAGAATTTGAAGTGGAATGCCTGTTGAAGAAAAAACACGATGACCAGGCAAAACTCCGATAAGATTTGGTTGATGGTCAACTCCCAATGGGTCACAAAACATGCAGGTATTTCTATAGGTCAATGATGACCAACAGGGTGCCCTGTTGGTAATTTAACCAACAATATGGAAAATCAACACTTTTAAATACGTTTTATGCAGGCCATTTTCCATACAAGGTGGTGCCCCCAAGATAGCTAAGTTGGTTTATAACTCCAATAACTATGGTTTATGGTACTTATAACTATAGTTAATGTGGTTTATAAACCAACTTATAACTGGGGGGCCCCACCTTGTAGCTATCTTAGATTACCCGTTTGGGTCTTTGAACCTGGGACCCCAACAGCTCTTTCGAGGCTCAAGACACGTCGGAGCTTCGCCGTCGAACTCCGATTTCCCCCGTCGGATCCGGTGAGAAAGCGATGGCTTTGCCGTCGTCATCGGCATGTGCAAAGGTCAGAGTGCAGCTTGGACGCAAGGGGACTGGAGATCGTTGGAGTGAGGCAAACGCGCGACATGTCTACGACAATCAAGCCTCTTAAAAAAGAGCATTCAACCAGATCAATTGAATGTATTGATATGATATTGTAGATATTTACGTATGCAGTATATATATACAATACATATATATATATATTGCATTATATTGCAATTTTATTTGGTAATGTTTATATAATGTGTATATATATATATTGCACACACACATACATTTATTAATATCAGTTGTAACACGCATACATCCATCCATCCATCCATACATACATACATCCAACCATACATTCATACATCCATCCATCCATCTATACATACAAACATACCATACCATACCATACCATGCCTAGATACATAGATACATAGATACATAGATGCATAGATGCATAGATATAAATATATAAAAATGTATATATATATATACATAAGTATAAGTCTGAATAAAAATAAACATATAAATAGAAATAAATAAACTAATAAATAAATACATATAAATAAATAACTAGATAAATAAATAAACAAATAAATAAATAGAATCCAATTAACGCAGACTTTTACCGAGGGGTGATGGATTGCTTGGATCTCAGCCATTCGGATTTTTGGGAATCTGTTTTGCCCTGGCTACCATCCCATTAGTGTCGAAACATTGCAGAGATGAAGGCTTTGTTCAGAGGTTTCAGGATGGACTTTCCGCCCTGAAATCATTTGAAAACACGGATGATTTTAAGATATATATTTTAGGGGTACACAAGTTTTTGACATGGATTTTTTTGGTGTACATTTTGGGTCTGTAAAGGGAACCCCCTGCGATTTCGATGACCCCTTTGTGCCAAGGGTGAACACCTTCATCGAATCTTGGACGTTTTGGGAGGGCTGCAGGGCAGCAAGCGATGAATGGATGCCGGATAACCAACTTATACTTGGGGGTGCAATTGGGCTGCCTTTGGATCCTTTGGCTAGACTCCTGGAGATTTGACATATTTGGAGAGGGAGAGAGAGAGAGAGAGAGCAATATAGGGATATACCCTATATAACCATGTAACTATGGTTTAATAAGTTTAATATATCCATAGCCCCACTGGAACTGCGGCCCTTAAAGTAGCAGCCTTTCTCACCAAGCTCCATGGTGCGATGGGTCCCTCCCTGGGATGACTGGGACCCCTATGCGTCGCCACAAGGACGTTGACACGTCAGATGATGAGGACCGGGCTCCAGGCAATTCGGAGTAGAATTTCTCATCCATGCTGTCCGTTTACGTCTGATGATATAGAACATTATAGAATCCAGGATTTGTGGGCCATGCGTGTATATATATAATGCACATACATACATACATACATACATACATGCATGCATACATACATACATACATACATACATGCTGCATTTGTTCAACTTTCTCTGCTGCATATGTATGCACATAAGTCAGCTGGTGATAAGCACACTCACATTATAGTATGTATATATATATATATGCATATAGATGCTCATGCAATTGCAAGGCAATACGCTATTTGATTAAACAAATCCCCCCAAAAATAGGTGTGTAATCCCAGTGCCTCCCGGGAGGAGAATGCGCATGTCTCACCCATCAAGACCGAGCCAGCCAGGGTCTCTTTCGCAGGCCACATGGAGATGATTCGTGGATTCGCCAGCCACCGACATGCTAAATATGCATATATTATATCATATACACATTTCAATACAAACTATGTGTATAAAATTTCTTTTTACATATACGTGTATACGTGTGTATATATATATATATATATACACATTTTTGTTTCATATACTCATATTTGTATTGCATTTTACTGGGTTTGCTCGCATTAGATGTTTTTTGAACTGAACAACACTTCCAAGTACCAAAGGCTGTTGCTAAACTTCCAACAACTCCATTAGGTGGCCTTGATTTGATGCGTAATTTGCACATGTTTTTCCGCTCATGTTATTTTTTTCGTTTGACAGCAGGAATCACTCAGATAGAGCTATCCATACTTGAATCGAAGTATTGGTTTGGATCAGTTCCAATATCATCAAGATAAATAAAATGGTATAATATTCCCATTATAATAATGTTTCATTTTATTCATGGTACATATTCCATGATTGGGAATATCATTATTGGGACATATTCCAATGATTCCAATGTCACAAGATCATCAATGTCACAATATCCCAATGAAGATTTCACGATGGGATCGATCGATAACGCCAGGTCTGGACTCCGAACTGGACCACGGCTACGTGGCGAACGCGCCCAAGGTGTGGGTGTGGCTGGACCAAGGTCCCAAAGATGGACCAAATCGGTGATGGCAACATGGAATAACTGGACCGAATTTAGGGTCAAAGAAATGCTTCAAGAGGTATCTTTGGCTATTCAACTATCAAACATTCATATTTTGAATCTTGCTGGATTGTTTGAAATATATCCATATATATATATACATATATATATCCTTGTTTTGGCAAGAAAAAGAGCCATTTCTGAGCCGCTACACTAAGATCAGGCCACCTACTGCAGCCATTAAAAATCAACCGGAACTGCCCACAGATCAGAAAAATCATCCAGTTTCCCGTTAAGATTGTCCCAAGGGACCGGTGAAAAAATGTTGTTGTTTTTTTTAAAAAAATCCAAATTTCTGATCGTGGAATCCTCCAACCCCCAGATGCTGAAACGTTGGACACCTGGAAATGATCTGTACCATCCTGAAAATATTCTACCCTCTGGTAAACTACTATAAGATAGCCATGGAAAATCACTGGCTTCATAGGTAAATCATGGTAAATCAACGAACTAAATGGGCCATTTTCTATAGCTATGTTAAATGACAAGAGGGCATCATTTTTTCGATGTTTTTTCACGGATCCACAGGAGCCTCTGGAGCCTCGTCTTCCAAAGACGGAAGCGAGAGAAGTGCCATGCCTACTCGGACAGTCTCATGGTGCACCTTGGTTTTTCTTGACCCAGGAGTTTGCAAGACCACCATGGAAATATCATGAACAATGGGAATATCATTGTACATACCAAAATTGATGAGAATATTCGGGAATCTAATGGGATGCATAATGGGATTAGTAACTATCAATAATGGTGATCCTATCAAAAATGGAGATTTAGACAACAAGAATCGGAACATCATTGGAATACGTCAACCATAGTATCATAGGACCATAGGATTCATAAACCACCAGTTTATTAATAGAAGGGGCACCACTACCACTTTTGACAGTAATTTATCGCTATGAATTGGGGGTACCACCCAAATTAATACTCAGGATTCATGAATCCAGGCTTGACAGAATGACGATTGCGATTGGGTCGTCCCAAATGGATTTAACAGTTTTTGTTTTTATGGGAAAAACATGAGACAATTACCTGTGTAATTTTGTATAATGGAGATTTTACTGGGAAAACCATCTGCAAATTCTGTACTATGAGGGAGTTCTCAGTAAGCCCATCGAACTTTAAATGGCCGCCCCCCTGGTGCCGAGGTAAAAGTGACCGTGAAGAATACCTTCATAGATATCGCCCCAGATGGAGAAGGACTATTGGGAAACTGGCGAATTTCAGCCTTCCAAAGATCAGATGATGTCATACTTGTCATGGCTAGGTGTGGGTGAATCTGGGTGAACATGGAAGACATCAGATGTTTTTTGTTGCTTTCGAAAGACTTTTAGCATGACTGTGCTCTTTCCGAAGTAACCTCAGCGATTGACCAAAACGAAAGATTGAAAGAGCTGAGAAGACGGCAGGTGACGAGGAGGAGGGTCAAGTGGTCTTTAACAAGATCAAATCTGAACCAGTCTCTAGGCCCCACTGTGAGATGTGGCACTGGGTGGGTTGGTGGTTGGGTATGCCACAGGGGGCATGCCACAATTACCCTCTGGTAAACTAACATAGCTATTGAAAATGGCCATTTATAGTGGATTTACCCATTAAAAATAGTGATTTTCCATAGCTATGTTAGTTTACAAGAGGGTAGCATGTTTGTGGATTTCAACCCTGAGTTTCCTTGAAGTGATGTGGGATATACATTGATATGCTCCAAGTTGAGACATGCAGAAATCCTACATGTCCAAAAGGAACATCTCAAATAGGGCCGAACATGTTTCACTCAGGCACGGAAACTCTTGAAATTCGTAGCTCCAGGTGAACGCTGTAAAGTGATGAACAGTTTGGGAGGAAAGGAAACTAGTTTCACCAGAACCTGCTGCGGATCCTGCGAGAGGAGTTTCCAGTTACAGATGGTCCAGTCTTATCCTCTCCAGGATGGGTGTGAGTGTATATATTTATAATATAATATAATATATTATAATATAATATAATATAACATAATATAATATAATTAGATTGTAATATAGAAAATCGTAACCCCCAAAACGATAGATTTACGGTTCAGGCTAGCACCAACTTTTACTTTTTGGGGATTACTGTTTGCGTTTCATGTGCGTTAGAGTTGGGGTTCAATGACTACGCTTGTATTTTGGACATGGATTGATTTGAGGCTCAATTTTCCAGTCAGCCGTTTCAACATGGATAGGCCGGATAGGCTCACTTTATGGCCCAATTTCAGACATGGATATAATTTTATAAACGATTAGATTTGGGAGCTGAATTGACCGTCCAGTTTTAGACATGGATAGACAATTTTTGAAATGGATAGATTTTTGGCTTAATTGGTCGCCCAAAGTATAGTACAGGAAGGGGGGCCCTCAATTTCAGTTGGTTTATAACACCATCTGGCATAGATATATCATGATATATCTACCAAAAAACCCAAATTTACCTGAACCAAACCAACCTGAGTTTGTAGATCCTTGTAGGGTCTACCACTTTTCTGCTTTCGCTAAGGTCCTTCCAACTCCACTGTCTCCAGACGGCGAGGCCCTTCTCCGCCGCACGCTGCTTAGGGCGCTGCCCACGCAAGAGGAGCAGGGGGACTTTGTACCCGTTCAGCCTGATGACACGCTTGAGTCAGCCATGGAAAGATCCACCATTTTCAATGGGAAAATCCACTATTTCGACTGGGCCATTTTCAATAGCGAACTGTTAGTTTACCAGAGGGTACCCAAAAAAAAACTGAACTTGAAATTTGACCATTGGAATGGGTTGGTGCAATGCATATAGATTCTCGGACATATATCCCGTTATTGCAATGGGAAAAGATCATTTGTTTGCTGGTGAAATACCAGCTTTTGCTGCTTAAATATCCTTTTTCGGTGGTCGAATCTACATGGTTAAGGACCGTAGTAAGTGTGATATAGTTATGACTGGTTTATACCAGCATTTCCTTTGGGCTAAGTCCCCATGTAGCAGCCTTATGTTGTTTGATAGTTTTGTGATCCTCCCCAATTCTCATCAAAAAACTGGTGATATAAATCCCAGGGGTGGCTGCTTGACCAGGAGGAGGAGGAGGAGCCCGAGGAGGGCCAAGGCTGGTGGCCGCCGGGGATGGGTGGAAAACCCAAGCGTTGATGGTAAAAGATCGGGATGGTTAAAGAAACACCTGTGGTTTACCACATTGGTCTGGTTGGAATGGTTGATGAAGGATGATGAAGCATGATGAAGTATGATGCTTCCGCCAGAAATGTGAGATTGATTTTTAATTCAATTAACAGGACGTCGGTGGGTCCCATCCGCCTCAGGTAGTAGCTCGCTTGAGCGCGTAGCTGCATCCCTGGGAGTAGCACCTTGGCGACAGCCTTTCAGCGTGGCCAGCAGTGGTGCCTGCGGGCAAAGTAATTTGAAGCATTTAAGACCCCACGAGTATAGAATATAGAGATATATGGAGCCTATAGATGTCTTTAGAACATAATTCTGTGAATAATGTCCACACGGATACAAAAACAGTAAACACAAGACTGATAGTGAGAGCAATGCTAGCAATGATCATGATGGTGTATACTGGAAGTAAGAGCTGCATCAACATTACTACCAATCCTCATACTTTATCAATGGATTGATCTAAGGGAAACTTTGCAGGAAAAAGAGGAGGTACACCCAAATATGGTTTCCTGCACCATTTACCTTCAGCTAATTCTGGAAACAGCCGTCAAGCATCACACTCTCAACTTTTTGTTTGAGTTGAACTATGTTAAATCTTCATTTTCGCTGATAAAAACACCCCTTTAAATCCCAATTTCACTGGTTAAGTCATGTAAAGTCCCCATGTGTGCTGTTCAATTCCCCAATGTTTGATAAAAATCATGAAGCATCAAAGTTTTTGATGGTAAAATCGTGCAAAATCGCTGTTTTTCCAGGTTATATCCTCCTTTTCCAGGCCGGTGACTGTCAAATTTTTCGTGCCCCGCAGGTCATCGTTCCTCTCAGCGAGCGTCAGCCGGAGACGTCCGTGGGGTCGGCGCTGCATGGCTCGCAATGCAAGCCCTGCTCCTGGTTTTGGTGCGCCCGGCAACGGGATGGAAGTTGGATGCCAGAAATGGATAATTAGTCACACACACACATATATATATATATACGCTATAGGTATATGATTTTACACATATCAAAACAAATCTATATAAAGGTACCACACACATGCATCACACACACACACACATATATATATATATGCGATCATACGATATACGTAAGTGTATATATTGTGCGTCATATCATGTGCATGCACAGTGCGGCCGAAGGAGATTCCAATGGGGTTTGTCCCCCAAAAATATAATGGTTTATGTTTATGCCACATTATTTGTTATTATTATTCTTATTGCTACTGCATACATTACTATCGTTATTAAACATTATTCACCATTATTAACTATTACTAACCATGTGTATTATAAATTTATATAATAGTTATAATGAATTTATATAATAGTTATCAACCATTATTAAATTCACCATTTCCCCGCATTTTTCCGGTAATTTCGAGCCAGGCGACCACAGGGCTGTTTCAACTCGCGAGACTGTGCGCATTGCCACATGTGCTTGCCAGGGGAGCTGCCCCTTGGATCCCAACTGGTGGTGGCCAGTTGGGGGATATCCGATTTTTGAGAGGATTTTCAATGGTTCAATGGGGTTATACCCTCTGGTAAACTAACATAACTATGGAAAATCATCATTTTTGATGGGAAAATCCACTATAAATGGACATTTCCAATAGCTACGTTAAATTACCAGAGGGTATAATGGGATTCTTAATGGGATTGAATGGGAATAGGAGAATCAAACATGGCTTTTTGAAGAATCCACGAACTAAATGGAGTTTATCGATGCGAACCTAAATGGTGGATTTTTCCAGCAAACCACGTTTGATTGCCGGAGGGTATCATTTTTTTCCTGGAGACGGGCCCAACATGCAGTGTCCTCAGATCTGGTGCACCTGACACACTAGGGCCCCCATCTTTTGGTCCAAGATCTGCGCCCTCAGGAAAAGGTTAAAAAAGGCAAAGCAGCAAGCCATGCGCGCGAAGGCACGCCACCAAGAAGAAGTTCCTTGCAGCAAAACAGCCGATGGGTTGGATCTGAACTGGAGATAGGCTCCTGAACCCCAAAAAACCACCAGCGATTTGTAGGTCCAGCCGCCGAAAAATCTAGCGATTTAACGGTGGAAATTTGCACCTGGGCCTGAGTGCTTCATCCAACGGTGGGGATGATCCCGACTGACTCAACTGACTCAACACTCAGGCTGTGCCTGTCATGAGCTGATGTGCTGTGCCCTGATGGCATCCTGATTGGGGTGAGCTGAGTTTCGTCGTGGCATTCGAATGCTGGGAAGTTGAGGAAAACCATGTGGGAGACCTACAGAAATATCAGAAACGTGGCAATGGAAAAGAATGGAAAAGTCATCCGTTGTGTGGATGACTATGTAAACAACAATTTGTTGCACACTTGGAGTTGGATGGGCTCACAAAAGAGTTTAGGCCAAGGGTTTTGGCGTTGTTTTTCAGCCAGGAAAGTTGGTGACAATGATATATAACCACCATTCATCAAGTGGATGCAAGGGATACCACTATATCAGGATGAAATTGCAGGCTTGTAAACCTGATAATTAGGACTTAACAGGACCATATTGACCATATAATGTCCTGTAGCCTGTTGGAAGCCACCAGCGATCAACTGCAACTTCAGCTACCCAAGGTGCCCGGCCGAAAACGTCTTCTGCACAGCCTTTTGTGGCGGCGCTGCCGCGACGGTAGGTTCCTGTCCTTCGGCAGAGTCTGACCCCCATGAGAGACTCAGAAACTGTGGAGACTGGTTTAAATCCGTTGCAAATACAGTAGTGAACCTCTAAAAATCTATGGGTTGTTGGGAATGGCATCCAGTCAAGCAAACCTAGCTGCGAAATTCCTCATTGGTAGATGAGTTTGGAAATAAGACCTGGGGCTTTCCCATTGCCAGGTTTGTTGACTGAAGGGTCTGTAGCCGAAGTGGCTGGTTGATCGCTGGGGCTCCATGGGCGGCAGATTTTGTGAACTGAAACATTTCCATTGAGCTCGGCTCACAAGACGGTCGAGCAGACGTGGACCTGTTGACTGGGCGCCTGGTGAGCACGACCATAGTTGTGTGAAGTCTTCAGTGATGGAACTGGGGAGCTATAGTGGCTATTGTGGCTATAGTGGCTATAGTGGCTAGTGGCTATAGTGGCTATAGTGGCTATAGTGGCTATAGTGGCTATAGCATCACAGACATTAAGAAGTCCCTCTAGTTGGTCTTATGTCTCACCTGTGGCTGGGTGGCCTGTTTGGAATCCTTACGCAAAAGGACTGATGAGTTGCGGGTCGCGGGCAATGAAGATCAAGTAGCAGAGGAGCACCTGCAATGGGTTGAGAAACCTGCTAAATTTTGGAGTAGGCATCTCTGGGGGGACAAACCTGCAATATCTGCAAGTCGCATCTTTTGAGTTTCTTTTTTAGTCAGAGATTTTGGAATCGCCAGGCGCCGTTTTTTTTGGACGGCCCGCAGCCGTCGCTGCAATCCCCGTGCTGCACCAAGTGTTTTCAACTTAGCCACGGTTTAGGATATGCAGTTGGGTGGTGGCAGTGTCCATGTTGCCAGCCAGAGGCCTGAGGATTGATTACATACAAAGCCTTGGCGAACCGCAGGATGTGCAGTTCGACAAAGAAGTGGACCCGGAAGTCCCCATACGATATAGTACTATATATATATATATAATATGTATAATGCCATTGGGCCATAAGACAACGTAATATGAAAGAGTATGACAGTATGACAGTATGTAGATATGTAGGATATATAAACATACAGGTAAAAATTGATGTAATTGCATATTCATATATACTTACATTACTATATATATATATATATGATTGATAGAGCCACAGCCACGAGGTTGAACTTTGGAAGTCCCTGATGCTTGCCCTTCCACAAAACCCGCTGCAAATCTCGATCGCTAAGCAACCGCTGTTCATTCGACTTGCGACGGGCCGCGGCCGCAAAGTGCCCGTGGCGATTCGCAAGACGCTGAGCCTCGTGTGATTTCAATCTGTTTTTTTCCCCCAGATGGCTGCACCCCACTGTGCTGCAACGTGCCGTGGAAGTACGGAAGTTTTTTTTTAAAACAATATATATATATGACTGTCTAGTGTTTGGCAGGCCTGGGTGGACAGTGGTCATTCCTTGGTGGTTGGTTAAATAAGGTGAAATCAATGCCAATTTTGGCTCAAGTAAGTATTGATCCAAAATAGCAGCATTGTTTTGCTTGGACGGGAGGTAGTTGGTCTAAGTGGTGGTGTCCACTGAATGGCCAACCTAATCCCTGGGGTACATGTTGCTTTGCACACGCGTGCAGAGATACTGCACACCGCGGCATGGATGGACTTCTCCAACTACGTGCGCCTTCTTCTTCGTGCGGGGCGAGAGGCAGAGGCGCGCATCCTTTGGGACTCTGTTGTGGAAGTCATCCATAATGGAACGAACCCAAATGTGGATGTTTTGGGGATCCCAGAGTTGCCTGGGTTGTGCCGAGTTCCTTGCATGGAGTCACCATGTGTGCGATGTGACACCAGAAGGGGAGGGTTTCGTTTTCCCTTTGTGGGCATCTGGACCAGGACGGCTGTTTTGGCCCAAGCAGGTGACACAGCTCAATCCTTGTGGGAGCGATACCATGCTGGGGAGGAAACTTTTGACCTTCTGGCGTTGCAGAGAGTTGCCTCGGGCGTTACCCGTGTGCAGCTCGTTCCGGACCACGTCCATGGAGCCCTCGTCAGGCTGGCCCTGTGTCGTGACGGCATCACGATGCAGGAGTTCTTCGAGCTATGGAGAGAGTGGCAACGAGGCGGCCGTTCCTGGGAGGAACCCTGGACAGGCTGCGGAGGAGTCGTGCGGGCCAACGACGATCGCCGGCGAGCAGGAGCCTCTGTGCGGTGCATCCTGGGTGCCGTGGCGGCTGAGGTGGACTGGATCCCGGGACCATGTCGGCTTTGTTGGATCCCGACATTCACCTCCTGTCCAACCTGCGGCGGAGCAGTCTGCGAGGAATGCCGAAGAGGATGCGACTTTTGCCCCTTCTGCGGCCCTTCCGACGACGAGCAATGAGTCGGTCTTGTCTGGGGATATCGAAGGGGTGGTCCAGGGAGGGTATAAAGCACGGGAGAGTGCTGAACCCAGATCATCTCCATCTACATTCTCAGCCCTGGCTCAACTAGGACTCGCGGTTGCTGCCGGTGCCATGGCGAGCGGAAAGGGGCGGTATGCTCTTGAGGCTGCAGGTGAAGCAAGCACCTGGGACCCAGAGCAGGCCGTGGAAGTGGCCACTATGGAGAGGGCCCTGGAAGTGAGGCAACATTTCGGGTTAGCTGATGACAGCGACCTGGCCTATGCCTTCGAGAACTACCAGGACGCCATGTCGGCTGGAGGGCATGCTCTGGCGGCGCAATGGGCCTCAGCCCGGTCCAAAGCTGATGAGGGGCTGCTGGCGGCTGGAGCAAGGGCGGTCGAAGACAGTGGCGCTGGATCAGCAAGAGACCGAGTCCCTAAACCGACCGTGAAGCCGATGATCCAGAGGAGACAGGGAGTGACCCTGTCTACCAACCGGTACGGGCCTGAGGTCGTGGTGCAGAGGGTGGAGTCCCTTGCGCAGTGTTTCGAAGAAATGTCTGTGCAGAGGCCGGCCCATAAGGTGACTGAGGCACGGCTGGAGGAGTGGAGGAAGCAGTTGCGGCGGTTGTCACAACAGAAAGTCACTCAGGCCGACAGTCAGACGATCATCAACGCCATCCGTACTTGGAAGGAGTTGGCACACTACCAGGAGGACAGGGGCCTCGAAGTGGTCGAGGACTTGGACCTGGCATCGTTTGTTCAGGATGGCACAGACGGCCCAGCGAGGGCCTTGGCCTCGTTGAAGTGGCTCAACAAAGCCGGCACTATGGGTTGGAACCTTACCAACATCCAGCTTCCGGTGGCGCCCAATGTGAGGACTCGGAAGCGGCAGCAGGCAGTAGTGGCTGAACCAGGCATGATCCCTTTCTTGGAGGCGGGCATAATCACGGCGGCAGAACACAACAATCCAGAATGGATGGCCCTGCTGGCAAACTGGTTATGCGCTGTCGGATGTTTGCGGCACCGTCACATCACCAAGAGTTCCCCCCAGCGCCTGTCTGCCTCTACTATCCATGCCTGGTGCTCGCAGGGAAAGCAGGCACACTCCAGGAATGGGTTCTCCTGGTCAGCTCCGGCCGAGTTCACCAATGGGTTTCCATGGGCTCAGAGAGTGATCGATGCCATCAAAGAGCTACCGGAGGAGAAGCAGCAAACCTGTGGCATGGCTTTTGATGGGGAAGGGATCCCCTATCCTATTTCAGAAGTACAGAAGAAGGCCCAGCTCCTCTTCGAGAACCACGTCGATGATGCCAGGAACATCACAACATACACATGGAGACGGGTAGCACCTACGGTGGGGTTGCTTTCGACCTTCACGGACTTGGAGCTGAATGCATTAGGGGACTGGACAGATGAAGTCAAATCATCTGCCAAGATGCCCGCACACTATGCTGGCTCCAAGGAGGCGATGTCAACACGGATGAAACATATGGCCTATGCCATCATGGCCAACTTGACCAAGTTTGAGTCTTGGGAAGTGATCCCGCTGGACGACTTACATGCAGCGGTGGTGGAGGCGGAGACAACGGTTGCCAAGAAGATCAACCAGGATGTGGTCACTAGATGGCAGGCGAAGGCATCGCCAACCTCTGTGAAGAGGTCGTTCAACTTCGTGCAGCAAGCCCGTGAGCAGAGGGACAAGGCCAAGGAAGAGGCCGCCAAGGCGGGCCGACCGGCAATGCCCCCTTCCATCGGGGGGAAGTTGCTCACCAAGTTCCTTAGGAACGGGACCCCATTGTGTGCCCTCTTTCAATCAGGGGAGTGTGAGGAGGACCCGTGCCCGGAAGCCCATGTTTGCGCTGTTGTATCCAGAACTGGACGGGCATGCGGTGGCAAACACGGGGCTCATGTCTGCTGGACGAAGAAGGCGCGATTGGCGGAGAGTACCGTCACATCGCCGGTGCTGCCGCATCCTTCCACTCAGGAGGAGGCAACGGTACAGGCAGTGCCGGGCTTCACCTCATCGAGCTCCTCAGAAAGTATTGTTCCATTGGCCAAAAGGGCAAGAAGGCAAGAGGCGCCAGTGACTCCACCAAAGGCTGGGGCGCCGGTGACGCCGCCGAAAGCGCCTGCGGTGGCCCCTGCCCAGGCCAAAGCGGCACCGAAGTTGCAGCCGCAACCAAAAGCCAAGAGGACAGCAGCGGCGAGTGGGGCTTCTACTCCCAAGCAACCGCCGGTGGCGAAGGCATCGTCATCCCGGCCTGCGCTTGAGGTCCATGAGTCAGGGATGATAATCGAGCGGCCAGCGCACATCCCGGCGGATGAGGACTTCATGCTGCCTCCTATGCCGACAACCCTGAATCCACCCCAAGAGGAAGTCATCTGGGATCGCCTTGCAACGATCAAAGGGAAGTACGCTCAAGCCCCGACCAAGATCCTGGAGATGAGTTCAGGGGGCCAGTTGTGGTTAGCAGGGCTCCCAACGGCAGCCAACAAACATCGGTTCCCGCCGGCCACGCTGCAGATCGCCTGCTTCACTGAGAGGCCTGAGGAGCGGAATGGGGTGGTGCTGCCCAATGCGCTGCTGAGGTGATTTCCTGTGGCCGTGGCAGCTGAGCGTGCGGAAGCTTGGAAGGAACTATGGCCGCTGATTCTACAGTCCTTATACTGTGGCGAAGTCATCGTCACGC